ATTTTTTTTTTTTTTTTGTTGTAAATGATTTTTTATAATTTATTTATTTTTTTCATAAGTAAATGCACAGATCCACTATCCTAAGAGTTGTCATTATCATCTACAGTGCCTTAGGTGATACACTCATGGTTGAATGGGCCCAAAATTGGAGAGATCCATGGTACCATGCCATGTCCCAATCTTGCATTTGTTCCAACCAGTGTACTAAATCCAAGGAGTCCATTATTTTCTGTCTCGGCTTGAAGTAGAGGGGGGGCAGTTTCTTTCTTCAAGATGGTGGATTTCATTTTTAAGTTACCTTCTTCTCACCTTTGCCTAAAAAGTCAAGACCTACAAGGCAGCAGGTGGTTTGAATTTTTTCCTTCTCCTAGACTGGTTGCCAATCAAGTCTATAGGGTCTAGTCTGTCCTGTATAGCTGGTGGGTGAAGAGAGGTATTCATACCTTTCACAAGGATAATAGTATGTAAGTGAATGCAATGAACTCAACTTGAACTAGGCTCTCCATTTCCTCAATACAAGCCGCCATCCATTGCTCCACGCTGCCATGTTTTATATAAGAATAAAGTGTCACTGCCGACATTGGATTTTGAACACGCATCACCAGAGAGCAAACAAAGGTGATCCCATTTTGAATAAGTAGATCACATTATGGTAAAGGAAATTTATATATGGGAATTAGCATGGCATTTAAGTGATCACTATACGGATTACTATTTGGTAATTACTTTTTGAGCAGGTATTATCAAGCAAGTACTATTAGTGCGAGTGATATCTGAAGGTGTCTGACACCAGTATTGTTCAATGGTGTTACTATAGTTGTATCTGCGATTACAAAGTCTCTACTATAATGAGCATTATGAAAGTGACAATGAGTATTTGTTGATATTACAAAAGTGGCAATGAGTGTTCATTGACATCATAAAACCATCTTAACAGTAACTTATAAATATTGATATATTACAATTTGGGCCTGATGTTTGCCATGTAGATGAAACTTGGAGTGGCACCAAATGTTGTCATTGAGATTGAGTGAGAAAGGAAATTAAATGTGTAGACAGTGTCAGTTTTCTTTTTTTTAAATATTATTTATTTGAAAACTAATGCAGATTAAAACAGCAAGTCATGTTACACCAACATGTAATAATATGTTTTAATATAATAATTTCTTTTTCTTTTTTTTATGTATGCATTTAACCCTAGAATATTAATTATCAATTAAAGTTACACCACTACTAATCATGAGTATATCATATCCGATTTTTAAAATATCAAAAAAAATTTAAAATATAAATCTTTATTTGAAATATTTTACATGCAGGCACTTCAAACTTTGTACTTTGAGTTAACATTAATAGGTACTGAAAAACATTATTTAGGTAAGAAAATCAGGTACTGAAAATTGTAATTTAAAGTAGGAAAATTTGAGCTGGGTACTATATACCCATGGTTAGTGTTCTAGGGTTAAGAATGTGAGGTCCCAAGGGAATTATAATTCTTTTTACTTATAAATGGTGGATTTAATTGTATGGTCTTACTGCCAGTTCTTGATTGAAACGGCAGTTCTCATATGATCACCAAAGTCAAATGTTTAGCCTTGTCAGTACCTAGATGGGTGACCGCTTGGGAATACCAGGTGCTGTAAATGTGGATGTGTGGGTGGTAACAACTTGGATTTGGAAATCAGAGAGCCGAGTTCTAATTCTTATTTCTCACCTGAAATTGCCGACTACGTTTCCATTTTCCTCTGATAGGTCCCAACACAAATCTTTTGCATTCAAAACTTTTATTCAGACTATTTTGTTAATGTATTTCAAATGAGTGAAACATCAACAAACAAAAAGACATAAATCTTAAAAGTATTTTAAAAATATAAAAAAACTAGCAGTAGAGCCCGGCGTTGCCCGGGGATGTAACAGTAAGAGATAGATCAAGTATCGACCATCATAAAGACTGAAAAATAAAATTGACAAAGATTATTGTTTAAGGTTGACAGACACGCATGTCTTAATTAGTTTTTTTTTTTTACGAATTGGTCAAACCCAAATTCAAACAAAAACATTGTTTACAATCGTTATGAGTCTATCGATTGGTGAATAGAATTTTATTATAAACAATTGTCTTGTAAATGGAATTTTTAAAGCATTCTGAATATAAATAAAGAAAAAAGTGTGCAAGACAATAAGAAATACTACCTGCCGAAAAAAAAAGTGGATGTTTGTTTTATCGGCTGAAAAATGTAAGAAATCCGATCCCATATATAAAGGAACACACACACACACACACAACCTGTTTTTTTTTTAACCTAAGTCACTCCATGGAATCGCTAAAACATGGAGCATAGTCTGATGAAAAAGACGCCAAAGTTTATGAAAACAAAATTTTATCGTCAAACAAAATGCTTATGTTTTTATGAAGAGGATAGACTAAATTTTTTTTTAATTATTTTTTAAAAATTTTCCATCTTTTTAGAATATTCTAAATTTTGATTTAAAAACCTTGTTTCTCTTTGTCGCAACAAGGGGTAGTAAACATAAATAATTTTTTAGCGCGTTTTTTTTGTATTTACACACATTAATTTGGAAAATCTTGCAAAAAAATAAAATAATTGTCAGATGTTAATGAAACTTTCAGAAACTATTCACAGATGATTGAAATTATTATAAATATGTTTTTTTATTAAAGTCATGGCAGAAATATTTTTTTTATATTTATTAACACCCCATAACTAATTTTATGAAAAACTCTAGAAATTTGAGACCATCGGTTTTAGTGATTACAATAGTTAAAAAGCACAAGGCTTTGAAGAATGCAAATCATGTTTTTTTTTTTCTTTTTTTTTGGCCAACGTACCTGAAAATCAGCTGTGAATTGTAACATACAAAACTCAATAAAACAAATATATTATTTAGTTTCAAATGCTTTTATTTGTTTTAATTTGTTTTTATGAATATGGACAATATTTTCTGAAAGCAAAAAATTTATTTCTTATTTCTTTAATTTTAAAAAGATTTTTAAAAAATGTTTAAATTGAATTTTAAAAAATATCTTAACATTAGTTAAAACTTAAAAGCAACATCAACCTTTCAAAATGTCCGTGTGAGATTGTCATTGTCTAGCGCTTTGAAAATTGTATAATTTGGACCAATCAGATTAGCCATGGTAATTAAGAAATGTAATTTTGTGTTTATAGTCGGACAGTAATTATCAAGTACGGAAGACCAACCAGAATACAATTTAGTTGCATTATTTGAGTTCAGCATTGTTCTCCGCTGTTAAGCCCTTTACTTTTTGAAACACTTATGGAGAAGTTAATTTGAGTTTTCAATTTCAACTGAGAAGGGTACTTACAAGTAACAGTATCATCTTATGAAATTTAACTACTGCTAAACTTTAATTTATATGATCTTATTTTTATATTAATCTCAGTTAGGACATTTTTCCATAAATGAAATATCAAAATTAATAATAAAATGAATGAAAATACAAATAACACGGTAAAATGTAATAAATGTACATAAAATTATAGTATTTTATGTACACTTCTGATAAAATTTCATAAGAAAGGTACCTAAATTAATTAGATACCTTTTTCTTATGAAATTTAATCTCACTATTAATAGTTAATAGTCTTATTTTTTAATTTCTTTATATTTTCCATAAAGCATCGTAAACGTAAAAATGAAAGCTAAGTACAAAAAAAAATTTAAAAAAAAAAAAAAAAAAAAAATTAGAGCGCTGAAAGTTTTCCTTAAAAGTAACAAGGTAAATAATTTGTTCACTTAAATAATTTCACTTCCTTTCATCCGTAGAAAGAATTCTCCTCCCGTAAGTTATCTAAACGTCATGAATGTGCCTTTCGTCTATCGCCAAGCGACGTGAAAGGTTATGACCTGCTTTGTTTTATTTCCAAATTACATTTTTTTGGCGCAGAAGCTAAGTTAAGCTTGGTTCAAAATATTTTAAATAAACAGTATAATTTCTGTTTTTATTAAAATCAGTTTTGAAAAAATGATAATTGATTTTTAAAAGAATATCAAAGTAAGATTTTAATCTTTTTTATCAAATCGAAAAGAATGATTGAAAATGATTCTGTCCTTTTTTTTGACCAAAAAAAAAACAATATTTTTAACGAAAATTTCAGACGTGCTAGGAACGATTAAAAAATGTAAAAAAAATACCCCCAAAATACTTTGATCTTTCCTCTTTAATAATATGAACATTAGACGATAAAATTTTGTTTTCGTCAAGTTCGGCGTCTTTTTCATCATGCTATGCTCTTTTGTTTACATTTTCGTGGGTGTGTTGTCCCCCTTTCATTCTCACGATGTGTCTTAATCGTGTTTTCAAAATGATTTTCTTAAAAAACAACTGTGTTTTTCCCATTTTCGGCCCTGTTAGAACCACCACAAGGTAATTTTATGTAGTCCTGTGAAGTTTTGTTGAAATCAGCTAAAAAATGTAGGAAATTCGATCCAACATGTAAACGTTACAGACACACACACACAACCTGTGTTTTATAATAAGTAAGATTTAATTTAAATGTCCTCAAAATCTAAGTTCTTAGAGGGAAAAGCTCAAAGTTTGGATTATTTTATTGTAAAGTTTTTGCCCAATTCATTTTACATTTGCAGGTGGTTTGCCCAATAAGTCAAATATATTTTTTTAGATGATGGAGTTGCATCCTTCCTGTCATCAGATAAGCTTCATTGTCCAAATATGGTTTTGGAACCTATCTACTATGGATAATATCCTAGTATATAAGTAATTTGAACTGAAAAAATTCCTGTCATAAGATACACAATATACAAATTAATTCTGATGAAAAATATACACAATCAGGAACTGTTTTAGACAAGTGTGTAAAAGTATAAAAATTGTACAACTGTTCTAATTTTGGGTTCAAGTCCCATTTTATTGTTATATTTGATTTTATTTAAAATATTTTTTAATAACTAAATTTCAATTGTGTTTTTAATTTTTTTTTTGTATTTCTTTTCAGCGACTTGATGATATGTGGATGAAGCTGTTTGAAGTCTCTTCAGGAAATATTGGTAAATGTGAAAAACTTGATACAGAAGGATCAGGAGAGGATGATACAGAGATGGAATGTGAAGTTCAGGGTAGTGGTAAGATGGACATTACTGAATCTGAGTCAGGAACAACTACCAGCGAATCATTAGCTGGAAATAATGACCATGATGATAGTAATGACTTTGAATTCACAGATGTGAAAACTGTAGTCGTGTCCTCTCACCGTAAGTCAACTAGCTATTGTGTTGTCCATCTCGTCTCTATGCTTATTGCTTTTGATTGTCTTAATTATTTGAGATCTGTTTGTATTTAGCAGTAAAGATTTAGGTGTATATTTTTAGAGAGTGTTTAATATCTGGGAGTCTTTTGTAAGAAATAGGAATTTGAAAAAGTCTTATCAGTCAGTTATGTGCCATGCGTGATACATGCTTAGGCGATCATGTATCTTTCGATACATGACTGACGAGGCAGATTTTTTTTCCTGCAGTAGGTTACCATTTTTTTCTGCAGTTGCCATGCAAGGCTATAGAACCAGGTCTATCCTGCTATTTACCCATAGCTGGTAGAAGAAGAGGATTCATACCTTTCCCTAGGGTATTAGCACATAAGTGAATGTAATGGATTTGACTGGAATTTGAACTCAGCTCTCTGATTCCTCAGTCTGAGCCACTATCTATTACTCCACTATACCTTATTGAAAAGGTCTTATTTTCATTATTGAGGAATTTGGAAATGAAAAACTTTTTGATCTGTAGTCTAATTTACAGCTTTATTTAATTTGATCTATAGTTTAATTTACAACATTGTGTATTTTGATCTGTGGTTTAATTTACAATATGGTTCATTTTGATCTATAGTTTAATTTACAACATTATTTTGGGCTATAATTTGATTTACATTATTGTCTATTTTGATCCATTTAATTTACAACTATGTTTAATTGAAGTAAGCAAAACACTGCATTATAGCTTGAGCTATTAAGGGAAACCTAAAATGCCTAAACAGAATAAAAGAAAAAAAATCCTGTTGATTTGCAACTGAATGATAATATTGTTTAATCAGCATTTATGATAAATAGGATGTCAAGGTAGATAACTATTAGTTGTCAAATAGAGAGCACTATCCTTATTGATTAAGAGTAATAACCTGTGTGCAAAAAAAAATATAAAAGCACCTCTTTTGCAAATAATATACAGAGGGTAGAATTATCTCCTGGAGATTGAATTTAATATCGGGTGGAAAAATGAAATGTCATTCCAAATCTATTGCAATGTTCTCATGCTTTCAAACATTTTATATCCTAAGAGTGAAAGTGTACTTTGCCTTTGCGTGATGATTATTAGAGAAATATTAAAAAATAAATTACAGATAAGTTGCAAATCATCTGGATTTTTTCTTTCATTCTGTTAGTGCATTTTAGGTATCCCTTAATACCCTAAGCTATAATTTCTTTATAGAGACAAAAAAAAATCAGACGTTTAGTAATGTATAAATAAAGTCCAACGCATAAAATTGACTAATTTTTTAGATCTAGTAATATTTTGAAAGAAACAGCTAATAATGTTTTCTTTTAAATTTATACAGTTTTCATATTTCCATTATTCTCAATAATTTAAATAATGCCATATGCAAATTTAGATGAATCATATTCCAGTGTTAAGAAATGCCTCCATTTTTGGTCTGTTCTGGCTTTTGTGAAAATAGAGATTAGCAGGAGTCGTCGGATACTTACTGGAGCTGTAAAGGGAACAAACTATTTTTTGATCATCTACAAATATAATTAAGAACTACATATATGCACTAATTTATGCACTAATATTTACTAATTCTTTTTGCATTTTTCATTTTTGGTTGATAAGATTGTAATCCTCGAAAAGCTTGCTTATAAATGACATGAACTTAAAAAATTATAAGCAATTTCTTTTTCTTTTTAGCTAATTTGAAAATAAATTTTGTTTGAAAATCTATTTTCTTTGCTAGTGTAATAACACAAATTATTTGTGCAGGTTTAGGCTGGAAAAGAATTCTTATGCATGGAAGAAAAAAAAGGAAAAAAGAGACAAAAAAGAGACAAAAAGATTAATTTCTTATTGAATAAAGCTGGCAAATTGGTATGATTATATCTTTTATATCTACACTTATTTCTGAAAAGCATTTTTTCTGAGATTTTCATGGAATTGTCTTTTTAGCACAACTCTTTAAAGATGTGAGTTAAAAATAAAGTTTCATGTTATAGAATTTGACACAGTCATATCTATATGACAAGTAATTTTAAAAATCTTTAACAGCTTTTTTAATTTGTAGAAAATATGTCATCATTTTAATTTCATTTTGTTGGGGTTTTTTCTACACTTATTAAAGAATTGTAAAAGAAAAAAGATTTAATCTCATAATTCAAAAATATAAAATATCTAAACTGACTTTTATAGGTTATAAGACAAGGGCAGTCTTATGATATTAGTGGGAACCATAAAATTACATTGTGACCTCTCTTACAATATCATACATTTTTCTTACAAGTAATAACTTTACCAGTTTGGCAAACAGGTGATAACTTTACCAGTTTGAAACACTGGTTTATATACCAAATCCATCTATTCATTTTTAAAAAGTTATTATTGTTATAATGACATGTTGCATAGCAGAATCCATTTTTAATGAAAATAGGTAAGCATTGACATTGAAATAATGGATGGGATAAAAGAATAAAAAATGTATTAATAAAAAAAAAAAAATGTCAATGAATGATATTCAGAAAAGATGATCAATAAATTAATATTTTCAGTAACATCTTTCTACAAATTTATTCTTCATTTTCATCATATTGCAAACTCATGTGACTTGATTCACTTTTTTTTATGAATTCCAGTCATTTTGAGCTTTTTTGGCTGATACATCCCTCATGAGTGACCAGGCTGCTAGGTATGGGTGTTTTTATCATGACAACATCTCAATATAGATTATCAGCTAAGACAAAGAGCTTGATTTTTTCATGGGGTGAGGAGTTGTGACTTTGTATTAATAATTGTCAAACAGTTTTGTCTACATAGTTTTATTCACAAAGCTTAGATTAACCTGTGGTAGGATTTTCAGTCTCTTCCTAAAGTTGCCAAACTTTTGGGGTCATCTCTGCAAACTGATACTTCCAAGAAGTCACAAAATTGTCAATGGTGAGATTCAAATCCATGTCTTATAGTCAGAAGCTCTAACTACTTGGCCATTTGTTCATATTCTTCATTTTAAATATTAGCAAAATTGCAATAACAGGTGATAACAGTAAAGAAAATAGTAAAGTTGTTCTATGCCAGTCAAGATGAGAGATTGCTTATAGGGAATGAATCTATGTATAATTTGGCAATGTTTAACCTTTGTACCCACAAAACAGTGTGTCAAAAGGATAGTTGTTCTCTTGACACAGCTATTACTGTATACACTTTTGATTCCCTCAGCAATGTTTATTGTTTTAAAAACAATTAGAATCTTAATAAAACCCAAACATTTATACATTTTCTTTATTCTTAATAATTGGCAACAAAAATATTAAACGCTATTTATTAGATTGCTTATTTACAAGAATAATTTTATATTTACAAGTGTATAAAAATATCTAGTGAGAGCAAATGAAAGAAATACCTGGAAAATGCATTTTTTCAAAATTTATAATTAGTAAGTTGTTAGGTTTTTATTTAAATTTTTTTTGTTCATAGGCATTTTTATAAATTCATGAATTAAAAATATCTTTTCATATTTAATTCTTTATAAAATGGTAAATAATATTTTATTATAGTTGGTTCACAGATCTTTATAATCTTTTAAATATCGAATTTATTCTTGTAAATAAGCAATCTAATAAAATAATTAGTGTTTAACATCTTTGTTAATTCTCAAGAATAAAGAAAATGTATAAAATACTTTCATATGTTTGGGTTTTATTAAAATTCTGATCATTGCTTTTTAAAATAAACATTGCTGAGGGAGTCAAAAGTGTATACAATAATAACAATGTCCTTTTGACACTATTTTTTTGTGGGCATGAAGGTTAAACTTTACCAAAAACTTTTATATATAAACAAAGATGGAGGTTACTGTGGATTAAGAATCCAGCCATATATATTAGAATAGTACTCAATAGTAAGTTTGATTAGAGTAGATTTGTTTTGGTCAGCAAATTGGTGAGAATTCTAATTATTTTATACTGTTACATAAGGAGTAAGTGTAATTGGATATGGAAGTGAACAAAAAAGAGTGATTGTGTTGCTCTGAAAGTGTGAGTAGCAACAATATTATATTTATTTTTATATTGGTCTTTTGTTATCTGAAGCATTAGCAGTTGAAAAGATTTATCAAAGGTGCTGTTTGATTTTCAGAAAAGGTAGGGAAAAGAAAGAAAGAGAAGATAAAGGTGATGATAATGCTCTCATGAGTTTAATGTCTGCTTCAGTGAAATGGAAAACATTGTTAATTTTAAATATTTCCATTTGTATACTCTTATTTCTTTAATGATCTTCATTTATATTTATGATTGTTATTGTAATATTTTGTTAATATTGTTAAGCTTAAATATTTAATAATGTAACTGGGGAATTTCCATGGGTGTTTTATAGTCATAGAACTCACAAGTATCTTATTCAATCATTAACTTACAAATTAAGATTCATTAGGAAATTCAAATTTGAAAACCATGAGATTTTATGGGTATTTCTTGTTATTATTTTATTCTTATTCTAGTATTTACTTTCTGTCTGGATTTCTGTGATGAGGAATTCTCATTATTTACATTACTTACAATTGGACTAATGTCAGACTAATGCTTGTTGATATAATAACATTATTTTGACCATTGTGTTCCCTGGCTGCCTTCAAGTTTCCGTTGATACACTTAGCCTTTGGTGAATTTCACACTGATCCCTTTACTAAATCTACAGCAGTAGATTGTTACACAGTTCATGTTTAGGGATATTGGATCTTGTTATTTTAGACTGCTCAGTTATAACTAGTCTTCTTTCCACTGAGTCTGTACTACCCAGCCCAGGGATTGAAGTTGTAATTACCAAATTACAAACCAAGACTATTGTCCAATGGGACAATCTTAAAGCTAGAACTTTGTGTCTTAAAACTAATGTTCTTATTGTCTTCTCTTATTGCTGCTGCTGCTGCTGAAGGCTTGCTGTTAAGCTTAACTACCTCTGCCACTATTTCTCTTTCTTATTACTGTTGGTGAAACCTTGCTCTCTCTCTCATATTGTTTTTGTTTCTCTTTCTTTTATCTGAAGGTGTTTTAGTCTTATTGAAAGCTTAATTTTTATTTCTAAACCACAATATCTACTCATTGCAGTAGACTGACATCTTGTGTAAAGTTGTGATAAAAAGCAATTTAAAATTTAGATGAAAGTAAATAAAAATTAATAACAATGGTAATGATAACATCAGCCATTTCCTTATAAGGATTATTATTCATTTAAGAAAAAATACTAGTACTAATAATTCAGGTGTAAAAATAATATGGCACTAAAATATGTGAAATAAAGTGATACGTTAGATTTGGTCTTCTGCAAATCCATCAACAGTTTAGTCATTAAATCAACTGATGTGCACACTGGGCTTCCCTGGGATGACAGAAATATCATTCTGGAGTACTGCGAGCCAATTATTTCTGATTTGATCTTCTGTCAATTGGTGAGCCCTTGTAGAGCAACTGGCATATTCAACTAGGGTTCCCTGAGGTAAAAGGGACATTAGTATTTCCCCAAGAGCCAATGTTTTTATTCTGTTCTGCACTGTTTATTCCCTGTCATAAATTTATAGTTGAATTTGTAATAATTGATTAAAAAAAAATAAGATGGAAGTAAATAGGAGTTAACAACTATTATTAATAATGGTTAAAAAAAAATAAGAATACAGACTAAAAATATAGATGTAATAATTGTACAACTACTACAAAGAGCATAATTGCCTCAAGATATACAGGAGATAAGTGAGATGACTATATAAGTATATATTCTCTTTTTATCACATGTTACTTGCCTTTAAAATCTGCTTGGCAATCTGTGTATGTATTTAAGGTGGTAATGGTACAATACTAACAAGGATTAAAAATTTTTCACCCTAAAATTACTTTGCACATTACACCATTTTTTGCTTTTGCATGCTTCTTTGATAGCAAATGTTTTGATTTCATTTTACAGGAGAGCATCTGCAGTCAATTGTCAGTGCTTCTTTGTCTCAGAGTAAGAAACATCTTAAAATATCCAGAAACCTAGTAAATGATGTTCAAGGTAAGAATAAAAGCTTTTGGGGGATTTTGAGGAATGATTGATTTTTGAGATGTTTTGCTATGATTGATTTTCGAGACGTTTTGCTATGATTGATTTTCGAGACGTTTTGCTATGATTGATTTTCGAGACGTTTTGCTATGATTGATTTATGAAATATTGTGGTTATTGTTATTGATTATTTGTAACTAAAAATACTGAGAAAGATTCAAATACAGTGGGACATTTTTCAAAACTGACAGTCCACAAGTGTCTCCATGTTCTTGTGGGTGACAAATTGTTTACTGCCCTATAACTCCTTTCCCACAAGCCTCTCACTGCTCTATCACTATTTCCATGGAAAGTGCTCAGATGAACTACATTCATTAGTTCTACTAGTTTTAACCTTCATGGCTAAGATCCAACATCCAATACACATTGTAGTGAATCATATTCATTCCCTTTGTGTTCCACTTGTGAGATGTAAGTTCTACTGAAGCAGCTCCTTCCTGCTGCTGCTGCTGCTCTGTGGTAAAAAGTGTCTTTTCCTGATCACTACAATCTTGGCTTGTTCAAGTCTAGGATTAACTGTTATCTTCCCCCACATGTCTGCATAAACTGTGCCTCTTAGTCTGCAACCATCTACCTACAGTGGCTCCTGGGCCTTGTACAGGGTGAACACCACTGTAAGAAAAAAAAAAAATTCCTAAAAAATTTTGAAAATGTTCTTCAGATAATCATAGGATGTATTTATTTATATCAGCCATTTTTTTTGAGTCCACCCAAATCTGCCAGACAGAGGAAGTATTGAGCATTACTCTTCAATGGTGGTAGCGGATTTTATACACACACACACACACACACACACATATATATATTTATTTTAGGATATTACACTGAAAACATGTTAAAATTATTCCACAATTGCAGTTGTGTTTCAATGTGTAACAATGCATCTCATCAGATGATTGTAAATTACTGGCAAGTGACTGATTTATTTAGATTTAAAAGCAAGATACAATCTCTTTTTATGAAAAAAGTGGGGGGATTACAAGGTTTGTGGGCTTTACTCTGATTAACCAATCAAATATGACCTACATTAAATTTCAACTAAGTGAAGAAGCAAAAATTAAAAAATCATTTTTTATAAATGGGTCATGACCCATAAATTGGCAGCTAATGGCAGCCATACATTAAGTAGAGCAGATGTAAATGGGTATATAAATTATGCAAATTAGACAATGCCATTTCCTAAAAAATAAAAATGGGGTGGAGAGATAATATATCAAAATCCTAAACAAGTTATATGCTAAGTGAGTTTCCTACATAAACATTTTTATAGTTGATAAATAAATAGCTTCTTTAAGAAACTAATAAATAATTGAAATGTATAGAATTAATTGGTAAATTAATATGCAACTGTTGAATAAAGATTCTTTATATAAGATGTTGACATCAATAACCAATCAATGTAAAATGTCAAAAATACCAACCAAATACCAATACATCCATACAAGATGTTACTAATACTACTAGGAGATTAATACAAAATTATATTAAATCCAAATTACTCTTACAAATAGAAACATAAGCCATATATGGTGAAATTCAGTATAACTAAAATATAAGAAAAAGCATAATCAAAATTGTAAGGTAAAAGGTAAACTATGTTTACAATTTACTTTTAATTCATTCCTTTGATTTAATAAGAAATTTTTATTGAATGTGATAATTTCCAGTTTTTCATATAAGCACAGAAAACAGGGTTCATATAAAGATCTACATGTCCTTGCTGTTTTTAAAATTTTTCATTTCCCCTTAGAAGTTTTATCTTTTAAACTCCAAAGATATTTAGAAAATGATGTATTATTTCTGTACTATTGGTGAAGGACAAGTTATGTTGATACCACCTAGTCTCAAAAGAATTCTTAGTATTGCCAATATAGAATTTTTCAACCGTTTGATTCTCTATTATAGGGATAGTACAAAGATAAACAAAAGATTTAGTAAACATTTCTTTGGCAATGGGCATTGGCCAGTATCATTAATAATATTTTGCATTGGATCCAGATTATTAAATTTCTTTAAAATTTTATTATTTTGCTCAATATCAAAATTTACACTGATTTGTTTCTTTTTAGTAAGAAATTTATTTTAGTCCTGGCTCCTTATTTATCCCTGCATCTACTTTTTGCCATTTTGATTATTGTTGTTCCAATGAATCTTTCTGAAGAAGTGGTGGATGAAAAAAATACCTATAAAAGAATGTGTTTGGTCATTTTCAAGGCCATATATATATATATATATATATATATATATATGTGGAAGAGAGCTTTAGACATTTTATTTTCCATAAGAACTCTGAAATTTGTTCAGATAACAAGCTTTTAGTATCATTCGACATTGTAAGCTTGTACATGAACATGCCCCCTTCAAGACACCTTGCAAATCTGTACCAATATTCTCTATAGAGGTCACCTGGGTCCTGCATTAATTCCTGAAGCTTTGTTTTTGGAATTTATACACTTAGCAAAAAAGTGGGTGGAGTTTAGTTTTGATGAGAATATGTGCACACAAATCGATGGGGTTTCCATGGGCAGTCTTGTGGGTCCAGTTCTCACCAACATTTTTGTTGGTTATTATGAGAGCCTTGTTTTTTAAAAAAAACTGTAAACCACATGTCTATTGGCATTATGTTGATGATACATTCTCCATCTTTAAATTTATCAATGACGCCACAGCTTTTCACACCCTTCTCAATTCCCTTCACCCATTGTTGCAGTTTACTATGGAGGTGAAGATCGACAGTACTCTGCCTTTCTTGTATGTTTTGGTTGAACGTAAGGATAGTTTGTTCATCAATTCACAATGGACTAGGGTAGAAATCAAGTTGATCTTAGGGGACTTAAGAACAAAGGAATTCCAATTTGTATATAAATCTGTGAACATAGGTTTGTGATAAATGCTGGTGATGAACAAACTTTAGTGTTCACCTCTTTCATTAAGGATGGTCTGTCCTATTTACAAAATAGTTCAGTGTTATATAAATTTAAATGTCAGTGTGATGCTGCATACAGATGACGGACCAATCAGAGATTGGAGACTCCTACTGGTCAACATGTTCCTGCAAGTACAAGAGCAGATAACTCTAGTCGATTGTCTAGGATGACCGAAGCAGTGCGTAATTCAGCAATTGGTCAGCACTTTCTAGATAACCCTGACTGTTCACATCAATATACACATGAGTGTTTCACTGTCTTACATAGACCTTGATCCACTCATCATTTGAAGATTTTAGAAATGGTTTATATTAAAATACACTAACCAAGCCTATGCAAACAAAAAGAATAAAAAAGAATAGTTTAACAACTCACTAAGGTTATTTGGAGGTCATGAATAATACTTTTCCCTTTTGTACTTACTCAGAACATTTATCTTTTATTCAGTAATTATTTTTTTTTACTAATAAATTGTTTTAGTCGTGTTCCAAAATTAACTTTTCCCAACTCTTCCACTATTTAATTCTTGTGAATATAGTCTTAGTCCCGTCTAAACAAATCCTTCTGAAGAAGGTTTGGTTGCAAGAATTTTTAAGGGAAAAACGTCTAAAGTTCTTTGCAAATCAGTATATTTATTCTGTGTTGTCAAATCATTATTCAAATATATATATATATATATAATAATCAAGTAAAAGGTTTATCACTTAGCTGATGTTACCTTCAGCATTCTGACTCCAAAGTTTCATAGATGGATCCTCCAGGAATCACTCTGTCCACTTGTCAGGGGGTATCAGCAATTGACTTCTGTATATATATATATATAGAATGTGTGTACATGTGTTTTATTGAATGTGACAAAGAAAATCTTATAAATCTTTTTTTATTAAGTATTTAAAAAAAAAAAGAAAAAAGCACCTAGACACATATGAACAACTATCTGTCCCCTGCCTAGAAAAATTCTTGTTAATAACACAATCATTCTAGCGGTATCTAATTTTTGAAAATGTCTTAAGATTATGGAGGCTCTTTATATAAAAACAATTCAAGCTCAGCCTTACCTTATTTGATAACATGGAGGTCTTTTAAAACCCGCACAAACATGGAATCACAATCATATTTCTCTTGCACAACTTAGAATTTATATTACTTCCACACAATACAACTTACAACAAAAACATTAACAATAAATACATTGAAAATGACAAAGGAATTGACCAGAAAATGATCATTATGGACAGTTTCTACACTTTTAGCCTCCACCAAAAGGTAAACCTTAAGAACGTTAGAAAAATTTAATTAAAAAATAAGATTTTTCTTGTCTGTTACATTAAATGAAACATGTATAAAAGAAGTATTGCTGTCCATATATATATGTATATAATTATTTTTTATAAAAAATTATAACATAAGTATGTTATAAGATCACTACAAAAATAGCCATTTTGTTTCAACACATTCTGTGTCTTCTCAAGTGATGATGTTGAAAAGAAAATAAATGGTTTTAAAAAGTTTCAGATTAATTAACGATCCTACACTAGGGGGAGCATTGTTAAAAAAAGCTAGAATAACCAATCAAAAACGAAGTATAGAAAGATTCAAAAGCTTGACAACGAAATCCTGCTATAATAGCTATTCAGATCTTTAAATACGTGTAATATTAAAAATAATTTATACTAACTAATAATTATAAAATCATATGATAAAATTTAATATTAAAATTAAAAACTGGTAATTTTAAAATCCAAATTTAATCACTATTAAGTTTAAAAACTACAAAATTATTGAGAAAAAAAAAATATATATGTTTATTCAATTCATTTCTTCATTGAAATTATGTTCGACAAGGACGCTACAATATATCCGGTCATTTGATAATACATGTATATATATTTTTTTCCCTTTCCCTTTCATTTCCGTTTTTATTTTAAAGTTTGTGGATGTGGTCTTAAACTCACGCGTCAAGACAACAAAAACACAATCAGATTATAATACATAAGCACCCAGACATAATTAGATATACACACACATACACACACAAACACACACACACATACACACTAAAAAGAAAAAAAGAAAAAAAAAAAGAAGGAGGTGGGGGGGAAAAAAATGAACATCACTACAGCCCTTTATGAAAAAAGGGAGACGTGGAAACTAACACTAATACACACACACAGTGAATACACTCTACATACACATAGACACCGATAGATACACATACATACATCCACAGACAATGACAGACAATGAGAAATCACAACCAATAAATATTTCAGACTTAAATAAATGCTAACCACTTATTGAATTATAACTTAAGGGAGCAAATATACAAAAGATAAAAATGGTTAAAATAATATTATTTAATATATTAAAACGAAAATTCTAAAACCATAAATATCAATAAAATATATATTAATCATATAAGTTGATAATAGTTTCATTATATATTAGGCAAAAGAAAAACAGTATACAGAAACACACAACTATATATATATATATATATATATATATATATATATATATACACGGGAGCAAAACAAATTAACACACATAAATATACACTCATACATACATATACATATATATTTACATACAGAAATGCATACAAATAAATATATAAACATAAACATATACGCACATATACATATCTATGATAACAAGTACACATGCACGCACATATACATATAAACCTAAATACACCCACATATATACACACAAACTTTTATGCACACATACTTACATATATAAAAAAAACAGTCATGATATACCAAAGTTTCCATACCCCCACATACACACAAACAAACTCATACATAATAGGTGCCAACACACACACATATATATATATATATATACATTGGAATTCATTCCGTATATACCAATTATATACTTTGGTATATATATATATATATATAAAATAAGTTGTATGGATATGAGTTTGCGGTCATCACAAATGTGTGAAACCCAGAGGCACAAACTCATATCCATACAACTTATTATGTTAGCTCTATGACTGATATTGAGTGCTTTCCACTAAGTACCACACATATAATATACATACATACACAAAAAACACACACACACACACACAATGATGGACCTTGTTTGACTCCTGTTTTTGGTTAGCAAAATATAACCTTGTGAAGCATTTTTATATATATATATATATATATATATATATATATATATATATATATATATATCTCAGACTATCATCACTGTCTTGTCCATATATTGCTTAATATATTGTACAGTAATTGTCATCTTTGATAATGGCTTATGTAAGCTGAAAGCTTAGATTGGATTAAAAAATATGGATCAAAATTGTTTTCTTTCTTCGTTTAATGATAATGTTATTAAGCTTATCAGACGTTATGAAAAGAATTTACATAAAATAAATAGACAACACTTGTCTATATTATTTAATGAAACATGTATGAAAAAATATATATATATATATATATATATATATATATATATATATATATATAAAGACAACAGGAAAACTGTAATATTAGCTGACGTGTTTTGTCCAATGTGGACTTTTTCAAGGCAAAACAAAATGAATTTATTAAAACAAAGTAACTAATAATAACAAAACAAAATGTTCTTATCAACTGGAAGAATTTAGAAAATGCTATTATATTCATTGGCTAATATTACAGTTTTCCTATTGTCTTTTACATTTATAAATATTGTCATTTTCTACATGTTAACTCTGAGAAATTTTTCATATATATATATATATATATATATAATCAGAAGGATTTTGTTGTACAAATTTGTATGAAAGTCCTTGTAATGTGGTTGTTAGTAAATGTCTCTTGTTTGTGTTGGTCAATGAATAAATTATTTGCAAGTGATAAGTCTATCAGTAAAAGGCAATATTAAACATGAGAAAGTGATATTTGTTTAAGTTGACTTATCTGTTGGGGAAAGAAAATGTCTTTTTAGATTAGTTTATTTTATATTAGATTATATTTTTTTATTTTTAGTGATTGCAAGATCACTACATATATGTATTGTTTGCTTTGATAAAGTCGATCAGAGGATGAAACACATTGGCTAAGAAAAGTTTTCCTTTTGTCTTTATATGCAATATAATTATTAAACTTGTATTTACATAAACCAATTTTTGCTCATTTTCTTTTGTTTAAGATATAAAATCCTCCTTAGATGAAGTAAAAGCAAAGAAAAAGAAACTGGAAAATAATGTTAATAAGTCTGCAGACACTGTGAACATTTACCAGGAACTTGTGTCAAATGCCACGGAAATGCGTCGTTTGGTAAATGAAACTGAACTAAAGATCAATGCTAGCCAAGTAAAATGCTTGGCTGTTCAGAAATTGGCTGACCTTGTCTTGGCTGACAAAGATGAGTTAAAGAGATTACTGGAAGTGAAGAAAAAAGAGAAAGAAAAGGAAAGAAAGGAAAAGAAAGGAAAAGAAAGAAAGGAAAAGAAAGAAAAGGAAAGGAAAGAAAAAGAAGGTAATGAAAAAGACAAAGACAATAAAGAAGTTAGAAAAAAGAAAAAGAAGAAACTTAAAGATAAAAGTAATGACAATGTGATGGATTTGAATGGAAGAGAAAATGAAGAAAAAAGAAGAAAAGATAAAAAGAAGGATAATGATGGAGGAGTTGAGGTAGATGCTTCAAAGAAAGAGTTGGAAGAAAATGAAAGAACAAAATCAGAACTGAAGGCCTTGATAGAAAAATATCTAAGACTCCAGAAAGAAGAAGAAGAAGAAGAAGAAAAAAGAAAGAATGAAGAAAAAGGAAAGAAGAAAAAAGTACCAAATGTTGAAAGGGAAGAGGTGGAAGATAAAAAGGAAAGAAAGACTAAAAAAAGGAGAAGGAAAAAAAGTAAAAGAGATGACCTTGGGAAGAAAAACAATCAGGAAAAGGAAAGTGTAGATGAACAAAGGAATAAAAAAGAAAGGAATAAAATAGGAAAAAGAAGGAAAGAAGATGGGGAAGAAGTTGAGGAGAAAAGAAACAAAAAGAAAAAATTAACAGAAAACAGAAAGAATGAAGTTGATGTGAATCAGGTAACTGACAAAAATACCGAAAATGAGACAAGAAAGAAACTTAGTGAGATTGATATGAACAGTGTTTTGGAAATAAAGAAGAATCTTGAAGATGTCTTGAAGAAATTGAATCAGAAATTGGAAGGATCAAAGAACTGGAATCAAAGACAACGACGGAAAAGGAGGAGGAGAAAACAAATCGAATTAGCATCAAAGAAAAGGGATAAAAAAAGAAGTAGGAATAAAGGTGTAATGGGTGATAAAGAAATGATTAATGATAAGGAAACGAGTGAAGAATTGAATGAGAAAGAAGAAAGTGGGAATGAAAATGAAGATAAGAAGAAGAAAAAGAGAAGGAAAGTAAAAAATGAAGTTGAAGATCCAAAGGCAGATGCGGATGAAGAAGTTAAAGAGAATTTTGAAGAAGGTTGGAAGAATAATCGTACAGAGAGGAAGAGCAGGAAAAAAGATAGAAACGAAGAAATGAATGAAAAACAAGTGAAAAAGAATAAAGAAAAAGAGAAGAATAATGAACCAAGAAAGAAACGGAGGAAACATACAAATGATGAAAATACTGTAATTAAAGAAGATAAGAATATGAAAGAAAGAGGCAAAGGTGATGAAGTGAAAGAGAAAAAAGAAAAAAAGGTTAGAGATGAAGAAAATGACGAGAAGAAAGATATGCCAATGAATTTAAATGAAAAAGAGAAAAGTAATAAGGGTAAAAGAAAGAAAGATAAAAATGAAAAAAATGGCTTTGAAGAAGATACTGAAAGCAATGTAAGAAGAAGGAAGAAAAAAAGGAAGGTTATAACAAAAGAAGAAAATAAAAAAAGAGATAAAATAAAAGTTAAGAAAAATAGAATGAGTTTGGAAGAAGAGAAAGAGGAAACAGATGAGGATAAGGAGCATCAGAGGAAGGATTTACAAGAAGAAAAAACAAATAAAGTAAAAACTAGAAAGAGAAAAGATGGTACAAAGAAAGAAAATGACATCACTGATAGCATTGAGAATAATTCAAAAGAGAGAGAGAAAAATGATCTCATGAAAGAGAAAGAAGAAAAGGGTGAAGATAGTGAGAAGAATAGAAAGAAGAGAAAGAAGCCAAGGAAAAATAAGGAAGAAGAGAGTGAAAAAAGAAAAAAAAAGAGAAAAGAAGAAACTAAAAGTTTATATATCAAAAACGAAAAAGATGTGAATGAGACAGAGGAGGAAATGGAAGGAAAAGATAAAGACAAAATAGAAATGAATGTGGACAATAAAAAGAAAGAAATGTTAAAGAAAAGGAAGAAAAGTAATAATTCAACAATGACGAGTTTAGTAGAAGAAGGAAAAGTTAGGAGGAATGGTGGGAGGAGCAGGAAGTTTCAGCGAAAGAGGAAGAAAATTTTGAATGAGAAATTACAGAGTTCACCAATTTTTATTCAAGATGAAGAACAAAGTTTTGCAAAAGAAATGAAAAATAAGACTAAACAAATTGAGGAAGATGGTAAGTAAAATTTTTGTTTTTTAAAAAAAATATCTGAAAGTAATTTGAAGTTTTTTTTTCTTTTCATTTAGTTATTTTTTTTAAATGTCTTCATTTCTAATTATTTAAATTTATCTTTGATTACACCTGGTTTTTGGTCTTCAATAGGAGTAGATAAGTTTGCCTAACATCTTGTTCACACTCCTTCCCAGTCTTTTGATCTGGAGTAGAGGTTTATCCCTTGTTTCTGGTTCTTTCTAAAGTCTATTCATTCTCTTTCACTCCCAGTAAACCCTAGTATCTTAGTAGCATTATTGCCTGGCTTGGGGTGAATTGATTAAAAAGAATATCCATCTGATGTCAGTTTTAACAGACATCTTTTTCCATATATTTGGACAATTTCCCTTAAGTTAGTATTTTCTTGATTTCAGATAAAAACTAAAAAATTTTCCAACATATTTCAATGAAATTTTCACTTTTCAAAAGTTTATATAAATTGAAAGAAAGACTATCAGTTTAAACTGATACCAGGAGGAAGTGGGTTAACCTTTGTGATTTAGTAAGATGCTGAATAAAACAAATTTTTCTGTCTGAATTTCTGGGATGAGATGCTATCATTATTTACAGTTTACATGTGCACTATTTTGATAATGACAACAAAGACGAGGACAATAGTCTGAATGTAGATAGTGTAAATAAAACAATTTTTGTTCATTATTTACATTATTTGGACAATTGTCCTAATCTTTGTCACCATATTTATTACAATGTTTTGGCCGTTGTACGCTCTGACCTTCTTTAGGTGGTTGGAATATCGAACTGAACCCTTTATTTCACTCATTGGGGTAGACTGTTTTAGTTCCATGTGCCATGTTTAATGGATATCAGTTATCTCCTGTTAATTTTTTCTCTCTGAAAGTTTTCCACTGCCTTAACCGGGTATTGAACACACACTCTTTGGGTCCTGTAACTGGATCTAACCAATAATTTTATCCACTGTGCCATGTATCCCTGAGGAAACCTGGCACAGTGGATAAGTTCAATACCTGGTTAAGGCAGTGAAGAACTTTCAGAGAGAAAAAATTAACAGGAGATAACTGATAAATGATGTCCATTAAACATGGCACGTGGAACTAGAACAGTCTACCCAAGTGAGTGAAATAAAGGGTTCAGTTTGACATTCCAACCACCTGAAGAAGGCTGGAGCGTACAATGTCTGAAACGTTGTAATAAATATGGCAGCAAAGATGAGGACAATAGTCCGAATAATGTAAATAGTGTACATAATACTTCATCTCAGAAATATAGACGGATACTGAAGGGCTGAAATGTTGTAATAAATATGGTGACAAAGATGAGGACAATAGTCCAAATAATGTAAATAATGTACATAATACCTCATCTAGACAATTTTTGTTAAAATAAAAAATTCTAAAAGATTTCTTATTTCTTAAAATGTTTTTTTTGTTCTGCTTTTCATTTCAATTATTTTTAAATGTCCTAATTTTTTAATTATCTAAATTTATCTGGTATTATAGCAGATGCCACTATAGAGATTAAACCACTTGTAGAGAAATGTTTTGTATCTGTTATCCTTTGTGTTTGCTGTTTCAGTAGTCTGGAGATCCTCTTTGCTTAGTTTTCCAGTAGTCCAGAAATACCTTATAAGTTTTGTTTCTGTAGTCTTGAAATAGCTTTTCTTAAAAAAATATATATAAATTTTTACTGTAACATTTTAACTTAATGATCATGTGTTCTGTAACACATTACGGTCATAGGCACATTACATGTACTGTAGCTGTAGCAGAATTGTGTGTGTTTAGGTCAAGGGAGTCTGACAGAATCCATTCCTATCAAGCTGACTTTGGATTTGAAGTTTTTTTTCTTGTAGAGAGGCTGCTCTAGCAAGTGAAGAGTCCAGTCTGTCCCATTATATACAGCATTTAAATTCATAGCTTTTCTTCTCTTAGACTGGCTGCCACCCAAGGCAAGAGAGACTAGATGGTGAACAAAATGGAATTAACTGGAATTTGAACACTTTACATGGATTCTGCTTTCTTTGCTGATAACTGATAAGTGTTACTCTGCACATATCCATTTTAACTTGCTTAACTCAAACTGAAAGAGTTAGGGCATTCCCTGATGTCTTCTGCAGTTATTGGTGTGCAATAATCTCTTTTTGGGAAGACTGTGTTTTATAATAGATTAAATACATCCAAATACCTTCACTGATTTGTTGGTGTCTAAACTAATCAATGGATAGTGATAAAAATTTATACATATTCATCTTAAGATTAGATCACCAGCAGTTGTTATAAATTTTATAACCCATTTGAATTTCCCAAATGATGGTTTTGCTTTTATATAGAAGACATTAAGCCTTTCACTACTGCATTGTCTATAGCATTGTGGCCTGGCTGTACTGGCCCATTTTGGGGAAAAGTTGAAACTATCATTTACTAGAAATAAAGGAGAATAAAGATGTTGACAGAAATTTCTCATGGGTTCTACCATTTTGGTTTTGATCCAATACTCTGCAGTACAGACTAAGCTAAAGAACATCCCCAACATGAAATATAAAAATACATTTTTAAACAGGTTGTATTGTATCCTAATATATTAATACTAGTTTGTAAATAGTAGGAAGCATTAGTTAGATTATAACATAATTGTTGTAAATTCATTTCTGTAGTTCCAGTTTTTTAGAACAGGCAAATTTTGATTCTTCTATTAACCTATTGCTTATCTGAAAGAAGACCATGCGAGGTGAGATGCTTAGCCAATTCAGAGTTGGTTAGAGCCTCTGGTATGTTGTCATATATATATATATATATATATATATATAATGTTTGTCTGTGTCAACACTCAGAGGTGAAAGGCTGTTACATGCTAGATGCAATCATCAGGCCGTGAGTGTTGGATTTTTTCTTGACTATATGGGTCAGTGGTGCATTGGGGTAATCTATTCTGGTGGGAGTGACTTGTCCATTTATTTATTTGTTTTACTTATTTAATTTATTTTACTTGCTTTTCATTTTCATTTTTTATTTTATATATTTATTTTTTTCGGTTTTCAATGTTTTATTAATGTAGTAAAAACATTTTTGGGGATTTGCTTAGGTTGTTTATTTAATAGTTTGTTTTGGTCTGGGAAGATAATTAAAGCTTTTTATTTGTTGAATTTTTAGATTGCTTGCTGTAGTCTATTCTGTTATTTTGGTGGGAGACAGTTTTTAATTTGTTTATTATTTATTTATTTGCATTGATTATTTTTACATGTTTTTTCTTATTTATGTTTATTGTTATTAGTTCTAATGGTTATTTTAGTGGGAGTGATTTTTTAATTTGTCCGTTTATTTATTTATTTGGATTAATTTTTATTTGTTTTTTCTTATTTACTTATTTCTTATTTTTTATATTTTTATTTGCTCTATTTGGTTTTTGAGTAACGTAATAATGTTTTTTTATTTATTATTATATAGCAGTTATAACTACTTTTACGTCAAATTATTGTATTGATTGTTTCAGTCTATTCTAACGGTTATAATTTATTTGAAAATTATAGCATAAATATGTTATTGCTCTACTTTGTATTGAGCACTGTTTTAAGAATAGTATTTTTTGTTTATTGGAATTTATTCCATATACACCATCCTATACTTGTGTGTGTGTGCATATATATATATATATATATATATAAAATGTGTGTTTGTGTGTTAACAGCAGGCAATATAAGTTTCATAAATATGTACAAATACATTTTGAAAATATATATATATATATATATATATATATATATATATATATATGTCAACAGCAGCCAATGTAAGTTTAGTAAAAATGTATAAGTATGTTGTCAGCAGATGTTGTTCATCATAATAACACCAAGTAATTCCCTGCATCTTAACTGTACCTCTTTGCACAAAAATAAAACTTTTGCTGTTTGCCGTTGCCTTTAATAACAATGAGAATATGTTTATTTTTTTATTTTTGGAGTTTATCTTTTAAAGGCTTGTAAGAGTTCATTAACTCTACTGGATTGACAAAATGATTTTGATTATAAAAAAACAGAGCTGCAAAATATTAACAGAAAGAAACTATTTTTATGTTAACCATTAATTTTTGTTTTTTCTTCTTTCATGTTTTTTTCTTTCTTACTCCTCTATCTTCTTCCTCTACATCCCTCCATTTTTTTTCCTTTTTTTTTTCTTTTCTTTCTTCCACTTCTGTGGACTTTTCTTGTTTTTTTAGTCAAAAAAAGTAAAATGGCTGTGGAAAGCATTGTGAAGCAATTGAAGGAATTCTTTCCTGACCCTTGTACAAGCATTTCCAATAACATCAACCAGTTGCGGTTGAATGTATCACAGATACGGCAAAAGATTCAATTGGCAAGAACAATTGTTTCTTCTATGAAGGTAAGATTATTTCTGTCTGAATTTCTAGGATGAAGAGTTATCATTATTTACATAAATTACATTTGGACTATTGTCCTTCTCTTTGTTATCAAAATGTTTTGGCAATTGTGCCTACTATCCTTCTTCAGATGTTTGTACATCTGGGTAAATGGGTTTCAAAATTCCCTGAAGTTTAACCAGATTGACAAGCAACTGAAGAAGGCCAGAGAGAATAAAAGCCGAAACATTGTGAAGATAACAACAAAGATGAGGACAAATGTTCCAAATGTAAATAAGCTAAGATTGTGTTGAAGATTTTTGATAATGAATATGTTTTTGGTATGTTTATGTTGTAATGGAATGTCCTACTCTCCCTATTGCCCATTGTGGAATGACTATATCAGTAAATATATATATAGAGTTCACAGGATATACCTGGCAGACTTGCTTCGGGACTTGCTAGTCTGCTAACTGATTCCCTGTCTTTCAGTAGTGTATTCTCTTTTACAATAAACCTCTCTTTCTTTTCATCTAAACCTGTGTTGCTGTTCCTTTCACTCAAGTACCATCTTTGTCTGTTTGTAACCTCCTTTTAAGGATACAACAGTGGCGATGAGGATGGGATTCAAACTCACAGCGAGAAATAGCTCAAAACACTGTTTGTAATACATACAACAGTGGCGACAAGGATTTACTTCAAACTCACAGTGAAAATGACCCCAAAACACTGTAAAACATACAACAGTTTATTAGTATGTTTTGGAAGGTTTTGCATTTAGTATTACTACTTCTATGAGGTTTGGCAAAATGAATTGGTGCAGTAGTTATATTTGCCACTGTATTTGCATGTTGGCTTGTATTTTTATATCTTTCAGTATTTACCAAAGTCAGATCAGACCATGTGGGTGATGAATTATTTTCCACCCTGCAAACCTTACCCTACAGATGGAACATTGGTAGCTTTTCACTACTCTATCACTATTACTATGGCAAATGTTCTAACAAGTCACACTCCTTAGTCCCACCAGCTCAGACCTTCACAGGTAGGACCCACCATGACATCTTCAAGGTGGCAAATCACCCCCATTACCTTTGTGTTCATTTGGTAAAGTGTAAGTTCCACTCGGAAAGCTTCTTCTCCAGAACTGTTACTTTGTGAAAAAATCTCCCGAGAGGGTGCTTCCTTGACTACTACAATCTTAACTTTTTCAAATCGAGGGTCAACTGATATCTATCCTACTTATCCTCATAATATGCACTTCTTATCATGTCCTTCCCACCATGTTTCAACAATCTCACTCAGTAAGATTCTATCTTGAGTAGCCCTTGGGCCTTGTATTGGATGAACTAAAGTAAAAAAAAAAAAAAAGTTGCAGGTACTACCTAAAAAAAATTCTAAAAACAAAGCCCCTTCCTTATAGATTGTAGAGGCGATCAAAGAATTGATTAGCAGAAACATATTAACAAAAAGAATGAAATTAATCATCATTATCATCATTGGTCCTCTGACTAGGTTTGGCTGTAGAGTTGCTACACAACTGAGCACTTCCCTACTTATATCTGGGCTGAAAACCAGAGAGGTATTCATGCATGGCATGTCTTAGACTATGTGAAAATCAAACTGTGGCTGATGTCCTCCAAGATGAAGGCTCGCCTTGATCCCAGACATATGGTCATTGATTCCATCAGGGGAAATCCTCTGCCCATGCTCTGCTCTGTCATCTCTGCATTATCTGCATATAGAGTTATGGAGCCCAGTCTATGCCATTTTGCTAGAAGTTTGTTGACCCCCTATTAAAATGTTCCTCCATCCTTTGGCAGGTCCTGTTTTTAATCCTACTGGCTGTCTAGACACCCTCCTCACCAGAAAAGCCTGGTGGGGGAACCATTTTAGTTGCCAATGACTTGACCATGTGGCACATAGTACTAGGTTACATGGTAACAGGAGTACTGGTAGAGCGACTTGACATCAAGAAATTTAACTAAAATGAAATTAATAGTCTTGAGCAAATCATATTATGGCCATGTCTCATTTTAAAATCACAGAAAGTATTAGTACTATATAATTTAAAATCACAGAATGTACTATAGGATTAAGTTAGTATTTGTTAGTATAAATATATATTTATAAATATTTCTTAATCTCATTTCATCATGTTTTTTCTGCAGCATTTTTTAAAGTAGACTTCTTTTATTCTGTAAGATTAAGGAGGGATATATGGGTAGTGTAGTGGATATTGGTGTAGGTAGTAGAATTGATAAACCTAGATCAAATTCCAACCTAGCCTCTGGCATTCCTTCCATACAAATTCACTTGAGAAAGGCATGAATCCTCTCCCCCCTCAGCTATCAGTAGAAAAGCAGAGTAAACTAAATGTTCAGGCCTTGGATGACAATCCTTCTAAGAGAAGGAAAACTCTGGATTCCAAACTATAGAGGAAGCAATAGGAAACCACTCCACTATCTTTCCCATGTTAATCCACAGATAATCATGAAAAATGAATCTGTGAAGAGCCTTGATTATCTATGATCTTGAATCATTTAGAAATACATAAGCTGTCTTAGATCAATGGTTAAAAATGGCTTTGAGTAAGTGAAGTGTATGGATCTTGCTGAAGACAAAGCACACATTTTATATGTATAATAATAATAATATTAGCTGGCCACTCGTATTCGAGGATACTCGTCTACTAAGCTGGCTAGCCAATCCCTATTGTAGACACTCGCTCAGGCACATTTGTGTTTGCTCCTCACACACAGAGCCCACCTGTGGTTTATATTGCAACTACACCGAGCAGACCTTAGTTACAGTTTCTAGGAGAGAGCATATTATCTAGTGTGATCAGCAATTTCAATAAAGCCAGCATGCTCAAGCCCTTGGCTTGTGGCTTTGTTCTAGCACAGCTATCGATGGCCCTCAAGAGTTCCGTCTATCCAATTTCACTCACAAGGCTTGCATCCACCTGTGGTATGGTTTTCAGGCACTTTCCAAAGGTGTCTCATGCTGGGGTTGACCTTGATCCATTCTGATAACATCAGGAAGTCTCCTTCCTGACAAATCGACCATGGTGAGATTCAAACCTGGGTTTCATGATCAGAAAGCGAACATTCTAACCACTCGTCTCATGCACCCATACATATATATATATATATATATATATATATATATATATACATACACACGAGAAATAAGTCTATGGCCTGATATTCAGTTATTAGCTTAATTTTTATCTATCATTTTGCTGTATATTGTTTAATATATTGATTAATCAAGAAGCACTGTATTACAGATAAATATAAAATACAGAGAGAAAGAGTGCAATGGATAAATTGTTGTCTAAATTATGCCAAAATTAAAATAACACATTTTAACAGCTATATTTACCAAAATTACACAAAAATATCTTGAAATACTAAAGCATAAATTTATTCAATAAAATTACAATTGTTTTCAACCATGGCCTCCAGACAGCTTCAGAATCACCTGCAACTCTTCTGGATGGTCTCCTTGTTTAAGTTGGTGAATATTTCCATAATCGTTGCCTTCAGTTTATCTTTGGTGATACAAGGAGTTTTGTTGGTCTCTCACTCAACTGCACCCCACACATGATAATCAAAATGTTCAGTCTGGTTAGTTAGGTAGCCGGATGTAAAGGGTGATGCGGTTTGCTGAAATTGTCTGACAGCCATGACTAGGTTATCCTGCTGGTGTGGCATTGTGCAGTCCTGTTGCCAGATATAGTGACTCCCAGCAGCCACCCTCTTGACTCAAGGCAGCACTATCTTCTCAAGGCACTTGATGTAGGCCTCCAAGTTGAGTCTGAGTCAGATTATGCAAAAAATAAGCAGACATAATGTTTGTAACATTTAATCAGACATGCCTAAAAGAGAATTTGCTGCCTAAATACATACATACACACACACACACACACACACACACACACACACACACACACATATATATATATATATATATATATATATATATATATATATATATATATATATAATAGATGTGTTGGTGTGGTAGTGGATAGTGCTTTGGAATAAGAAATTGGAGAAAAAAGTTTGAATTCCAGTTGTACTCATTACATTCACTTATGTTCAAATACCTTTATGAAAAGTATATATCCATCTCTTCTCTCCCCAGTTATGGGTTCAATAGTAGGGCAAATTGTGCTCCTTAACTGTGGTTGGTAACCAGTCTAGAAGGATAACACTGAATTCAAAACACATTGGCTAGCAACTCCATTTTGTTAAAACCTACTACTTGCTATGAAAACCACAACAGAAATGCTTAGCATGCTGAGAGCTGTGGGCTCCATATTCCTCAAGGAGTCAACTGTATAATGCAGAAATTTATTTCTGTGTGTGCTTTTTGTATAATTTTTCATGATTTTGTTTGCTTTTTAAACATTTTTTTTTTTTTGTGTTTTTCAGATTCCAGTTTCCCTGAATGGGGAACAACATCTGGAAATGATGCTGAATCAAAAAACTGAGTCAAGAGAAATTCAAACTTCAGTTGAAATTTGCATTAAACCAAGAACTACCGATTCTGTAATTTTGAGTCTTCAAGCCAACAATTCTGTAAGTAACATTTACTTGTGTAAAGACTTTAGTATTACTGAAAGTAAGGACAAAAAAAAAATCATTATCACTTAAAAAAAAAGTAATAAATACTATCTCTATCCCATAATAGTTATTGCATTTGCATAATTTTCTTTATGATTATTCACAACACAAATAAAGAAAAAAGATTCATGTAAGTGTTATATTTAGTAGGTACATGTATTTGAATAGACAGACTTGTTTTTAAACAGTGAAATTGATGTCAGTGTTTTTCAAAGTATTAAGAAACAGTAAAAATTTGAAATTCATTAGAAACAAAAAAATAGAGTTATGGGTTATGTAATATCTCAGTCCTCCTTTATGGCAGTGAACGTTAAACAGAAAGACGTATCTAACATGTGAGCAATGATACAGTTTTAGAGAAAATGGTAACAAAAAGAATACTTATACTTAACATCAGGAATGACAATTGAAATTTCTAGGACACATAATGAGGAAAGAGGTCTTAGAAAATTTGATACTCACAGGACAGATTGAAGGCAAGAGTGACAGGAAATCAAAGCATAACCTGCTGGACAATCTCCTTACAGAAGAAGAGACTTAAAGCAAACAAAAAAGTGGTTCTACAGAATGATGCTGAGCATACCATGAACTGAACATATGAACAAGAATGAGGTTTTAGAGAAGAAACAAAAACAACATCTGTAGTTAGAATCAGAGAAAGACATTTGAAATTCTATGGAAATTCTACATAATGAGGAAAGAAGGCTTAGAAAATTTGAAACACACTGGAGATATTGAAGGAAAAAGGAAAGTAGTGCATAACTTACTTAACAAGCATGTACAAATGTTTGGCAGAACAGGGATTAGGAGAGATAACAAAAACAAAGTTTACAAAGGTCAGGATGTTGTGGAGAGCCATGCTCTCTAACGTTCTGAAGTGACATGGCACATAGAAGAGGTAGAATTGATATCAACCTGCCTATGCTTTCAAGAGTCTTAATAAAAAAAAATGTGCTTTTCAGTTTCAACCTGAAACCGCCTTTGAATCAGGTGTGCCTTAACCTGCTCAGCCATGAAAAACTTCTCAGAAAAATCAAGTTTCAATTACTCTTTTAAAGAAAGGTACATCTCTCATTGGTCACTTTTGAAGCCCATATTTACTAACTTTACTTTCATTTGTGAAATGCAAACAAATTAATTTTTAAAGAATTAATGAATTTTATTTATAATCCAACGTTATTTCTTATTATTATAATCAGGGGTCGGTAACCTTTAGGGGCCAGACAGCGATACAATGTCTTGGAGGAAGGCCATGATATTAAATGTACGATAATAAATTCTTGGCCTCAGACTGCTCTATCCAGAAGGCTGCTTTGGTTTGGAGGTTTAAAAAAAAAAAAAAATGTAGTTAATGTTATATTATTTGAACAACGTTCCTATTTTTACTGCATGAATAACAGGATAACAACTAATGCAGTCAACAAAAAAATGCTAATTTGTTACTACGGTTCAGTTGGTGGGCTGGACAAAAATCCTTTGTGAGCTGGATGTGGCCCTGCCGCAGGGGGTTGCTAACCCCTGCTATAAACATTATATTTTGTAGGCACATGTGCTTGAATAGACAAACCCATGTTTTGAACAGTATAAATGATGTCTACTGGCCTGGGCACTTGAGAATCTTAATAAAGAAAATCTTAACGATAAAAATATTTTTTGACTCTGAATGGCCACCAAAAGGGTTGATAAACCTTAAAAAATAAATCAATCTCAGTTTTTGTTATTCAGGTTTTTCTGTCAGTGTATTTTTGATGTTAGTTTTCAATTATTCTTAGTGATTTGTTTATTACTGTTTTATTTCAATATATTTTCTGTTTATACATTATTTTAAGTAAATGCCCTGTTTATAATAAACAGTATTAACAACATTTAATGGCCTCAATGTCCAAGAAATCTCAAAAAAATATGTGTCCTGTGACAAGAATCAAACCTGCATCACATACAGAACCATCATATGGCTTGAATAAATATACCATTTATCTACAGAGGAATCATCTGGTTAGCAAGGTTAAATTACTGTTTTTAAACTACAAATTTCATGCTAAATGGTATAGCATAGGATACAGGTTCGATTCCTGTCAAAGGACACATATTTTCTATGAAATTTTCCGGATGTTCAGGCTGGTAAATGTTGTTAATACTGTTTATTATAAACAGAGAATTTACTTAAATATTTGCATCTATAAAAATAACACATAAACATTTATATATATATATATATATATATATATATATATATATAAAAGCAGCAGCCCTTTTTATTCATGTTGGATTCAAAAGAAGATACTTCTGTTAAGTTTTTCTTTTTTGAACAAAAAAGTTTTCTTGTCTGCAGATAAGATAAACTGTTCTCCTGATTACTCTTTTCTCCTTGTATTCATCTATATAATAAATGCAAATGTCAGTGTCACACTTTTAAAGGGACACAACTCTCTAACTTTCAATAGCTCATGTTACAGAAATTTTGGATTCCCAAGTTTTCATTACTGCGAATGTTTTAGGAAACTTTTTTTATGTGATTTTTTGCAACAATTTTTTTTTTTACAATAATAATTTTTATAACTTGGTAATAAATTTGAGAATAATCAAAATTATCTAATCGAAAGTCACCCATAGAATAAAAATAATTGTTTATACAAAAAGTAAAGACCTACACACATCAAATTGTCTTTAAATTAAGTGGTGGTAGAAGAATTATTGTTGAACTTTTAAAAGATAGGCTTAAATATTAATGCAATACTTAATTGCAGAAATCAATTTTGAGTTCTCTTGTAGTTTATTGTTGCCTATCACATACGACAGCAGTATGCTTCACAAAAAGAAATCCTTACCAACAGAGGACCAGATTGCAATCAAATCCCATGCAAATGAAAACCCAGATAAAGTGGCAACCAAGAGTGCTTCCACTGTTAAAAATATGCAAAGACTCTCAAACTCCTGAACAAGCTGAAGGCCCAATCAAGAGCCCTCTGCAAGAACTAGCTTAAATACTGCTCAATAAGCTGGATTTTAAGCTAGTTACTAATGTTTCTGTACCTAATTCCTCTACACCCTGTAATCCCTTACATCTTAGTGGCTGTACTGCCTTGCTTACAGTGACAGATTAAAAAAAAAAAATTTTTTTTTTAAATGTATATATTTTTATTACTTTAGACATTACTTTTAGTAGATACTCATATTTGAGTAGACACTCAGATTTTATTTTAAACAGTATTTACTTTATCTACCGGCCTGCACATTCAAGAAAAACTTATTAAAGAAAATATATCGGAATTTGAACATGCATCCTCCTTTGCAGGAGAAACCACCATCTGATCCAGAATGCTTTAACCAGTCAGCTATGAAGAGCTTCACAATCAAGCTCAAGTGGGCAGACAGGTAGACAAAATAAATACTGTTTTAAATTTAAGGGCCAATAGAAATTTGCTTGACTGTGAAGCAAAAAAATTGTTTACACATAAAATACACAAACACATTTTTTTTTTCAATCTACCAATTTTTATTACTGTAGTCATATGTAAATGACTGTCTAATTAACATAGCTAAGGCATAGGGATTATATAAGTGCCCAAGCAGCAAGGAGATGGCCAGAATATGATATATGAGATTAATGACGGGCTGAGAAAAATTTCATAACAATTACTTTAGGTTATATTAATAGAAGAGGTAAAAGGTGGATCATTGATGCTTTTAAACCAGTTGCTTCAGGTAGCTAGACCTTGTCCATCTTCAGGAAGATCATCCATCTTAGGGAAGAAAAAATGAATTCAAAGCTTCACTGCCTTGTGGCCATATCTAAAATGGAAAAGTCTGTGAAAAGATATAAAATAATACAGTTGTCAAGATTGACTTGATTTTGGCAACTACTGCAACCAAGCCAGCTCAAAACAAAATACCCTGATTTCCTTTGGGTCTTGGTTTGATTGAGATGTGGGGAATAGGGACAATATTCTCTGGGTAACACAAGGCCACCATATACCACCATCCAAGCATAACCCCCAAATAGGTCACACTAGTTTTGCCAACCAGTGGGAGTTTGACGTAGAAAAGCTTGCTCTCAGTAGGACTGACATTGTCTAACCTTGACACTACCATTATTTTGTATGATAGATAGATGCTAACTATAATTATACACTTCTTATATATTAATTATATCTGCAGTGTATGTGGTTTGATATGTATTCCTATGCAGAAGCAAATAAAAAAAAATAAAGAAGAAACATCTATATCTTCTTCAAACTCCATTATCATGATGTTTTTATATCTGCACATATATAACAAATTGTTTATTCATATATACATAATGTTTCACTGATCTTTTGTGTATTATTGTATCTATGCGCATATATGCCAAGTATCAATATGTCTGTAATTTGATAACTTTTTGTAATATTTTTTTGGCAATACTGGCAACAGATAAAAAATAAAAATGAGAGTTCAAGCAACATTTTTATTGTCTGAACTATTTCAGTTTGACCTTCAGAATAAAAGAATAATGATTTGTTTATTCCTTTTCTTGTATATATATATATATATATATATATATATATAACAGTGCTCTAGTGTGATTTTTCAAAATGAACATGTGTTTCCCTTGGATGCTGTCAAGTTCTACTGTTCTTTTTCCATGTTTAAAAAAAAACAAACCCCAAAACAAGTGTTAAAACTTTTGCCCTTGTATGAAAAACATTATTAATGAATCCTTGAATCTACTGCTCTGGAAAAACCCAACTTTGCTAACAAAACCCCCAACAGTTTTACTAAACCTTATTGAACGCCATACAACTAATATAAGTCCATCTATCTTTTTAGAAGAAATTGATAATATTTTACAGGAGCATCCACAGTATAACCTAATATATACTGATAGCTAAAAAAATAACATTGATAAAGTTGGATGTTCAGCCGTTCTTGATGTCATAACAATAAAAATCGCCAAGCTAACAAATCCTCTATATTTTAGTGCTGAAGCTATAATCATAGACTTAACTTTAAATATCATAATAGACAATGAACCAGTTTCTATGTTTTCTTAGATTCACTATCCACTGAGAAACTAAAGCAAAAACTATCCCTTAATAGTTAAATTACTAAACAGGATCAATCACATCTTGAAGAATAAAAGACGTGTATTCTGTTGGGTACCTAGCCTTATTTATAGGCAACTATGGAAAGGGAAAAGCTGACATGGCATTAAGGGAATCACTCAAATGAACATTCCAAATTGGAAAGTCCCCTACACAAATTTCAAAGCAGCTATAAAACTCATACATTCTAAAGTGGCAAAAGTTATGGACCTGCAACCCAAACAACAAACTTTACAAAATTAAACCCAATCTTGAAGAATGGTCACATGGTCTCAGATATTCTCAGAAGGAAGAAATCATCCTATCAAGAGTCAGAACAGGACACACCTATATCACTCAATCATTTCTCTTAAAAATGAACATCATCCTGAATGCTCAGAATGTCAGTAGACATATACTGGAAAACACATTATAACCAATTGTAATGACCTTGCTTCTATATGTCAATGGTGTTTTGAAATGTCTAGTCTAGAGGACTGTTTTCAAAAAGATAAAAATAGAGATTATCCCAGCCTACTTGAAGGAGGTTGGTCTATGCCACAAATTATAACACTATATAACTGCATCCTAAAAGTATAGCTGGATAGTGATAAAGCCAATGCCCCAAAGACTTTTTACAAGACGTATATTTAAAAAAAAATCATTTCAGCATTAAATAACCATGAGAGTTGATATGGTGTTAAGACAGAACAACCAATCAGTTGCTCTATAAATTAATTAAAATTATAGTGATCACTTCGATTAGCTTGTAGAAGATCTTTTGAATAGTGTGGCTGCTCCATACTATTATTATAATTTGAGAAATATATATAATGTCAGTGGCATCAGTTGGTTATTGTCATGAGGTGTACACTGAGCTATTGTACAAAACCTACAATTCTTGTTGCTGGACACTAGTATGTTTGGGTCATATTAGTCACATTTATGTTATAGGAATCCACACTTTGGATACTAAATATTTATGGGCTCCTGGAATATTTATCCTGCAAATAATATTGGTGGACTCAATGTGAGTCCAGGTAAAAATTGATTAAACTAAAAAGTAATTATGAAATAAACAACAATGCATGTATTAACAAAAAGAATTACAGGTGTAGACAATTGTAAGGAAAAGACAAAAAAAACATTAAAACATTATAAGAATGTGCTTGTATGTGTGTGTATATGCATGTGTGAGAGTTCAAAAGTCAAAGGAGGACCAAAGAAGAGAATGTGCCTTGTTAGCAGCGTTCCTGTCTACATCCAACTATATATTGAAATCCAAAACTAAAAAGAGGGTGAGTGAGAATATCATCGCCTATTTATAGGCTTAATGAGTGCACCCTAGCAGCATTTTGGCAAAGCAAAGTAGGATAACCCACACTCTAACATAAGCATTACATCAGTTTGGGGTTATTTCTATTGACTGATTGCTTAATTACTACATCGGTCCTACAATAGTTGATATATTTGTGTGCACATTTGATACACTAAATCTAATAACCATTATGTTAGTATTTTTTATATATTAAATTTATATTGAATGTCTTACATGTATATTCAAATGTATTTTTTATATATTAAATATTTAAGTATAGCAAAGAATATAATTTCTATTTACATTGTTTGAACTATCATATTTATCACAACACTTTGGCCATTGTACATTCCGGCCTTCTTCAGGTGGTTGGAATGTCAAACTGAACCCTTTATTTCGCTCACTGGGGAAGACTGTTCTAGTTCCACGTGCCATGTCTAATGGATGTCAGTTATCAGTTATCTCCTGTTAATTCTTCTCTCCAAGTTCTCCACCACCTTAACCAGGTATTGAATTCGCAATTCTTTGGGTCCTGTCACTGGATCTGACTAACAGTCTGCCCCAGTGAGTGAGATAAAGGGTTCAGTTTGACATTCCAACCACCGAAAGAAGGCCAGAGTGTACAACGGCTGAAACGTTGTGATAAATACGATGACAAAGATGAGGATGATAGTCCAAACAATGTAAATAGTGTACATAATACCTCATCTCGGAAATATAGACAGATACTAATATCATTTCTGGTTTAATAAATTAAAATAGAATTCCTTTGCTATATTTAAATACTATATATCCAGTTTTTAAATCTGGATCATGGAAATTCTCTATCTTTCTTTCTAGCAGATTATGATGAACTATTTTTTTGACTGATATGGTATAAGCAACCATGACTTTTATAGTTTGATATTCTTTTCAGATTAGTTATTCTTTGGCTTTGGTTGATAGTAAACCACTCTTGACCATTTTGGATGTGAACGGGGAGATGTTGAAAACATTAGAGCCAGATACCAAATTAATCAAAAATAACTGGTACCAATTCCTTATTCACAGGTAAGTATAATGGGATTTGTTGAATAATATAAGATTGATTGGGTCTCTTTTTAATTTGAAAGACAAATTATGTGTAAGGTGCAATCCATGGGGGATAGGTAGAGGCAGTGGCGGCCAGAGGGGTGGGGTAGCTGGTATTAATGTGTCGGCCGTTGAAACATGAGGGGTCTCAAGAAAATACCCTTAGGGGTTTCTTCAATACAAAAAGTAGAGTAAAATTATGAATCTGTATTTTATTGAAAAAAATACAAAGACTAAAACCAGTTCCAAAGCAGCTTAAAAGTGCATTTTTCAAAATTTCACTGAAGCAAATTGCGTGATGAGTTCCTTAAAGTCTAATTCTCATGCCAAGTCACTCAATTGTAAGTGTTGTCAAGTTGGTAAGATGGCCTTAAAGCATTGTTGGGCATCTCCTGTTCCGAATTGTTAGGCTTCAAAATAATCTGAGTGGTAGACTGTGGAAATTCTCTCTCCGGTATTGTGTAGAGGGGCTAGTTACTTAGGCTTTAGTGGTGAAAAAGAGTGAGATTTGAGGGTGAAAATAGCAACTTAAATGTGGAGGGGGTAATTTTTAGTGGTGGAAGAACTGCCTATGCTTTAGGGAATAGGTGTGATAATTTTTTTATACTAATGTTCACTCAATACAAAGTCAAAGACTCACTCGAGGTACAGCGTTATTGTGTGGGGTTGTGTGAGTGTAAGTTAAAGTCAAGAAGAGAAGTTCATGGGATTATACAGGAAAGGTGACTTCTAGACTTGAAGACATCAAGATTGTAGCAATTGGGAAAGCATTATCTGGAGTCTGTTCTATAAAGCAGCAGTTTTTGAATAGAAGCTGTCTGAGGAGAACTTACTGAGGGTTGGAACAACTGCTTACACCTTTTAAGTAGTGATAGTTGAGGACTGGAAGAGCTGCTTATATATAATTTTCTCTTACTTCATAAAATGTTCTTTCATCCAAAGAGTTGTCTGTAAATTCTTCTACTGTTTATTTTTTGTTAAAGATGAAGGATGAGATATATATATATATATATATATATATATATATATAATGATCAAAAGTATCAGGACTGGTTCCACGAAAAGAAAGCTACAACACATCAATTTGGGATTTAATCTCCTTTGAAATAAACCCCCTTCTGAAGCCACATACTTTATCTGGCATTGATGGAATTATCCCTGGAACTTCTTTTTTTGGGTTAGTGAGCAGCTGCCTCTTTGCATTCCCTTGGATTTCCTTGACATCTTGTTCCTTTTAAATGGGATTTTATTTTTGAAGAGGAAAAAGATGCAAGGGCTGAGATATGGGGAATATGGTTGTTGTCTCTGACCTGGGGAATGTTGTTCTTGGCCCAAAACAATGGAAGTGAGTGAATATAACTTAGTGTGTATGCCCGACAGAGTTCAAGGTTAACCTGTGCCAAGTGGCTTCATACTGAATACTTTAGCTCCATTATCATAGTAATAGTCTCAATTTGATACTATTTGATCAGACCTCATATATATATATATATATATATATGAGATTCATTTTCTTTTTTTATATCTGGTTGACAGATTTTGATATGGAGTGAATGAGAAAGAAGTCTAATTTGGTGTCTAAAAATCCATTTAACACTCATTAGTTTTAGATGTACAATTATCTCTCTGCTTTTATTATCTCCCTTGGTTTTTGTAATGTTGATATTAAACTAATATTTGCCTGGTATAAGGTCATGATAACAGAGCATCCAGTAATAAAGGGCAGAGGAGTCAACAAGTCATTTGCACATGTTTATATTTAATGATATAGTACAATTATTTTGTGTAGCCCTATTATTTATGTTTCTCTGTTAAAAAAAAAAAAAAAAAAGAATATATATATATTGTCTAGTATTTGTGTGCCAGGTTTACACATGATTCTTCTACTATGTACACTGTTTCTTCATGATGTGGGCGATCATGGCTCTCCACAACTTTCTGTGTTGCTTTTAATAAGATTTGTCTTATTGTTATCTCTCCTAATTCCTGTTCTGCCAACCCTTTACAGAAATTCATTAGGTAGGTTATTTGATGTGTTCCTCTGTCTCTCGTGCCTTCATTGTGTTCTGTGAGTGTTAAATTATCTAAGCCGTCTTTTCTCATCATGTGCCCTAGAAATTTCAATTGTCTTTCTGATTCTAAGTGTCCTTTTTGTTTTCATTTTTCTTAAAACATCCTCATTACTCACATGTTCAGCCATGGTATTCTCAGCATCTTTTTATAGGACCACATTTCTGTTGTTTCAAGTCTCTTCATCTATGTGGAGATTGTCCAGCATTCACTGCCATATAGGAACATTGATATTACATAGCATTTCAACACTTCATTTTTGTGAATAATCTTTCAGTTTCCTGGCAAATGATCTCCATTCTTTATTTTCATCAGTCCAGATTGTTACACGTTGGATGCACTTTCCTAGAGTTGAATTTTTTCTTCCATATTCCAATTGTGATCCGAAAGTTCCACTTTTTCCCCCTCAAAATCTGCTATCTGTGGGATAGACTCCTGCATTGATGCTTTCCTGAAATACTACAATCTTAACCTTTTCAAGTCATGGTTCAATTGTTATCTATCTTCCTTATCCTCCTCCTCATCATCAATTCCTATCACTTCCTTTTACATTTTAGTCCTGGGCATGATGATAATCTACATCCAACAGCAAGACCTCTGATCTGGAGATTGGAGGTTTTGAGGTCTGTGGAACCATCTCTTAATTGATGTTGTTCCCAGGTCCACCATGATCAGGGGTGGTAGCACCTGTTAGGGTCCCAGCTACAGGCAAATAGTGAACCCCCAAACAAAAACAAAACTCTATGAAAGTATAAAAATACATTTTTATAGTAAAATTATCAACACTACATTTTATAGCAGAATGGCCAACAATATATTTTATCTGTAGTTGAAGGCATGCAATTTCATTCAAAATATATTTAATTGAAGTCAAAATGTTTAGATTTCAGCATTAAATAACCCATAAAGGTTGATATGTCACTAAACAAAATCAACCAAAACTTTTACATTCATATCACACAACCACATTTAGTATTCCTCTACATTGAGTGGCTTTTGAGCCTTTTATTGGTTGGTCTCTAGAATATTAAAAAAAAGAAAACTTTAACTTAATACTGTGTTTAGCTTCTGGAAGGTATCTTCCACTATTCCAATGTTCTTTCATATTTCTGTGTCAGATTTTCTGTTTTAAAATTTCCCAAAGAGTTGAATTTCTGTCTCAGCTTGATTCTGATATCTCTAATTCATAACTTGCATTTTGGGCTGTATGTCTTGCTAATGACCATATATTCTGGCTTCTCACAAATGATCTTTAGTCCTGAGGGTCTTAAAGAATATCACACTTCTTTGGATCTTGTGGAATGGCACTACAGAATGATAAACAAAGAACTGTACCAAATCTTGCAACCATACATGTGTCTATAGCATAATCTATTGTATAATTAGGCATTTTTTTTCTCTTTCAGAAATGGTCAGAATTTTAGTTTAAGTGTCAACCCAACCGATTCCAAATACGAGAGAATCACAGTTCAAAAGTTCATTCCAGATTTTTCACCAGAACAAATTCCTCTTTCATTGGTTTCCTTAGGAGGTTACCCCAAGAATTTTCCAGTAAGTATTTGTTCATACAAAACTGTTTGTAATTGCTATTGGAATATAACATCAACTTAATCTACAATAATATACTGTGTGCGATGGATAAATTGTCGTCTAAATTACACAAAAATGAAAATAGTATTGACATCTCATTTTAACAGATATATTTACCAAAATTATACAAATATCTTGAAATACTAAAGAATAAACTTATTCAATAAAATCACCACTACTTTTAACCATGGCCTCCAGATGATTTTGGAATCACCTTTAACTCTTCTGGATGCTCTCCTTGTTCAAGTTGGTGAATTCTAACATAATCCTTGCCTTCAGTTCATCTTTGGTGTTACAAGGAGTTTTGCTAGTCTCTTGCTCAACTCAATCCAAACATAATAATCAAGGGGGGGTTCAGTCTGGGCAGTTAGGTGGCCAGATGTAAGGAGTGATGTGGTTACAGAAATTGACAGCCATGATTGGGTTTTCTTGGTTGTGTGGCATTGTGCAGTCCTGTTGCCAGACATAGGGTCTTCCAGCAGCCACCCTCTTGACCCAGGGCAGAACTGCCTTCTTAAGGCACTTAATATAGGCCTCTGTGTTGAGTTTGAGGCTCTATAGGAAGAGGAATGAAGGAATAATATCATCATCACTAGTGATCACTACAAACACCATGAAGTTGAGTGGATATATCATCCAACTCTTTCCAAATTTTCTGCACTGTTCTCATATTGACACCCAATATATATATATATATATATATATATATATATATATATATAAAATAAATCCTAAAGAGCCAGGAAAATCTACCTAGGTTTCACCTAAATGGATCTTCAGGGTAAGCTGGTGAAAAAGGAAATGACAAAACAGTATTTATTGATAAAACCATTAAAAACTAATGAGCATAAAACCATGTGATAGAAAAAAAAAACAATAAAAAAAAGCCTCTATTCCAATAACCAGGATTTCCTATGCCTAGACCTATTTAGAATCTCAGGTCATTGATTTAATAAATTCTTAGGTTTATTGTAGGTGGTGATAGCTCATTTTTCCTCCAGACATAATGAACAAAATTTATCCCCTGCTTTTATATTTGTGGCATTTGTTTTAATATTTCCCATTTTAAAAAGAAATCACTACCATCTTGTTTTACATTCCATATATATGTGGACAGGCTGGTACTATGTTTGTAAGTTTCGTGATTAAAGCTACTTAAATGATTGTAGTAACGTTTTTTGAAGTTATCTTGGGTGGATCCTTATTTAAAATTTGGGGTTCTTATTAATCTTATTCGGTTTATTTCTATGTATTTCAACCTTGTAAACCACACTCCTGTTGGCACCTGCCCTTAAGTGAACAGGTGTCTTTATTACTACAATTACATTTAGTGGGGTTTGGGTGTGGTTTGACTATGATTTTTTTCCTGTTATATTTATTAATTAAGTTAGTCATATTTGGCATACAGCTATAACTTAATTTAACATAGTTTATATATATATATATGTTAAGAAATGGACAAGGTCCGACAATTTATTTATTAAAGACATTTTTATTTATGTTTAACGTTGTTATTTTATAGATACAAGTATTTAAGCAAATGCTCTGTTTAAGATAAACAGTATTAAATAACATTTACCGGCCTGAATGCCCGAGAAATTTTCATAGAAAATATTCGTTCATAGACAGGATTCGAACCTGCATCCTATACGGAACTGTCATATACGCTGACATGCCTTAACCACTCGGCCACCATTTCTTAACATATGACGTCATTTGTTTACATTCGATACGCCAGAGCAGTTATGAATGTACGAGATTCATGGAAGATTGTAGTTTATAACAGTAAATTCGACCTTGTCTACCATAAGGTTCATGGTGGCCGAGTGGTTAAGGCATGTCAGCGTATATGACAGTTCCGTATAGGATGCAGGTTCGAATCCTGTCTATGAACGAATATTTTCTATGAAAATTTCTCGGACATTCAGGCCGGTAAATGTTATTTAATACTGTTTATCTTAAACAGAGCATTTGCTTAAATACTTGTATCTATAAAATAACAACGTTAAACATAAATAAAAATGTCTTTAATAAATATATATATATATATGTGCATAGCCAATTTATTTTCAAGATAAATATTAATAGTATATAAGTATCTACTTGAGCTGGAAGCATGGAATGCATTTGTGTTAGCTTTACAGAACTTTCATGGGTCTCATTGAGCAGATACCTAAATTGATTTAATAAACATGCTTACAGGGAATCAAATAATTGGATGCCAGATGTCTTTTAAATGGTCATTCCTGCATTGTTATCTCAGTTTCTGTCCCTGTTGATCTGGATTCTATAAGCAACAAGCATGGTAAGAAATTCCTCAAAGACATAAGATGGAATCTATTGTGTCTCTGTTGATCTGGATGCTATAACCAACAAGCATGGTAATAAATTCCTCCAAGACATAAGATGGAATCTATTCTGTCCCTGTTGATCTGGATTCTATAAGCAACAAGCATGGTAAGACATTCCTCCAAAACATAAGATGGAATCTAGGTATCAATTTTGGTTCAATCCAAACATAATGGTTGACTGTTGGCCTCAACAGGAGATCAGCTCAAGACACAATTGCAAGGCACACATATAAAATATTTCTCAATATATCAGAAATAAAGTGATTATTTTATATTAGGTTATATCCCATCATTATCTAAATTTTCTACTATTTACTAATGTATTATTTTCCTTAAATATAGAATTGCTTGCAGATACAATAAAAATGGATAGTACATGTAACTAGAAGATAAAATAAGGATACAATCAAGGTGTTGACATTTCACACCCCCTTAAACAAAATGAAGGAATCTCCCATCAATACTAGAAAGAGTGATAGCAGTTAATGAATTCAAATGTTTAATCTCTTGGAAAACTGTTTTAAATAAAAAGATTTTTTAAATTTCAACTGAAAGAAACTGTTGTACACTATTATAAAAGTATTTACTATTATTTTCCTTGTAGTTTTATTTCCAAGCTTAGGTTTAGTGGTATTTACCAGGCATGGCTGTTTAAAAGTATTGTTTTTGTCATATAGGAAAATCCAACATGGTGCGTAAATGAAATATTTGGCAAAAAATCTCATTCGTCAGTAACATTTTAAACACCTCATAGAATGTAAAGTTCTTAAAGCAAACCTATGCCAAACTGTTTTTCCTGAATCCTTGATGACTTGGCTGTCCGAAAATGACAACATCAAGATGAAATAATGGAAACTGACCGTGAAAAACACAATTATGTGCAACAAGTTTTCAATCAGTAAACTTTTTGGGCGATGTTATAGGATCTAGATGGCTATTGCTTGCACATGGAAAATGTCACTTGGCGGTTAGCATTAAGAAATTATGCCCGATTTTCTGAGAAAAATCACCATTTTTTTATGAAAAAATACTTATTTTTGCTTCAAAATAATATCATTCAAATTTCATCCCTTTCTCTTTCATTTGGCATGAACATCATTGAATAAAAGGAATGGCTAAATGGCTCGGTGATGGGAAATATGAAAGATATGTGGCCAAAAAAACAATGTTGTTTACTAAATGTTGTTGTCATAACCCAGGTCACGGGGTGTTAAAAACAAAACAAAACACATCAAGCCATTGTTCAAACATAGGTTATATTAAGCCCTAGTAATGTTAACCCTTTTTTTTTTTTTTTCACTCTTTGCTCTTATTTTTGGGAGTGGTGGCTTTTATTACAACTTGTTCTAAACATTTATTGTTGGCTGGCTGATCTTTGACCCAGAGATGTCAAAGTCAATTTGGTTTAATTTTCCTTATTGCTGCTATTTTTTTGAAAAAAAGAAAACAAAAAAAACCCAAAAAACTTTTGGTTTCTGGTGGTCAGGAATTGCAGATAAATTTTTTGCCTTTTACTAAAGATTTCTGTGGTCGGGTGTCAATTTTTTTAACCCCTGGCAGTCATATAATTGAAAATCACCAATGAACTTTGTCGCATTTTGACTCCCGAGGAATGTTGATTTCCTTCAAAACTCTCAATTTTATGCCTGAAATAGTTTATGATTTAGACTTTCTGATTTTTCCAAAAAATGGTTAATTTCCAATTAATGGGGAAAATTTTTACACCCTGAAAAAAATTTTGAGTCATTTACACCAGCCAATTTTCTTTTAAATGAAAGAATATATCCTTTGCTTTCAGAAAATACCTAGTTTCATGGGGTTCAGGTCAAAAGATTTCCTTGATATTAGTTTAGGTGATGATAAAACAGTCATTTTTCAATATTTTACCCCTATAAAAGTATGAAAATCCATGTTTTGAGAGAAAATAAACTGTGACAAAATGACTTTTGCCATTTTTGTGATGATTTTTACTTGGGATAGAAAATCTTTACCATAAGGAAACCTGAATTGACTTTAAGTTCAGTGGGGCTATAGGAAACCTCAAACAGCTGTGAGGGGAGCCCACATTGCAATTGGATGTGACATAAGGTCAAGGTTTAAAGTGGGTTTAATGTCCATACTGTGCAAAAATTCCCCTCAGCACATCCCCTTTTGGGGACAACTCGGGCATTGGGCAATAAACTCGGCCCCCTCCCAAGAGAGAGGTACTGGATCTTGGGCTAATAATCAAAGAATACAAATCCCAGCCAAAAGATTACGATTTGTTTAGCCTCCAGCTGTATCAAATAATATTTATAAGGTGGAGGTCTGCATAGCAATACAACAGAAATACTGTTTAGTCAATGAATGCTTCCTGTATAAAAATGGCTATTTTTACCATTACATGATGTGTTTTTGTCTGGTTTTTGCATGTCCACATTTTGAGAGTGCTTCTCTTGACTAAGAGAAAAACTGGTGTTATATAGCTCTCCCAGTCGCAGACTCATGCTGACTATTGGTTAATACCTGCCCAGTATCATTCATATGCAAATAGTCAGCACCGCCTACTCTAAGTAGGTCTTCTATCAACAGCTCATTGTGGAAGAGGATACAACTCTAGGTGCTTACAGGATCACATACAACCAACTCTGAGTCTTTTATTGAGCTGACCTGATTCTGTGTTACACATGAGTTTTGGTAACCTATTAGAATTGTAGAGATACCACATGACTGCATCTTGGGCAAGATAACCTAGTTGAGCCTAATCTACTTCACTTTTTCTTTTTCTAGACTGGTTTTCAACCAATGCTATAGGGCTCAGTCACTCCTGCTATTTACTTATAAATAGAGGGAGAAGAGATGAATCCATGCCTTTTCCCAAGCATAAATGAGCATAAGTGCATGTAACAAACTTGGTTGGAATTTGAACTCTGTTATTCGATTTCTCATCTTGAGCTGTTAACCATTACACCTCTTTTATTTTACCATTACCATATTTCAAAAACCTGACATGCTAGGACTATTCTGAGTATAGATTTAGAATCAGCTGATTCAATTTAGTCCTGTACAATATAATTTACCTGTGTAAAGGACAAAACATTGTTGCCGAAAGTTACTGATTAATAAATAACTATACAAAATGATGGCTGGCATGGTTAAATGTGATTACTTTTGGGTTGATAATGAAATCTTTATTTTTTTTTCTGATTCCAGATAAATAATTCTGAGAAGCTAAAAGGTTGCATTGCATATCTTAATGTCAATGGTCATTCAACACGTATCTTTTCTCCTTTAAAAAGTGGATTGTATCCCTCTGTCTGCAAAATTGATAGGTAAGTAACATTTAGGTGAATATTTTTATCTTGCAAAGAGGTATCAAATACCAATAGATATGTTTTCAGTATGAAAGTAAAATAAAAAACTGGTCAAAATTTGATAAAACATTTATTCCGTTGGAATAAAATAATAAAGATTTGATTGTGGAAAGGTGTGCCTTTTATAGTAACTGAAAGGAAATAAAGTTCTCAATGTCTCTGTTTTCTTTTTCCGGTTCAGAAATAAGTTAGGGTTCTGATCAAATTACATATTTCATGGGTGAAGATGCAGAGCATATCTGAATACTATGCATTGAAAAGTGGAAAGAGTTTCTTTTTTTCACTTCAGGAGCAAGTTATGGTAAGTCATGATAGAAATAGTTATATTGGTCGAGCTCAAGTCAGCCTTGTGCTGAGATGGAATGACCAAAGTACAAGTTGTACTTACTTCATCTGTCGGGCAACTGAGGAAAGGAGATATTTTGCAGTGGAGATATCTTCATCTGCATTCTGCTACATCTTGAAGTAAGAAGAAAAGAGCAAGAGGAAGGAAATGTTTGTCTTTTTAGAGAATTTAAACAATTCTACCTAATGGGTGTTTTCTGAAACCAAGTGGGGTAATAAAATTTATTATTAACATCATGAGAAAATGTATTTTTTTAAAATTCTTTATTATTTTCTTTATTAACTTTTTCATTTTCCCACAACTATACATTTTCTATGGCAAATGGTCTATGTCAAGAGAATTAACTTACTACACTGACAACTTGTTAGCAGTAGGAAGTGGTTTATGCAAAAGAAAAGTTGAAAAAAAAAGTTTCTTTGACAGCATGAATTTTATATAAATGCTGGCTACTATATCTTTCCTATAGACACTTGTCTGTGTCTGAGGACTTAACTCATTATAGCATTTTCTTTTTTTATAGGCAATGAAATTCATTATCTTTTCTATAGCCAATGATTTGTGTCCAAGGACATAACTTACTATAGCATCTTCTTTTTCATCACAGTAATTCCATTAACCAATATCAAGAATACTATATAAATTGCTATGTCTTTTTCTTAATTAAATTATCTTATCATAAAAATTCAGGAAGTGGAATTAATAAATACTAAACACTTCAAATACCTAGGCATATAGATCAGTTATAACAAATTTAGTATTGGTGAAAAGGAAATGGTACATATAGGCTGCACTGGAAGTAGTTTCATCCAACACCACACATTGCTACAAAACCAAAACATCAACCTGATAACTTGAGTCATGTTCTTAAATAGCCTCATCAGTTCGAGACTTTGACCTGGATGTCATGTATGGTGCCAAATCCATTCAGAAATATCTAAATTGTCAGCTGGCATGTGGAACTAGAACAGTCTACCCCAGTGAGCGAAATAAAGGGTTAAGTTCGACATTCCAACCACCTGAAAAGGTTGGAGCTTACAACGGCCAAAACGTAATAAATATGGTGATAAAGATGAGGACAGTAGTCCGAATAATGCAAATAATGTACATAATACCTCATCTCAGAAATATAGACAGTTGCTTTCTAAGATGGTTGGTTAGAAATGGCTTTGAGTGAATGAAGCCTGAAGGTCTTGGCAAAGGTTATCCTTCTTTGAACATTGTGGACTGGCACTACAGAATAACAAAATAACTTTGCCAGATAACATAAACTATTATCACTTGACAACTAGCAACAGCAGCAGCAGTAACTAAAGTGGATAGCACATGTAACTCGAAGAGAAAATGATGACATAATCAAGATGTTAAAATTTTATACTACTTCAAATAAAAGGTTAGGATGGAAACCCCCATCAATACTGAAAAGAGGTATAAAAGTTACTGGATTTGAGAAATCTGTTTTCCCCAAAAAAGTGTTTTAAGAGAGAGATTTTATAAATTTCAACCAAAAGTAGTACTGGCTGCTTGGTCAATGAATGCCAAATGTTTCCTTGTAGGGAAACACCTAATATTACTATTACAAGATATTTAGTATCAGAGAAAAGGAAATTAAAACACAGAATAGGCTGTGCTGGAAGTAGTTTTGTTCAACACTGCAAGCTGTTATACAACCAAGACATTAACCTGAATATTTGTGACATGAAACTTGTGTTGTGAAATAGCCTTGTCAGATCAATGTCATGCATAGCATCAAAACCTTTCAGAAATATCTAAACTGTCAGCTGTATACAACTGTTTTTTAAGATCTATGGTTAAAAATGGCTTTAGGCAAGTGAAGCCTGTGGGTCTAGGCAAAAATCATCTTACTTTGAATATTGTGGAATGGTGCAACAGAATCATAAAGAACTGTACCAAATAACAGAAACCACATCACTTGAGAATTATCAACACCAGCATCAACTAAAATGGCTAGCACATGTAACTTGAAGAGAAAATAATGGCATAATCAAGATGTTGATGTTCCACACTACTTCAAATAAAAGGTTAGGAAGGAAACTCTCATCAATACTGGAAAGAGTGATAACAGCTACTGGGCTTGAGAAGAGAAAATAATGGCATAATCAATATGTTGACATTCCACACTACTTCAAATAAAAGGTTAGAAAGGAAACCTCCATCAATACAGGAAAGAGTGATAACAGTTACTGGGCTTGAGAAGAGAAAATAATGACATAATCAAGATGTTGACCTTCCACACTACTTCAAATAAAAGGTTAGGAAGGAAACTCCCATCAATACAGGAAAAGATCATAACAGTCAGTGAACTTGAGAAACCTATTTTCATGAAAAATTATTTTAAGAGAAATATTCTATAAATTTTAACTGAAAACAATGCTAGCTGCTTGGTCAATGAATGCCAAATGTTTCCTTGTAGGGAAATGGCTGATATTACCATTTATATTGAAATCTATTTTCTATAAGTTTGAGAAGATTTCTTAACATACCAACACTGTTTGGATGTTCAGATCACTTCTTTGTATAGTTAGTGTTATTAATGCAACATTTTAATCCCTGCCTTCTTTAACCCTCATCATGTGTAACCAATAATAAAACTCCTAGTATGATTGTGCAGCAGCTGTAAAAATTCCTTATGCAAGAGGTAAACAGGTTAGATCAAAAAGATTTGTCAATGTTACAGCATCAGAATGGTATTTAAAAGTAAATCTCTCCTTCATGATCTTATTAGAATTAGTCTCTTATGAAAGAATTATCTGACTAAAAACTGCATTTATAACATATCATGCAGATGTTGACAGGTATATAAATAGGGAAACTGTTTCTAACCATAAGCTTAAATATAAGAAAGCTATAGCCAGTTATGAGGTGACAAAATATGCTATGGTATCTAGAGGGAGAAGGATACACATTATCCTCTTTAGAAAAATTGATTGATGCTATTCATGGGAGAGTAAGGAAGCTGAAAGAGGCAGAATATATTGGCCTGTTGACTGAGAGAATAAATTCAGTACAAATCAAAAGAAAATGGTTGAATCTGTTAACACAACAATAAAAACGATATCTCCGCACATGATGGTACTTGACATAATTTTCAGTTAACAGTATGAAAATAGTGTTCTCTAAATTCTTCCAGTTGCTAAGGACATTTTGTTTTGTTGTTATTAGTTACTTTGTTTAATAAATTCATTCCGTTTTTGCCTTGAAAAAGTCCACATTGGATGAAATGCGTTGGCTACCATTACAGTTTTCCTATTGTCTTTTACATTTATAAATATTGTCTTTTTCTACAGGTTAACTCTGAGAAATTTTTCATACAAGTCTATATACACTTGTTTTGCATTTGATGTCATTTCTGGCTTCAATTCTTCAGTCCCCCAACACTACATCATAGACTGATTTATTTAGTTTCATTAAGAGTTTGTGAAAGTAGAGATATTTTAAAAATACATTTATTTGCAGTTAGTTTAGGAAACATATAATACATTTTATTAAAAGTTATATTTATTTGCAAAACACTTATTTACAATATTTTTTGCTTCTTTAAAAGTATACTACCCATGACCCATTGAGTTGCTAAAGGTTCAGATTATAAACATTGAAGTTGCTTTCAACATTAAAAAAAATTGTCTGTTTGAAGAAAGTTGAAATAAAAATATTTAAAATATTGTTTGTTTAAAGAAAGCTAAAATATAAATAAGCATGCATGCAATCACAGGAAGGTGGAAGGAGAGAGGTTTATTTCTCCATTCCCTTCTCTCCCCACTTTCCTACACGATAATAAATTTACATCTTTCTTTCAACCACTCTCTATATATAACATCTGGCAAACACACAAGCAACGTTCACAGACTTTTATAATAATAAAGATTACTTCATAATTAAATCTAGGAATCAAATTTTCTGATACCCAATTTTTTAGGCTAAATTTTTTGAAACATGTTTTTTAAAACAAAATGTTTTTGATCATATTTTGCTAGATTTAATTTCATTTTTTTTCTTCTAATTTAACAATCTAATTAGAAGATAGGTAGTTGGAGACTTATGAAATTTGGTGTAACTTTTATACAATTTTTTTTTTTAATTTTTTTCTATGACAGTGAATCCTATACAAACACATCAATGGTATTTGAAGGAAATGGATTTGCATTGTTGGAATCGGATGTTCTCAAGAAACCATTCACTCTGGTTCGTCTCGGTTTTAAGACATTTCAAAAAAATGCTCTTCTCATGAGCATAAAAAACACCTCAGTAAGTTTGAAATTTCTTTCTAAAAGATCTTACTTTCTTTGATAATAGTTGTTACATTTATGTGCACATTTTATACATGAAATGTAAAAACTATTATGGGACTGAAACTTGTTTTTTTTTTAATCTAGTTACACACTTTGATGAGTAAATACTGCTACAGAAAGTCATATGTAAAATACTAAATAAAGACTAATCGTTTTATTGCTGCAAAAGAAATGGTATATATTATTCAGATTCTCTTTTCCTCAAGTTTTTTTTTGGCTGATCAAAATATTTTTGATCGATTAACCTTTTGTAAGGATGTTACAAAAAAGAAAAATAAATAGACAAATCAGTAAAGTTTAACAAACATACCTGCAAAAAGAAAAAAAAACAAACAACCTATCTCAAAAGGATGGTTTATGGGCACAGTTGTTAAACTTTGCCAAATTAGTTTTGTAAATAGTCTAATAAATAAATAAATAGTGTTTAACATTTTTTGATGTTCTTGAGAAAAAAAATGTACAAATCCAGTTACTTTCAAACTATTGAATTTCCATGTCAATTACTGTTGTGGTAGGATCCACCTAATTTGCATAGTGGGGTACCAACCATATAAATATGGTTGGTACCGGAAAGAGAGGGAGGAATCAAGAGATTCAACCAGAGACTCTGCCCGTACTGCGACTCAGTCAACACATTCTCCAGGAATGGTCTTACCAGGAATATACAAAAGACTATATGTAAATATTGTGTACACTTTCTTGTTCAATACATTTTGTTCTAAGTACATTTTGTGTTGCATTATTATTCCATGCATTAGTCAAGTTTCAACAATTACACATGAAAGAAATTCCTGGAAAATTCTTTTGTCCAAAATTCATAATTACAGTTACTCATCATTATGTGTTTATTTAAATTTTCTTGTTCTCTTTTTCAGACATTTTTATAAATTTATGAATAAAAAGATTGTTTTCATATTTATCTCTTTATAATATGGTAAATAATAAATATTGCATTGTAGTTATGGTGGAGTAATGGATAGTGGTTTGGATTGAGGAATCGGAGAGCCGAGTTCAAATTCCAGATGAATCCATTACATTCACTTATGTGCTAATACCATTGGGAAATGTATGAATCCTCTTCTTCTACCCCAGCTATGGGTAAATAGCAGGACAGACCAGGTTCTATAACCTTGGATGGCAACTGGTCTACTGCAGAAAAAAATGACAGCCTACTGCGGGGAAAAAAAAAATCTGCCTCGTCAGTCATATATTGAAGGATACATAATTGTTTGCCTAAGCGTGTATCATGCATAGCACATAACTGACTGAGTTGGTTCAAATATTCTTATCATCTAAATATAATATTATTCTTGTAAATAAAAAATCTGTTAAATTGCTCAAGGTAAAAAATGTATAAATCCAGTTTCATATGTTTAGTTTTTATTAAAATTCTAAAAATAGCTTTTAAAGACAATAAAAATTACTTAGAGAATATATAGTAATAGTGGTGTCAAAATAAAAAAAACAACTGTCCTTTTGACATACCATTTTATGTACATATGTGTAACAGAGAATTGGGTCAGCCCAATAAGAGACACAGAGTTGGTTATATATGGTGCTGTAAGTACTAGTTGTATCCCCTTCCACAATGGGCAGTTGAGAGAAGACCTTCTACTCAGAGTAGGTAGCGCTGTCTATTTGTATATGAATGATACTGGGCAGGTCTTAGCCAATAGTTAGCATGAGTCTGTGACTGGGTGAGCTATATAACACCATTTTTTTTTCTTAGTTGATACAGACACTCTCAATGTGCAGACGTGTGAAAACCAGACAAGACAAATACAGTATGTTTGTTAAACTTTGCCAACAAATCTTTTTAAAATGTTTTGTAAGAGTCCTTCCAAGATATTTTTTTCAGTTTGCTTATTGCAGAATGTAGGTTTCTCATCATTGCCTTTTGTTTTCTATTAAAAGCCAATTTTTTAAAAAAATGTTTCATCCAGCAGTTTTAAAGCTAGTAGACAGTTATTAAAAACAAGATTTTGTGTTAAAATTCATAAAAATCACAGATGATAATTTACAGAATTTAAAAGATTATTGTGATGATTTTGTTGCAGAAAATGTTATTAATTGTGACATTAATAGAAGGAAATATCCATGTTGAAAGAAGAGGGAAAACTTCCAGTATTGCCAGACAAAGCCAGGGAACTGAATTCTCAAATGGACAGCTTCATACAATTCAGGTAAGACAACTTGTACATGCTTTGCTAATTGATGGTAGGTAAGAAGTAATTATAATACCTTGCTGCCTGCCCTATCTCTACTGCTATTGTTGGTTTCCATTTTATTTTGTCAATCTCTCATTCTCTGTCCCAGCACTACCAAAAGTGCAGTATTTGTGGAATCTTCCACAACACAACCAGCCTTACCTCTTTGTAGGAAATGCACTTTTCTTATCTGGTAAGCCAAATTCTACTTTCATGCAATATAACAAGTATTCATTGGTCAATCACCTCCAATCTGGCTTGCTGATTAATCAGTTCCGACCAATCAAACCGCCTGCACACGACCAATCTGTTTTCCCGCTCATATGCTGGGAGCCACTCAGCCATTATATAAACCAAACACGTGTGAACTTTTTGGAAGATGAGAGTAGTTACCAAGTGCCAAGATGTAACCTTCACCATCTCCCGTCTTAGTCATTGCTGACCAGATGTTAAAGATAATTACCGCCAAGTCAGTGACAGCACCACAGAGAATTTGCTAACTTACTCCACGTCATTCAAAACCAGACTTTACCGCCAAAGAAACACCTCAACGCAGACTCATAACAATTCAACTCAGCCAATTCTGTGGACACTAATTCTCAGATATTGCTTATCTAAAGTAAATTACATTTACTATCTATTAAGTAAACATTCATGTGCGAACGACCTTAAAAATATTACAGTAAAAGGTAAATTACTTCTTAATATGAACTCTGGTACAAATATTCCAAGTTAAAGGGACACGACTCTGTCCTACCTTTTCAGTTCACATTAATGTAATCAACATTAATAAATCTAATTGTTATGTTATAAAACAATTCAGTTGAATTTTGTATTTTATTTTGATGTTAGTGGAAATAGTTAATTGACACGCAACCTATTCTCAACAATTATTACCACATAATTAACCCATCCACTACATATTCTTGATGTTGTCACTTGGTAGTGTTCTTGATCTTCATGGCCATTGCATATCAACATCAGCAAGCTTGGAGGTAACTAGATTCTATGAGGATTTCACTCAGCAACATCGTGAAGGGATGTGGCAAAAATAAGATATGAAAGGGTTGAACCATATATAATTAACAGACAAACTCTTTTTAACATTGTATAGATTACCTGATGAATAAGAATTCTTATAGGGAAAAGGAGGCATGATTAAGGAATTGGAGAGATGAGTTCGAGTTCCACTGAAGTTCTTTACGTTCACTAATGTGCTATTATCCTTGGGGAAGGTATGAATCTATCTCTTCTCCCCATCAGCTATGAGTAAATAGTAGGGCAGACTGGGTTCTATAGCCTTAGGTGGCAATCAGTCTAGGAGGAGGACATCTCTGTATTGAAAACCTGAGGTCCAAGTGTATGAACCGAGGGTGATCCTCATCATATTGTGGTCTTCAGTTGTTGGTCAAGAGCTTGGTGAGGAGATGGGCGCTGCCAAGCTATCTGAAATTCCACTGAAAGGATTATGAGGAAGAAAAATCAAAGACTGTTTCTTCTGACCTCAGGTTGGACAATTGAAACAGTTGAGGGTTAAATTTGACACTGATATGACATATTGAAGACAAGAGGAACACAGTGCATAACCTACCTATTGGGCTTGTAAATGGTTGGCAGAACAGGTATAAGGAAAGACAGCAAAAAGACAAAATTTACTAAGAGCTACAAAGGACAGGATGTTGTGGAGATCCATGATCAACAATGTCTTGAAAGGACATGGCTCAAACAAAATATGAAAGGGTTGAACCATATATAATTAACAGACAAGCTCTTTTTAACATTATATAAATTACTTAATGAATAAATATCTGTTTATATTTCAGAGGTATTATGTACACTATTTACATTATTCAGACTATTGTCCTCATCTTTGTCACCATATTTATTACAACGTTTCAGCCGTTGTACACTCTGGCCTTCTTCAGATGATTGGAATGTCAAACTGAACCCTTTATTTTGCTCACTGGGGTAGACTGCTCTAGTTCCATGTGTCATGTTTAATGGATGTCACTTATCAGTTATCTTCTGTTAATTCCCCTCTCCAAGTTCTCCACTGCCTTAACTGGGTATTGAACTGTGAGTTCAATACCCAGTTAAGGCAGTGGAAGAAAAATCAAAGTGTGTTTCTTCTGCCCTCAGGTTGTCCCCACCCGACAATTGAAACAGTTGAGGTTTAAAAAAAAATAGAAAAATTGTCCAAAGGGAATTATTGATATTAGTTATCTAATCTTAAGCTTCAAGGAAAGTAAGTTACATGGGTTTGTTATTTAGAAACAAAGCTATTAAGATTTGATAAAGAAGGTTTGAACAATGTCAAAGTGACATGCCATTGTCCAAGTTTTTATGATGAAGATAGTCTTCTATTTGGTATAATATTTAATGAAATGTTTACATATATTCATCTTTTTATACTTTAAATGTTTACATATTTATCTTTTTATTACTATTCTATTTTGTATAATATTTAATGAAATGTTTACATATACAGTAGCGTCCAAAACTAAGGGACAAAATTTTAAAACCTAATATTTGTTAGAAATAACAACTGTGAAAAGCTGAAATTTTGACAACTGGTAGTCGTTATCATCCATAATAACATACTAAAATTTGAATCATTTGCAAAGGATAGAAAAAGAATTATAACATTTATTTATTTTCAAAATAGGATCGTCCAAAAGTAAGGGACAAAATTGAGAAAAACAATGTAAACAGTATGCTATATTCAAATTTTTTGATTTCCTCTAAAGAATAAGTCTTACTTAGTCATTTGTAAACGTTGCATCAGCCGGCACCATGGCAAAACGCCAAAAACTTGATTACTCTGTGAGACAAGCTATTGTGAAGCTACACAAGGAAAAGCACACCATTAGAGAGATTTCAGAGAAAGTGAAACGTTCCAAGAGTGCTGTAGGCAGGGTTGTTAAATCCTACAATGATACTGGCAAAATAGTGCTTTTAAAACCGGCAGACCCCACAAAACTTCGGCAAGAGAAGATCGAATAATGCAGCGTATGTCATTAAAGGACCGTTTTAAGTCTTGCACAGAAATTAAAAGGGTTATGAATAGTACCTCATGTGTTAATGTGTCAAGACAGACTGTTTGTAGATGACTGCAAGAAATAGGGCTGTTTAATCGAACCCCAGGGAAGAAACCACTTGTTAGTTCGAAGAATAAGAAGAAGAGATTAGAGTTTGCAAACAGGTATGTAATTTGGACATATGAAAATTGGGCAAAAGTATTTTTCAGTGATGAAAGCAAGTTTAATTTATTTGGAAATGATGAAAAAACAATGTAAAGAGACGTATTGGTGAAAGATTAAGTGCAAAGTGTACTAAGAAAACTGTCAAGTTTGGGGGCGGAAGCGTCATGGTATTTGGAATGTTTTCTAGCCAAGGTACAATGCCTCTTGTCTGGTTACAAACTCGTGTAAACGTGCAGATCTATAAAAACATTGTTCAAGATCATGTTGTGCCAATCATACAGAATTCAGGTTTCGATAGGGCTACCTTTATGCAAGATAATGCCCCATGTCACAAGGCAAAGGTGGTAATGAGTTACCTTAGTGAGCAAGATTTGGAAATTATGGATTGGCCACCGCAAAGTCCTGACTTAAATCCAATAGAAAATCTTTGGAAGACCTTAGGAGTGAAAGTTATGGAAAGAAATCCCACTAACATGGAGGATTTGTGGGTGAAGCTTCAAGAAGAATGGTCTAAAATTAGTATCGAGGATTGTCAAGAACTGATTCGTTCTTGTAGTCGAAGATGTGCAGCTGTCATTGAGAGCAAGGGCTCATTTACTAAATATTGATTGTACATGTATTTTTATTGTTTTTTTGCCATTTACATTGTTTTTCTCAATTTTGTCCCTTACTTTTGGACGTTCCAAATTTGAAAATAAATAAATAATTGTTATAATTCTTTTTCTATCCTTTGCAAATGATTCAAATTTTAGTATGTTATTATGGATGATAACGACTACCAGTTGTCAAAATTTCAGCTTTTCACAGTTGTTATTTCTAACAAATATTAGGTTTTAAAATTTTGTCCCTTAGTTTTGGATGCTACTGTATTTATCTTTTTATTACTTTATTAAATGTTTACATATATTTATCTTATTACTTTTCTGTTTTGTATAATATTTAATGAAATGTTTACATATTTATCTTTTTATTACTTTAAATGTTTACATATATTTTTATTACTTTATTAAATGTTTACATATATTTATCTTTTTATTACTTCAAGCATTACTTTTAGTGGATACTCATATTTGAGTAGATTCTCAATTTACATTTTCTTTATTAAGTTTTTTACAGTATTGTAGAAAATATACTGTTTAAAATAAAATCAGAGTATTTAATCAAATATGGGTATCCATTAAAAAATAATGTCTGATGTAATAAAAATATATGTTTAAAATATATATTTTTGTTTTGAATCCATATCACCGTAAGCAAGGCAGTACATCCACTAAAATGTATGGAATAACAGAATGTGGAGGAAATAGGAAGAGAAACATTAGTAACTTTATAGAACATCTTATGATATGTCATTCCAACATTGCATTTTCTGTGTGCTTCCTTTGTGAAAGTTACAATTATTTTTTTTTCCAGGTTATGGTGATAAAAAATCAACTAGAAATAAAAACCTCATCCGAGAAAGTTGAATTTGAAGATAAAGATGCTAGCAGTGATGAAATGCTTTTTGATGAAGGCATCAGTCTTGGTGGTCTTGCCTCCAATGTTAGAAATGAATCTAAATACAGGTGAGTCATGAAAACTGAATCTAAATACAGGTGAGTCATGAAAACTGAATCTAAATACAGGTGATTCCAGGAGACTGAATGAAAAACTCCTGGAGACTGAATGAAAATAATAAATGTCAATAAATACAAATACACAAAGTGAATTCACCAGACAAGTCAGAAGAAGAAGAGACAGACAGAAGAGAGGCCCACCTGATTATCTGCTGATGATTTAGAAAATATGAATAGGTGTTTTTCATAGATTAAGAATTGCACCAAAATTGATCCAATTTTTCTTGAACTTTCCTTGATGGAAAATTGCATCATTTCCTATATATGTATTACTGGAACCTTGTCTTAATTTAGCACATTCATTTTCAAGATGGTCTTTGGGGGAAATTCTCCAAGTATAATTAGAGTGAACCTATTAATTAAATATCTACAAAGAACCATTGCATGTTTGATAGTGTTTAATATGAAGGATTTAATTCTTTTTTCTTTCCCTCCCCTAATTTGTTTGGCCATTTTTCAAAAATATCTAAAAGTGACAAATTCAGATCATCATTTGTTCTAAAATTCTTTTATGGTCTGGTGCCCCAGCTGTTCATCTTGAGGTCCTCAACAAAATCCAGAGACGGATATGCAATGTGATAGGTCCTGATCTGGCATCTCGTCTACAGTCACTTTCTCACAGATGTTCTGTGGCTTCCCTCTGTCTTTTCTACAAATATTTTAATAGCTCTGACAAGCTATTTTCACTGGTACCCAAACTGCATGAATTTATGTGTTCTACTAGGTTGGCATGTCAGTTTCACCTCTTCACTATTGAAATGATAAAATGTAGCTGTCTTTTCTACTCTAACAGCTTCTTGCAACAGTGGAACTTCCTTCCTCTTGATAGCTATTGTCTTCAAATATTCAAATGTAATGTCAATCAACATCTTTTGATGTCTTGATCTTGATCCTCATCCTACCCTTTATCCTTTCCTCAAACACCCCTCTTTACTCTTGCTCTCACTCTCTGTAATTCCTTGCTTAGGGTGATATGAAGAAGTTCACTCCAGGCAAGGCAGTAAAGCTATTGAGCAAGGGGTTTACTGGGTGTGAAAGAATTAGAAAAATAAAACTTTACTAAGAAGAGGGAACAAAGGAAGAGTAATTAGGAAGACAGTAGATAGAAGTGAAAAGAAAAAGAAACTGTTATCATAGAATTTACATTACATCTATCCAGCTCAACTGTAAATTGATCAGATCTCGATGCCAGTCTAGTATTGCATTTAAATTCAAAAAATCTAGGTACCATAGTGAAGAGCTCATCCAAACAATTATCATGAAAGTATTTATAGAAAAGACATGTAGAGGCAACCTTACAGCAATGGGAAAGTGACTGAAGCTGAAATTTGCTAAAACACTTATTTGTGATATTTTAATATTTTCTATATGTTATACACCGTAACAATTAGATCTCTTTCTGATTTGTTCTGCATGCTGGCTGGATATGAATGTCACAAAGGCAGAGAACAAATTAACAAAAGCTGTTTTCTGCACATTAGGCTCCTTGCATCACATCCAGCCTATGAAGAGAACTCTGGCAGTGGCAAATTGTGAACATTACCACTGGAGAGAGAGAGATGCCACTGGGGACTACCAGACTCGCTTAAAAGCACTTCTCTGAGAACAACACCAGATTTGTGGTCCAGCCAGCTAACGGCTGTCACACTGAGTTCTGCTGCCACCCCCACCACCGCCTTCATCACCACCACTCAACATGACCACATATCTCAACCATGCATCACGTTCGGTCTATGAAGTCTGGCAGTGGCCAGTTACAAAAAATATGGTTGAAAAACATTTTTTTTAATCACCCCATGCAAGGCAGTAAATCCACTAAAACACAAGGGGTTATAGGGTGTGGAAGAATTAGGAATAGAAACAGTAATAATTTAACTGGAAGAGGAAAGAGTAACCAGGAGGCTAGTAGATAGCGATTGACATTGCATTTAAAGTTTTGCAGATTAAAGTTGGCTGGAAAGCGTGGAGCTGGGAGAGAGTTCCATGAGTGAGAAGTGTAATAAGAGAAAATTTTTGTATAGAAATTATGGTTACATCTAGCCAGCTCAGCTGTAAATTGATGCGATCTTGATGCCAGTCTAGTACTGCACTTAATAAAAGTCTAGGTACCAAAGTCTAGTACTGTAATTCATAAAGTCTGGGTACCACAGTAAAGAGCTTATCTGGACAATCAACATGGAAATATTTATAGAAAAGGCACAATGAAGCTTCTTTATAGGGGTGGGGAAAGGGATTGAGATACCAGATCAGAACCAATAATATTGCTGATTCTTCTTTTGGATTTTATCAAAGCTCTCTTTACATAATGCAAGAGCTCTAGCCCATATGTGGTAGCAATATTCTAAGCATGGACAAATGCAAGATAGATTTAGGTGAAAAAAAAATATCTAACACAATATAGTGAACCAACTTCTTTATAAACTTCTTTCATGCTGACAATTTTTCTGTGGTGAACAGCCCTATAGAAGCTAACCAGCCAGAGTGGCTTGCATCTGGTGTATAGGAAAATAAGGGTCTTACCTTAATGTATGGCACGTGACATCAGCAAGTTTGCTTTGTGAAAATGGCATTACTCTCCCGTCCAGCCATTCTAGCAGTATGTGCAATGATGAGGGTTTTTTTGTACAGTTTGGCATGCTTCCACCAATAGCAAGTCGTGTGCTGATTGGTCGAACTGGAGGAGGCAATTTGCCTGTGTAACCGAGAGTAACAGCGAAGAATGCTGATTGGCTGGTGAACCATGGTGTTGGCCTGATAAAAGAGTGCTCGAGAAGTGAAAAAGGGGAGAGAAACGTTGGCTATATGTAGTGATGTGTGAAGAAAGCAAGGACATTGAATTGAAACAGTGATATTTTGATTTGTACAAGTGACGTTGCAGCAATACAGACTTATTTAAACTACATTTTCCAAATTTCAAAACTTCCTCAATAAAAGTAAGTTTCTCTTGTCTTATGAACAAGTTAGAATCTGTCAGACGCTGTAAAGTTTTCAGTCATTCCAATACAATATAAAATGATAAATTGAACATGAAGTAGACTGACTCATGAAACTGGGTTCCAATAAGTGTTAGCTGTGAGCATATTTTTGTTGAATGGTACAATTATAACATATACAGTCTGGGAAGCTTTTGATACTAACTTGTATAATAATCCTGGATCAAGCTCTTTTTTATTATATAAGCTATTGAGCCATACTGAGATTTTTTGAAACCAATATATAAAATACAAATTTATTCATATCCTCCTGATTTTCTTCTTGCAGATCTTACACTGGCTGTCTTTCAAATGTCAGCATTGATAATACACCATTAAATCTCCTTTATTTGAAAGATGGCCGCCATGTCTATCAAGGAGAATGTCAAGGAAATGTAAGTAACCAAATAGAAATTATTCTAATTCTAAAATAGCTGTATTTTCAGTTTTGTATCATTTCAAAATTTGAATTTGGTGAGCCTGATAACCATACAGTCAAAAATAATTATAACCATTATTTGTCTATATTTCTGAGATGAGGTATTATGTACACTATTTACATTTTTTTGACTATTGTCCTCATCTTTGTCGCCATATTTATTACAACGTTTTGGCCGTTGTACGCTCCGGCCTTCTGTTGGTTAGATAAAGGTGTTGGTTAGATCCAGTGGCAGGACCCAAAGAGTGTGAGTTCAATACCCAGTTAAGGCAGTGGAGAACTTGGAGAGGGGTATTAACAGGAGATAACTGATAACTGACATCCATTAAAAAAATGGCACGTGGAACTAGAACAGTCTACCCCAGTGAGTGAAATAAAGGGTTCAGTTCAACATTCCAATCACCTGAAGAAAGCTGATGCATACAATGGCTGAAATGTTGTAATGAATATGGCGACAAAGATGAGGACAATAGTCCGAATATTGTAAATAGTATTTATAACCATTATAGTTATCATTAATTCACTCATTCGAAACCAATGAGAATTGAACCCACTTTTCTCCTTTGCACACGCAAACATGTGACATTCTCACTATTGGACAAGCAGTTCACACGGACAGGTCATTAACATGTGCATCAAGGAAAATTTAATCTCTTTTTCATTTTTCAGGCCATAATAGTAACATTTATCTCTTAATTTTCAACAAAAATATGAGATAAGAAAACCTCAGCCATATGTATTTTTTTAACTAAATTATCTGGACACTCATTACACACATCTATAAAAAAAAAACATACAAGAAAAACTATATACACACTTTGCTTATTCTTTATCTTATCCTTCTGTCAGATTTGGATCCATATTTAATTTACATTTGACACCAACGTTTCAGCCTTCTTCACGTGGTTGGAATGTCGAACTGAACCCTTTATTTTGCTCATTGGGGTAGACTGTTCTAGTTCCATGTGCCATGCTTTTAATGTGTGTCAGTTGTTAGTTATCTCCTGTTAATTACCCTCTGAAAGTTCTCCACTTCCTTAACCAGGTATTGAACTCATACTCTTTGGGTCCTGTCACTGGATCTAACTAACTTGAGGACATCTGTGTATGAATTTCTGGGTATTATAAACCTAATGTCTTCAGCAACCATTTTTTTAGGGCTCATATTACAATCTTTGCTGTTTTCATTGTTTTTATCAGAGCTCATATTGCAATTTTTGTTGTTAGTATCACTTTTCTCTGGCACTCCTTATTACTGGTTGCCATATTGTATTCATTTCTATGCTTGGTCGGCTCAGGAGATTTTTGTGCTGATTCCTTAAAAAACTGATAAAAAATGGTTGCTGAAGACATTAGGTTTATAATACCCAGAGATTTATACACAGATGTCCTCAAGATGGCACAGTGAATAAAGGCATTAGTTAGATCCAATGACATGAGTGTGAGTTTAATACCTGTTTAAGGCAGTGGAGAACTTTCAGAGGGGAATGAACAGGAGGTAACTGACGACTGACATCCATTAAGCATGGCATGTGGAACTAGAACAGTTTAGCCCAGTGAGTGAAATAAAGGGTTCAGTTTGACATTTCAACCAGCTGAAGAAGGCCAGAGTGTACAAAGGCTGAAACGTACTAATAAATATGGAAACAAAGATGAGCACAATAGTCCGAATAATGTAAATAGTGTACATAGCACCTCATTTTAGAAATATAGACAGATTTAACACCAATCTCACAATTTTACTGTATTACTAACTCTCATATCTCCAACACCATATAACAACCAGATAATAAATAATGCTCTTGTTGTTGTTTCCATATCTTGTTGTTTCTCATTTTTATAAGTATTTTTAGAGGGTTTATAATTATTTACTCAGAGTTAAAACTTCCTGACAAGCCTTTATGTTGAATGACACCTATATTTAGGGCACATTTTTTGTTTTTAAATATAAAAACTTCCAATTGGTCTTGTAATCTTTTTAATGAATTCCATTAATATGCTTCGTTAAAGTTGTGGTTATCCCCATGACTTTAATTGGTTTCCTTTTTATTCTTTATCGGGAATGTACAAAATTCAATGATTCATTTTATTCAGGGAATTCAAATTTCTTATCTTTCTTCTCTCTGTGTGCAGGGTCAGTGCAAGAGTCTCATAGCTCCCCCCCATCAAATTTATATGTTGTCCCTTACTCTACTATATGTCAATTTTCATAAGGTAGTATTCATATAAAATACACATTTTATTGTAATCTAATTATGTACAATAATGGGTCATATGCAATATAGGTGAACAATTCAACTAGAAAAACTGAAAATAAATACAATGTATCTAAATACAAATTAGAGACATGTCATAATAGATCATTCCATCTTAAATAACTCAACAAGGTTTTTGTGGCAATTTTTAACATCAACTTGAGATTTTTCTTGTTAAAATTATGAATACTTTTAACACATTCAACATTATGGATAAAAAATAGTGAATTTTATATATATATATATATATATATATATATATATATATATATATTTTTTTTTTCTTTCAAGACTTGAGCAAAACAAATTCATGGATTTGGACAACAAAACAAATAAAACAGAAAATCATAAAAGTTTTTCATCTTTAAATCATCAGTTTAATTTGTAACATATAAATATCAGTAGGAAAAAAGCAAATGTTGATAAGATAGTGGGTGGGGGGTCACAAAGCAATGCCAGGGTCCCCAATCAGGCTCCTCCCCCGGTTGGAGGTAATACGCACCAGGCACTGTGGGGGTTATCTGATTCTGTCTATCAAGATGCCTGCTCAAGAGTTCTATCCAGAACTATAAAAGGATGGAACAATAAACCCTTTTCCTCTCCTCTGCTCCAGAATGTAGTAGTGAAAACAACAGGCTTCTCTTCTGGGAGGAGATTTCTTTTAATTTCACCCAGGTACGTGGCACATCACACCCATGCACACACATTGTCTAACAATAAAACCTACAAATGCTTTTCTTTATTTTCTCTCTTCTTCGATTGTTATTCTTTATACAAAAATATATATGTAAAATTCCTCCATGTTGAAATTCATTTCTTTTAAAAATGTTGAATTTGTTTCTTTTGAAACTTCTCAACTTTCTTGTCACAATTCTTAAACAACTGCATCTGTTACAATGTTACCATCCACTTTTATTTTTATGTACTGTGTCTCTTCTGGACATGAACGATCATAACTCTCCACAACTTCCAGTCCATTTTAGCTCTTAGTAATGTTTGTCTTTTTTACTAGCTGTTTCCCTGTCACTCTGGCTTTTAATGTCATGTCAGTGTCAAGTTCTCCAAGCTTTCTTTCCTCATTATATGTCCTAGAATAATTATTAATTTTTTGACAATGCTTTATCTAATAAAAAAATAAATGTGGATGCATTTCTATTGTTTGTTTGCAGGTCTGGATATCATGTGCTCAATTTACAGAGTCAAGTGTCCCTGTTAGTTTGACCAAATATGACCATGTTAGATCAATATCACTGATGGTCAGTGCACAAGCACAAGGAGTGGCTTTGTTCTTTGAAAGAAAAGATGTGAGTAAAACAATTTTCAATGCTTGAAACCTGTTTTCTATTATGAAGCTGCTAAGCCTGACTCTGATTATTGGCCCACCTGTTTTACACCCTTGTGCAAATTAATTGAAACCAAATGAATAATTCCATTATTATGTACTTTTTTTCATATTTTTCCAATGAAACATGACCTAGTGCACATGTTAGTACTTTCTATATCCATTCCATGAAGCCGTTTCTTGGATTTAAATCAGGAGTTTCCAGGCCAGTCTATAGTACTTTGAATTGCTCACTGGTAAGGTTTGCCAGTGTTATAATTTTTGTATGCTTCCTTGGAGTAACGTCCATTGCAGACAATGGCAGTAGGACAACTAATCAACAGTTGAGAAAATAGTCTCTGGGCATGATAAAAATCTGATGCAATCACAGATGACACAATATTTTTCAAGCCCCCCAAAATTTCATCATACACTCGGAAAATAGATTCATATTACTACAGACCACTGAAAATGACCTGAGGAAAAAATAGAAATCAATTACACACTTTCACTCCAGTGGGTCTAAAACTGACTGAATGGTGAAATAAAGGAAGCTGAAGCAGTTGTTTCAATTAATTTGCATAGGGGTGCATTACAGATCATGAGACAGATCAGAAATATAAGATTAACTTAGGTCAAATCAGACAGATTATGCATAATTAATAACATTGAGCAGCAACAATTTTGCTAGGAAAAATATATTTCAGACTAAACTGAGAAAGCTGATTCCAAATTTATCCTCAAAATTTTGCATGTGTGATAGGATAAAGAACAGATAGAAAATGTTTATTGATCTAACATGTTTCACTTTTATGAAAGCTTCACCATATAGAGAAAAAAAAGAACATTTTTCTTCACCAAGGCATTTCATCCCCTGAGAGATTTTATCATGGTAAATGTAAGGATTTTATTTTTAAGAATATTCTAAGATATTCTTAAATCTTGTAAGTAAAGTTAGACTATGGAGGACACTGAGTAATATAATTTAATGCCTAACAAACAAAAGTAACTAAATGTTGACTATACACAGACATTTTGTTGAATAAAACTGACAAGTTTTATTGTTTTACTTGTATGAGTACAAGTGTTTTCTTTTCTGGGTATATAATGAATGTAAAAACTTTTGGACAATTTTTATATGTATTAAGTCCAAAAAAGAAGACAGTTGCATGTATAAAAGAATGATGTAAAAATAGACATTTTTTACATATAGAAGGACACTTCTAGGTATAAAAGAACGATATAAAAAGGGACACTTGAAGAATATAAGCCTAAACAAAAGTAATTTATCAGTCTTATTTACACTATTTACACAAGGACTAATGTCTTTGTTGTTGTTATCATGTTTTGTCTTTGTGTCCCATAGATTAAATGATGGGTTCAGTTTGGAATACACTGTAGGTTAACTGGATAGATATGGACTTCATGAAGTCAAAAAGGCATAACAGTTGAAACGTTGGGATACTAACCAGTAAAGTTGAGGACAATAATCCACATGTAAGGATGTAAATAATGATAACTACTGATCTCCAAAATTCAGACAGAAACTTGTTGGTGTGGTTCAGCAAAATATCTAGTAAAAGATGTTATTGGTTTTTCAAAAATTAAAAAAAACAATCTTAAGAACATCATTTGCTTACTTTTATTTATTAGACATTGAATTGTAACACTTTGCATCCTCCTTAGCTTACATGACTTTTTCGACTACCCTGATGAATTATTTATAAATGATGTTAAATTTAAAATTTTTTGTAAAACCAACAACATTTTTGCTCTTGTATATAAATACCTGTCGCAACATAAAATCCTTATATTTGACTTGGTAAAAGCCCTCAGAGGATGAAATGCATCAACCAAGATGAGTTTTTCTTTTGTCTTTGTCCATATTGTCCTTTTACAGATATACTCTATCTGAAATTTTTACACACACACACACACACACACATATAAAGAAAAATACAGAAAAAACAAAAATCTGAATATGCATAATGTTAAAATAAAGTCGACGTCGGACGTTTCGGTCTATTTAAGACCATCATCATGGACATTTTCATTTAAACATAATTAACATTATAACTTATAAAAATTTAACACAAAAGACGATGGACATAAGAGCCCAAATAATTCACACAGATAACTGAAATTTTATACAGATCAGCGTTCTGTTTAAATATGATCACGTAGTCGTCACGTGGGCGATGTTGTTAAAACGTATTCGAAGATGATTTCCAAAATTAAAATATTAAAAAGTCGATTGAAAAATTTTTATAAACAGTTCAAGAAATCTCTTCCGTTGATGTCGGAATACGTAGTGATCAATTGGTTCTTATATCTTCAACAAGCTTGAAGTCCTTCCCGTTACAAGGCAAATCCAAAAGCGATTTCAAAAACGATGGAATAGTTCTAAAAAACAGTTCGATAATAAATCCATTCCTTACTTGATCAATAGAATCTATTATTCTCGTCCAAGCTTGAAATTTTCCATGTTATAAAGTAAATTCAGTTTTGTATTTCCAGTAGACAGTATGTAAATCATCTTCGAATACGTTTTAACAACATCGCCCACGTGACGACTACGTGATCATATTTAAACAGAACGCTGATCTGTATAAAATTTCATTATTTGGGCTCTTATGTCCATCGTCTTTTGTGTTAAATTTTTATAAGTTATAATGCTAATTATGTTTAAATGAAAATGTCCATGATGATGGTCTTAAATAGACCGAAACGTCCGACGTCGACTTTATTTTAACATTATGCATATTCAGATTTTTGTTTTTTCTGTATTTTTCTTTCATACTGTCGGGTTTATATCCATATATTTGCTTACATATATGTATATATATATATAATTTTAATTTTTGTAAAATGATTTTGGGATGTCTTGGTTGTGTAACAGTTATCTGCACTGAAAGCAGAATTTGTGTGCCAGTTTGAGATTAAATCTGTTCTATTTACTTTACACAAATCTATCTTCCTCCAGTTATGCACTCTGTCAGCTGGGGTTGTAGAATACACCGACTGCATCTCTGCAGAAGTGTAAGACCCCCCCTCCCACCAATGGGGCATCCTGGGTATGACGATAAACTACATCCGCATCCAGGGTAAAATGATAAACTACGTCCAACAGCAAGGCCTCTGATCAGGAGGTTTTACGGTGTGTGGAACCACCTCTTAATTGCTGGTGTTCCCAGGTCCACCCTGACCCAGGGTGGTAGCACCTGTTAGGGTCTCAGCTATGGGCAAATAGTTAATCTCAAAATTGAGGTAAAAAGCATTATGAAAGTGTAAAAATAGTTTTAATACCAGAAATACTTTGAAAAAAATTATTACCAGAAATTAATTTTTGAAAAAAAAAAATACCTGCAATACATGTGATTGTACTCAAAAATATGAGTAATTGAAAAATGGTTCAAATATATATGTATACATATACACCTTTTTTTACCAAACTATCGCTATGTATCTATTTCAAAAATTTTGTTGGCATTAAATGACCCACTGAGGTTGATATGCCATAAAACAAAACAACCAACCAATCCTTCAGTTATGGGTGAAATAGCAGGGTAGACTGATCTCCTCAGCATTGTTAAGACAATCGGTCTAGGAGAAGGCCAACTCTGAATTTAAAAGTAGTCTGGAGAGGGATCTGTTTCATCAGGCTACCTTGCCCTAGACACACCTACTATTGCTATAACTGCAGTACATGTAGTGTACCTATGATCCCAATAGATTACAGGACTCATGATTTGATAAAGAAACAAAGGATTATTATTCTTATTTATAATTTTTCTATATTTCAGAAATTCAGCATAAAGCTCCAGTTAACAACAATGTCCCTGGAAGTTTTCGATTATAAAAATGATGAAAATGAAATAATTCCAAAGAAAAATGAATCAAGATTTTGGCATCTTCTCCACATTGAAGACCAACAAGGAAAGTAAGTATCATTTTAAGATTATCACTTAAAATAACTAACTGTATGAAAGAGCATGGGACTGATGACAGAAAAGGTCAGTAATGGTTAAAAAATGCAAGACATTCATATGGATGTCCTGCATGGCTCGAAACTCATTCAGAAATGTCTAAACTGTCAGCCGTATAAAATTGATTTCTCAGATCAATAGTTGAAAATGTCTTGACACAAATGAAGCATGTAAATCTTAGTGAGGACCATTCTTCTTTCCACCTTGTGGGCTGACACTCAGTCAGTCAGTTATGTGCCATGTATGATACACATTTAGGTGATCATGTATCTTTTGATACATGACTGACGAGGCAGTTTTTTTTTTTTTTTTTTTTGGCAGTAGATTGCCATTTCTTTCTGGCCAGTTGCCATCCAAGGCTATAGAGCCTGGTCTTTCCTGCTATTTAGCCATAGCTGGGGGGAGAAGAAGAAGAAGAAGAAGATTCATACCTTTCCCAAGGTTATTAGCATGTAAATTAATGTAATGGAGCAGACTGAAATTTGAACTCGGCTCTCTGATTCCTCAATCCGAGCCACTATCCATTACTCCACCGTACCTCCACTACAGAACTTGTGCTACAGAATCATAAATAAAGAACTGTACCAAATAACAGGAACTAAATCCCTTGATGACCTCCAACAGCAGCCACAGCTAAAATGGAAATTACATAAATGAAAATAAATTTCATAATCAAGATGTTAATGTTCCACATTACTTCAAACAAAAGGTTAGGAAGGACCCCCCCCCCCGCTATAAATATTGGAGTGGGTGATAACTGTTAGCGGACTTGAGAAATCAATTTTCATGAAAAATTGTTTTCAAAAAAAAATTCATAAATTTCAAACAGAAGTCGTCTAGCTGCTTGGTCAATGAATGCCGAAAATTTCCTTATAAGGAAATGAATGCCGGATATTTTCTTATAAGGAAACTGTTAATATTACCATTACTGTTTATGCTAAAAATGATTTCATCAAATAAACGAAGTGTCCTGGATAAGACGATAAACTACATTCGACAGCAAGGCCTCTGATTGGGAGTTTTTGAGGCGTGTAGAACCACCTTGTAATTGCTGAATTTCCCAGGACTACCCTGGCCCGGGGTGGTAGAACCTGTTAGAGTCCCAACTATGAGCAAATAATTAACTGGGGTCAAAACCTTATAAAAGTATAAACATAGATTTTCATAGTAAAAATACCAATAAATTCCAGCAATACATTGGATTATCAACAAAAACCCTTTTTACCAAAATACGTCATTGAAACCTGATATACAAACTGATTTTTAAAAAATACTTATTCTATTCATACAAACCTATCCTAAAAATTTTGCCAGCATTAAATAACTATTGAAGTTGATATGCTGTAAAACAAAAGAAACGAATAAACAAAACAAGTCACTGTAGCTTTTGAGATATGGTTAAAGATCTGACACATTACTCAAATTGAGAAGAAAAACTATCATTTTCTACTGATTAATTTTGACTTGTAAAATCTGTAGCATAAATCATTGCATAGAAATGGCTTTTAATTGCTTACGTAAGTTTTCTACTTTTATATGTAGATGTATTTGTTGTATCCAAGCATAAAATCTTTTCATGGGAAGATGAATGGAGGCATAACATCACCATCACTAGTGATCACTCTGAACACCTTTGTAATCACCATTAGACTCATCCAACTCTTTCTGAATCCTGTTAACTGTCCTCAGGTTGTTGCCTAAATGCTCTGAAATGTTCATACTGAAGCTTCTGGTGGGAATGGCAAATGGTACAGTATGCGGTTTCCAAATTTCTAGAGGGGTGAATTGCATCATGGTGCTCTTTTTCTCACGGATGGTGCCCAACTGACCCTACTATAATGTGCACTTGATAAAATCAGAAACAAACAATGCACAGGCATGAAAATCAAAATATAAAATGGCGACAATTTACCCATCGCACTGTATATATAGTATTGTGCAAAAGTAAGTAAACACTTAAGATAATATTAAAAAAAATTTTTCTTTTTTCCAGATAATGAACAAATCTTAATCAAATTATATATTCAATAAGAAAAACCTTTATCAAATGAATTATGACCACTTTCTAAATTTTTTATCAAGTTAGAATAAAAATATTAATGAAAAATTAAGATGTGCAAAAGTAACTGAACACTTACATTTAATATTTGGTGTCTCCTCCTTTTAAGGTTACAATGTCAACAAATCTTTTTCTATAATTTTTAAGAAGTTTCTGGCAGTAGTCAGCATCAATTTTTGACCATTCTTCTTGGTAAAACTTCCACAATTCTTCAATATTATTTGGGTTTCATGCATCTATTGCCTTCTTTAACTTGAACCATGGATTTTCAATTGGGTTTAGATCAAGACTGACTACACCATTCTGAGACTCAAAATTTCTTTTTAGATCATTGTCAGGTTGGAAGATCCAGCCCTGATCTAAACCCAATTTTCAAACTGAGGGCAACACACTTTTGTTCAAAAATTGTTTGGTATCTTGCAGATTCCAATGTGCTGTCAATATGTACTATTTTACCTGTTCCAGCTGCAGCAAAGCACCCCAAATCATAATGGTTCCTATGCCATGATTAACTGTTGGCACTAAATTCTTCTCTTCAAAAGCTGTATTAAGATCTCACCAGACACACTGCCTATCATTTTTACCAAAAAGCTCTAGTTTGGTTTCATGTGCCAGAATGATTCTGGCTTATTAATAATTTGGTATAGTTGAGCTGAGATTGTGCTTTTTCATAAGGATTCTGCCATGAAGACCAGTATCATTCAAATTTCATTGCACTGTAGACATATGCACATTGATTTCAACATTGGTCAAGGAGCACTTGAAAAATGCAGAGGTCACAGCAAGATTTACCTGAACTTGCTAAACTAGATATTTATTTGCTTTTGCAGTTATTTTTTTGGGGGGGTACAATTCTTCATTGTAATGCCTTCAATTTATAAATAATTTGTCGCATGGTGCAGATGTGCACTGTAAGTCTTTTTGATAGATTTTGTAGTCTTCTCTATCATTATAGGCTTCAACTATATGATTTTTTTTAAAGCATCAGAAGTTCTTTTGATCTTGGCATATTTTTTTAAAAATTTCAAACTGTACTCTTTTGCGTACTCATTGAATTTTATTGGTTGACTGCAGTATACACAGCTTGCCATAATAAATAAACATGTCATTTTGATTTTTACACATGCAGAAAAAATTATTTGCACTGGCAGCATTAAAAAAAACAAAAATACAGAGGGTAAATGAAAGTGGTTGTAATTTGTTTAATGAAGGTTTTTCTTACTGAATATATACTTTAAGATTTGTTGATTATCTGGAACAAAAAAGAGATTTTTTTTTTTAATATCTTAGGGGTTCACTTTTGCACAGCACTAATATATATATATATATATATATATATCAAGGAATTGATAGTAAGTTAATATCTCATTAAGTTCTGTTAGTGAAGTGATTTCACCATCAATCACTAACATTGCTATTTAATTCTTTGTATAAATTGTTTCTTGATGCTATTAAATATAAACTGCACTCTAATATATTTGCAACATCAGATCTGCAGCACACTAATAATCAGAATCTTAAATTATGTGGAATGCTACTAAGACATTTTTACTCTACTAATTAGATTATACTAAGTACATGTCACTTTAACAGATAAATACATATAACAAGAAAAGTTTGTGAATCTCTAACTTTTCAAAATTTGAAAAATTCTCACTTGATTGATTTGAACAAGAACACTAGTACAGTATTTACATTAGTCGGACTATTGTCCTCATCTTTAATCGCCATATTTGTCACAACGTTTCGAGTTATACGCTCGGCCTTCTTCAGGTGGTTGGAATTTCGAACTGAACCCTTTATTTCGATCACTGGGGTAGACTGTTCTAATTCCACGTGCCATGTTTGACCACCTGAAGAAGGCGGAGCGCACAAACAGCCGAAATGTTGTGACAAATATGGTGACAAAGATGAAGACAATAGTCCGACTAATGTAAATACTGTACATAATACCTCATCTCAGAAATATAGACAAACTCTGAAGAACACTAGTGTTGCAACATTGCATGCTCCAAGGCATATATTCAGCTGTCAATAAATAGCATAATTTAAAAAAAAAAAACATCTTTTGGTCTAGACATATTTCGTCTTAGTGTTTACCTATGTATGGGAAAATTGTGCCTTGAAGTTGACAATTTGAAATTGTCAAAAGTACTTGGCATGTGTCTTCCATTTGACAACAACTCAAGGATCTTATTATTAAAGGAATTGATAATAATTTAATGTCTCATAAAGTCTTGTTAGTGAAGTGATTTCACCATTAGTCACATTAACATTGCTATTTAATTCTTTGTATAAATTGTTTTTTATGATATAAAAATATAACCTGCATACACTAATATATATATATATATATATATATATATATATATATATAATGAAATGGACAAAGTCTGACAATTATTTTAAGACATTTTTATGTTTATACATTCTTTTTTATAGATACAAATATTTAAGTAAATGCTCTGTTTATAATAAACAGTATGAACAACATTTACTGGCCTGAATGTCTGAGAAATTGTCATAGAAAATATGTGTCCTCTGACAGGAATTGAACCTGTATCCTATATGCAACTGTCATATAGCCTGACATGCTTTTACCAATTTCGCCACAGTGGAGTGTTTTGGTTAGCAAAGTCAATTTTACTTTGTTTGAAAGTCAAATTAAAAAAAAATGTAAAGCCACTAAGACACAAGGGGTTACTGAATGTTAGAGAATAAGAAAGAAAGCAAGAATTAAGATTTGGTGGAGAAATAATTACTATTTATTGCCTGTTAGGAAAAGCTAATTTACTTCCTCTATAAAGGGCAATAACTCAAAATACAATTGAGTGACTTCCCTTGTTTGAAAGACAATTGTGGGACTTCTGAATTAAATGTTGACAAGTTGAAACATATGTGGGATGCATGGTTTCAATCCAAATAAATCCTTGCTGTTCTCGGACAGTAAACGAATGAAAGTTGTTTTATTATTTGTTAAAATACACTTGTCTTTTATTTGCATTTGTTTTTGTTCATCCCAACAGCCTTGGTATATAACATACCCCAACAGAAATCTGCTTAACAAATCTTGCAATTTCCTCACTAATCCACAGTACATGCAAATAGATGGGACACTTCTAAGGAGAGTAGAGGTTTATCCCTTGTTTCCTGCTTAGGATTGGGTTTCCAGTTCTTTCTAAAATCTTTTCATTCTCTTTCACTACCAGTAGCTGCTTGTATCTTAGTGGTGTTATTGCCTTTCTTGAGAGGTGAATTGAATAAAATAATATTGACCTAAATTTATGAAATTATTGCATTTTGTCCTGAGTGCTGGTCTCTACAATAACCACAGGATGTTCATTCTCACTCAGAACCTTTCTAATAAATTCAATTTTAACATCTTGTTGCGGAATTTATACTAAGTAAGATGTGTCAGAAGGTGAAATTGTGTGAAGGCCTAAAATGTGCATGTATATTATACATTTATCCACAACAAATAAATTAAACGAACATATGAAGACAATTCAACTTGAAGAAATCAAGGAAAAACAATGTAGTTATAGATTTCAACAATAAGATGAATTTATATTTATATATATATTTGACATATACAAAGTGATGATAGGTTGCTTGTTAAATGTGGCAAGTGAGATAAGATTGCAAATAGTGTCCATGCAGAGATTTGGTGAATGAATGTTGATGGTTTAAGTCTGTCTGTGGAATTAAAACAGTTTGATTTCTGCAAGGTAAAATGTCAATTGTGTGAGCTCAAATAATAGTGTGTGACAATTGTAAGTATTGATTCAAGTTATGAAGAGTTGTGTGCCTTTGATCGATATACTAAAGTTGATTAAATGTACAATTAATATTTTGTATTGATAACTTACAATTTACTAAAAAAGTGACTTTAAGTTTCTTCACGTGGCAATTGTAGTGTAAGTTGTGTTGAGTTGATGAGGGAGCTAGTACTGTTATTGAGTCAGTGTTGGCACTTGTGTTGTCTGCTGGCATCTCTTGAAACTCAGTGTCTGACTGACTTGAATTAAGTCGAGCGATTCTTTTTTATAGATATTTGGGTTTTCAAATAGGCTCCAGACAGCTTCATGGGAAAAAAAGGATTTGTTTCAACTTGCAACATTGTGTATCCTTTTAACCAATGGGAAGTTGAGTTTGGAAAAGTGAAGTGAAGTGATGATTGGTTAAAGGTTAATTTGGGGAAAAGTGCATCTTCCTGTAGGGGGTAACAGGCAAGTGTGGAGGATTCCATAATCTAATTTTGTCACAGAACATCTTACCAATATCTGGTGAACTATGGTTTTAATCAGAAAAGGTTAATTTTCAAATCAGAAAAATGAGTATTGTAAATATTTGCATGAAATTGTGGTAGAAATATCTTATTAATGATCTTTTCTTTTTTAATTGCTCCATTTTTTTTTCCAGCATTCATATTACTCTTGATGGTGAGCAAAGTGTTGATATGGCCTATAAAGAAAACACAGGATGGTTTTATTCAAATGCTGACGATTTTTCAATGTTTGTCACTGTTGGAGGCTTACCAAAGGATCATGAACATTTTAAAAAACTTGACACATTTATTGGGAGCATATCAACTCTCTTCATTCAACATTTGTAAGTAAATCTACAAGTGGTCATTTCATTTTGTTGAGAAATTTTAGCAAAAACCTTTTGTCTGTCTATTACTTGAAGACTTCCCAGGTTTTAGGAAATTTTACAAATTACTAAAGGTTAATGAATTTATTTTTCCATTAGTTTCATGATTAAAAATGAGGGTTTTTATTTTAGGTCAATCATAAAATATTGGGTTGGAACAGAAGTCCATATCATTTATTTTAAGTGAATTACATATATGTTATGTTGTTCCACTATGTTTTGTCATCTTTGATTCCATCTTCCTAGAATTTGGTATATTTCTGAGCAATGAACTGGTTTTTGTAGGTGTCCAGAGAATTTAAGTTCTCCATTAAGATAAGCTTGATATAAGTGGCAATCCAAGAGGGCAGATATAGTAGGACATTCTAGCTAAGGTGTATCAATTTCTATCAGATCTACAAAGAGATGTAAGGTCTGGAATTGTGCTGATGAATGATAATACCCTTCTGATTGGCCAATCCCTGATGCTTTTCATTGATTACTGACTTTAATTGGTCCAATTAGGAACAATACTAGTCTAAATTCAATATACACAGCATCACTTTCTTTGGATACAGACTTGGTTTTGGAGTGGTTAATGGTGGCTCATTTTTCCCCAGGACCTTTTTCACTCCACATTGTTGTAAATCATCCATTTTTCAGTGTCTGTGATCATTCTTTTCAAAAATGGTTTGTATTCTCTTTATTTTATTTTTTTTTAACAATGTTGTTCACCCTGTACAAGGCCTGGGAGCCACTCATGGTAGAGTTACAGGCATAGTTTGTGGGGAAGATAACCTGTTCAAATATAGTGTTAATAGTTAGGATTGTAGTAATTGTGGTAGCATCCTCTTGGGAATCAATTCCATAAAGCAATGGTTCATGGGAAGAAACTTCTCAAGTACAACTTACATCTTGCCAATGGAATATGAAAGAAATGATGACGGTTCACTAGAATGTGCACAGAATGGTGGTTTTCAGCCATGAAGGTTAGAACTGGATGAACTAAGGAAAGTAATTTGTCTGAGTATTTTCCATGAAAATAGTGATAGAGCAGTCAGAGGCTTGCAACATTTCACCTGTGGAAAAGGGGGCTGTAGGGTGGAAAATAATCTTTCACCCACAACTACCGAGACTGGAAAGTGAACACTGGGCAGCTCTTGCCCATATATGACAGCAGTACTCCATTTTTAGCCTGATGTGGCTCTTGTAAAGGTAGAGGATAGTAGGAGGAGTCAGGTACTTACTGGATTGGTACAGGAAACCAACCATGTTTCCAGCATCTTTAGCAGGGTATCATATGTAGGAGTTCCATTTGAGGTCTGAGTTCAGTTTGTCTCAACAGGTGCTCAAGGCATAGAACCTCGCTGAGGGAACATCCCTTCATTGTGATTGCTCAAGATAGTTCAAGGGCTAATTAGCAGAGTCACAGATGAAAATGTGATCCATTAAATTTCTGTAAAAGTTTGTGGCATCCAAACAGTGATTCCCATATTCAAGTGCTTTCAAATGCTTTACATTCCACACACAAGATATATGGAGTATTTGTATGATGTCTCACATTGTGTAACTTGGATTATTTTTAATCAGCATTTGAATTTGATCCTGATCACTGTCTGTTCTGTGCCATTTACAACCAGTACTTTCAGCTATGGCACATATCTATTTTTTCTGTTTGTACAATGTTTGTTTTGTTTCCTTTCTGAAATGACACAAGTGCATTTCATTTTAACTTTTAACATAATATAGAAAGATTTTGTTAGGTGTAAAACAATTTCAAGTGTTCAAATGCTAAGAATTTTTGTTCCAATCCAATATAAAGTAATTTTTTTTATTCCACTTATTTTATTATTCAATTTCAATCCAACAATGAAATCAGGTCAATGTTTTTTTTATTTTTATGAAATGTTGACATTTTTAAAATTTATTACTTCACTCATTTTTTTTTTTAAACAGGTAAATGAGTATAACAGTCACTTAAGTGCCATATGTGATATACACTTGGCTGATCATGTCCCTTTCAATTCATGCTAGAGGACCTATTCAACCCCTATCTTGGGGAGGGGGGAATCCAATGGTATTTGTGCATAAGTGAATGCAATGAATCTGACTGGAATTAAAACTCTGCTCTCTCATTCCATTACACTACAATGCACATCCTATCTGAACAAATGATTAAATATTGGATTTTTAATTTTTTTTTCTTTTCTTTGTTGGACTAAGAACTTTTCAGCACCTCTTCATAATTATTTTTTGCATGAGTAATCTGGAATTCTTATTATAGTTGAATCTTACTGTTGAATGTAAAAAATTTTCAAAGAAAGCTAACATAGCTTTTTTTGGAAATTTTTTACAGCATTAAAAAATAATTACAGTAGTTGAGGGATTTTGCAATAGTCTAGGATTTTATTTCTATGATTAGCCTGGCTTTTACATGTAAGAAAGAATTTTTTTTTTTTTTTTAAGTCCATAAAATTAAAAATATCCAAAGAAAGAAAAAAAAATGCAATGTATTAGCAGCCTGATCTCTTCTACTTACAAAATTAAATATTCATTCGTTATAAAATGAGAAATATTGGACAATTGGAATTGTAATATCTTCTGCTACCAAAATAACAATGTATCATTGAAGATAAATAGGGAGGATCAGGCTGCATGTATGATAAATATATAAAGTCACATCATGTTTTTATATCGTAGTTTCTATGATATTGCAAACCAAAGTATATCAAAAATTTGACTTACCGGAATGTTTTCCATTTTACTTGATGACTAATTATATTCTATTTTGTTTTCAGACCAATCAATCTCAATAGAGAAGTTGGCAGTTCCTACAATTTGTTGGTTTGTGAAAAGCCTACTGTAGAATTGTTCCCAAACAAATTGAACTGTACAAACTCTGTAGGTGGATGAAATGAAGATATTAATTGACAACCAATCCAGGATTCATATGCACAAGTTGTTGAATGAACTATTCCACTCATTGATATCTCCCCCCATTTTGACTGTATTTTAGAACTGTTTTTGAATATGAAGACAGATTTTATTAAATCTGGTAAGCTTTACCTGTTCAAATGATGATTATTTATTACAAGGCAGCACTTGTATGAAGTTAATTTGAAATTACACTGCAGAAATGTCCAGGTGTGTTTTAAGATTGAAACCTGAGTAAATTGCCTCTTGGATGTTATTGGCAACTGGTTATGAAGATTAACAAGCTTAATTCTTAAAATGGTCATGGACTTGCATTATTTTTCGTCAGTGATATCATAAATAGACTTCATCTATTCAACATGAAACAGAATCCATCAAACTCTGCCATATGTCATTTCATGCTATTATGGTCATCTGACTTAACTTTAGAATTCATTAATTGTAATACTTGGTGGGTCGTTTGAGCTGATGTCCTTTTTTATTTTTTTCACTGTAATATTCCTTCTCATATTGACACCAATAAACACCTGAACGTAATTATATACTGTGAAGAAAATCATGCAATCTTAATAATGAGCCCACCACCACCCACAAAAAAGAAAGATGACCAACATGATATACAAATTCAATTGTTGATTAGGAGACAATTTCATGATGGTAAAAACTGCATTTAATTCATGTTGATCACATAACTACACTCTTACAGACTAGCTTGTCATACCAAAGTGCTATATATTCCCGTATAAATCATCTCATGACATTCCTAATAACATAAGGTACGTTACTAAATAATATTATTGTAAAAAGAAACTTCAGATACTTGAAGCTTTTATTATTAAAACAAAGTAACCTAAAATAAACAAATTCTCATAAAAAATTTGAGACATTTAATAATCGATTAAATGAAACTGAACCAATTTATACATATCTTTGTTGAGGTGTAGATACGAGAAATTGCATGTTTTATGCATCATAGGTGAAACCTGTTTTTAAAATATGCATTTCAATGATTAAATACTATGTAAAACAAAGTACTATCTTGTCTGAAATTTTCAAAATTTATATTCTTGATAATGATCAGAGAGTGGTTCAAAAGGTTTGAACTAGAAACAGATTCTTGTAATTTTAATTTTTGAGTTTGAGATGGTTAATTTTGAGATACAATGTTTTTTTTTTTTTGTTTTTTTCCTTTTTTATAAAAGAAAAGTAATAAGAGGTACAACAATATTTCTCTTATGTGACAACTGGTATTATTTACATAAATTAAGAGATTATTATATATATCTGAAAAAATACAATACCAGTTCTTAAGTGTTGATTAACTAGCACACACACACCAAAAGAATGTGTATTTTGTAAATGTGTAGTGGGAATGAGTTACCATTTTTCCTGAAATTATTATTGATAGAACAAATTGAGCATAATGTATGTTGTGTCAGATGGACATTTTCTTGAACAGGATATTTGAATGAAATTACAAACAATTATGTAAAATTAGCAATATCTTTTTTTTTTTTTTTTGCCTTAGCAAACTAAATAGAATAAAATTAAATAAATAAATAAGTAAGTAAAAATGTGTATAAACATTTTTTTTTTTTTACTATGTAAACATGGTTAGAATCCTATTAAAGGTGTTTTGTATGCTGTGTTGTGTTCAAAGCAACACGTCACTCACTGGAGGGTGCTTTGTAAAGAGAAATTACTTGGCCGACAAGTTAAATTATCTCATAAATACCTTTGTTCTCATTTGCATTTTTATGAATAATTTTATGCATTTAGTATTGGATGGAAGTAAGTTTCAATTTTTTAGGGAACTTTTGTAAGGTTCTGTTTTCAATCCAGGATATGCATCAAACATTATATGAAAGAAACAGCACAGCAAATGATGTAAATTCTATCTGCAAAGCAAGCACATTAACCAATGTACAATTCAGTATTGAGTCAAGCAAAAAACATCACGCAATAATATCACAGAAGATAAATCCAGTGATATTCACCAATTATTTTCTTTGGTATATATATGTTAAAGTGTGGCCAACACAGTATTAGATCCATTTTAACCTGACAAATGAAATCATTTCATATTCACAATGCATAAAAATATTATCCCATATATATATATAATTAATAGAAATCTTATAAGTATAAGAATCTATACTTGCTTGGAAAACCTTCGGTATATTGATTTGCAAATAAACAAGTCAACACCAAAGGGGAAAAAAAGGTATAAAAAAAAAGGAAGACCCAAGAACATGTACGTTAACCGAAAATAATCGTCCAGCATACGAGTTCAAGACACAAAGAAAAAACCCCGATGTGAGTACCCAAAACAACTAAAAAAAAAGTGCTCAATACAATGAGTAGAGCAGACCTAGATAAACCTACCAAGGTTTCACCTAAGTGGATCGTCATATATATATATATGCTGCTAACCACTATAATTGAAATACTAATGGGGCACCAAGGTCTTGATGGGTAATCTTGTGGACCCCTTATGTAGTTTTCAAAATCTGATAATCATTTTTGATTCATTTTGTCATACATGTAAAATTCCATCAAAATCAAAGCAATTTGAAAATTTGGGGGTCCCAAATTTCAAGCCAATAGACAGGTTTAAGACTAATAGTAATTGAAATAATAAAGCATGTTTTTTTAAGTTTTCTATTTAATCAACTTCATGGCCAAGGCCTTAGACTTAATTTAAAATTTTGGGGTTCCCTGCTGGTCCCCTAATACATGGGGGTCCAAGCGTTTATTTTCAGTGAATTCCAAGTGACTACTTCAGTTATTCAATATGTACTGAATTTTCATTGAAATTGGGGAATACTGCTACAAAATACACTTGAGAAGCAATTGAGGCATCAAAGGGTTTATAGGGTTATACATTTTTAAAAATCTGACAACCGATTTCTATCTCATTCTAAGAGCGTAACAAACATGCAAACTTTCATCAAGATTGAAGCAATTTGAATTTTTTTGTGGTTCCTTTGGGGCACCCTGAAGGTCCCAGTGTCAAGAGAAATGAACATCAATATAGTGTATAATAAGCGTGACAGTAAGTTGCATACACTTATCAAGTTTCCTTGAAATCAGGTTTAGGCTTAAAGTCTGAAAGTTCAAAAACAACCAAACTAACGGAAATTCCCATTTAAACATTATATTTATCGATTATTGATTTTGAAAAATGACTATTTTTTTTTCCCAGACACACCCAGTATAGAGTACAATCTATGTTCCAAATTTGGTGGAAATATGCCTTATGGTTCTTGAGTAGTTCATAAACACACACAATCAGTTTTTATATATATATATATATATATATATATGTTTGTTTGATATTGCCTCCTGAATTTCTGCACTATTGTGTGCTTATCTACACAAAATGGAGAAAAATTTATTTTCTCTCAGATTAAGCCCACTTGATTTTTAAAAATTAACAATCTGCTCAATTTGGCATCAGTATATTTAGGTAGCTATATGTGTATGCCAGTTTATAATCATGGTAATACAATGACAGTGAAGTCAAAGCTGTTCCATGTTTAATAATAATGTTGGTTTTCTTTTCACTGACTAATTGATTGCAGTGATATTTGATTTCTTCAGTCAAAATTGAAACTTGTACAACAGATTTAATTCAACTGCTTTTTCTTTTTTACCATTATTATTATTGCTGTCAATATAGGCAAATTAATACTTTTCATTTAGAACTATTTATGAATATTCATTCAGTACATATCTAATGATTCCAATGCATCCAACTCACTGGTTCATTCTCAATTAAAAACAAGTTAAATTCTTAACTATTTTCCTTAAGTGATTTTTAATTTTCAAAATATAAACTTTGAATTTAATTCTTTTTCAGATTTTTCATTAACCATTCTCATTTTCTGAACTTTCTGCACTTCTAAAATCTGTAATTGTCTGTTAACGTTCTATAAAAACTCCACCAGACATAAGTATCATGTAGAGGTACACTCATATGTATTTAACCAAATTAGTAACAGTTTCTTCTCAACCAAATTAGTAACAGTTTCTTCTTGGCTTCTAAAGAATATGAATTTTCAGCACAATTCCATCCATGACTGATACCAACGGAAATACACTGTTTTGACTTAGAAAGTCACACAATATAAAAATCAATTTCAAACAAGAAACAAAGCTTCTGTAGCATTTGATGTCATATGATCGGATATCCTGGTAGGTTTATAAGCACAGAAAGTTTTTTTTTTTTTAACTTTTAAAGCAAAGCTGGGAATGTTTTCATGCGTAATCTCTCAACTTCTTTCCGAAGAACAGCAAGTTCTGCTGCTTGTGACTTGGCCAGGTCAACCAGTTTTTTCCGCTGCTTAATTGTTCGATACTTCTTTTCTGTTTGAAGGTATTCTCTCTTCTCGGCTGAAATGACCATAATGAAATTTGTTAGTTGTTTGACAAAGTATGTAGGTCTGAAGAATCATATGAGAGTGCATAAGGACATATACTTTTCATCTGCCATACAAGCAAGAAAGCTTGCAAAATGAACTGGGTCTTTTAAGTCAATTACGTGTTCATGGTTGCCCAATCCAAAATTGAAGAGATTGCCGCCTTCTCTCAAAGAAGTGGCAATTACTATATGACTTAAGTAAGTTTAAGGAGTGATTGACTAGTTGGTTGGTTATTTGACTGGCATATCAATGCTGAAAAGGTTGGTTGGTTTTGTTCAGTGGCATGACAACCTTCATGGGCTACTCAATGCCGAAATCAAAATATTTAGTATGCAACTTTATACTCCCAGAGTAAACTTTTTTTTTTTTTTTTTACTTAGAGATATAGTTTATAGATAAAATGTATTGTGCTTTCTTCTATAAGTGCTGGAAGCAGTCTACTTCTTTCATATAGCCTATTATTTAAGAAGCAGATACATTTTTGAAAAGCATGATATGGTTTTATACATCCTAGTATTTGTTGTGCTTTTTTTTTTTTAAGATATGCTTAACAGTGAGCAAATTGATCATAAAAGATGGACTGAGGTGCAGTAATTATAGACAGCTGAATTCTGGGAATGCAATTTTTATATAAATACATCAAAATCATATTTCTCTTAAGCACCAGAGTCACATTTAACTCATCAGTATATTGGTTGATCTGATGGTCCATCAGGTTATCCACATATCAGGTCTGTGTTTGTCGATATAGTCAGTTCAGCTTATGGATAGATTATGTTGAAACATTGGTTCTCATACGATCACCAAAGTTAAGCAATATTGAGCCTGGTCAGTAACCAGATGAGTTACCACTTGGGAATACCAAGTGCTGTAAACTTGGATGTGTGGATTGTATAATGGATATTTACTTGGAATTGTTAATCAGAGAGACCAGTTCCAATTCCAGTTGGGTTTGTCATATTCACTTACATTCAAATACTCTTGGGAAAGGCATGAATCTACCTCTTCCCCCAGCTATGGGTTAATTAGTAAGATTTGTGTCACTAAACCATTATCTCCAAAATAAAAATAGATTTCATTATTAAATACCTGAAAGAGGTTGATATGCTGTTAAACAAAAACAACCAACTTTTCTCTGAGGGCATAGTCTAATAGTGATTTACTAAGCATAGTTTAGATGTGGCATAAAGCTGAAAGTAGGGAGCACTTTAGGATCAAACTCATTACACAGTCATGACTGATCTAGCAAGAGAAGCTTGCTAACCATTACACCACCTCAAAGTGCTGGGCATGGTCTAATACACTCCTTTACTTAAGATTAACAGGAAATGATAATATTTTCAAAAACTCAAAGTAGTGAAAGAACATTCTGATGATAATACATTTATATGTATGAATCAAAGCTAAAAGGTTTACAGGCACATCACATTGAAACATTTTTTCCCATATGGTCACCGAAGTTAAGCGACATTGTGCCTGATAAGTACCTTAATGGCTGGCCACTTGGGAATACCAGGTGCTGCAAGCTTGGATGTGTGAATGGGTCATCAATAATATCTTGGAATTGTCAATCGAAGAGCTGAGTTCCAATTCCCATTGTGTTGGTTATATTCACTTATGTGTAAATACTTGTGGGAAAGGTATGAATCTACCTCTTCCCCCAACTATGGGTTAATGAGTAAGACTTGTATCACTAAATTATTATCTCCACCTTATCTTGTAAAAATTCTTACAATCTAAAAATATCTTCTGGCTTTAAATGACCTATAAAGAGTTGATAAGCTGTAAAAAATTAATGAATCAAAGCTAAAAATCCATGGCATATAGATAGTCATTGTAAAGATATGTGGCTGGTGTCACTGTTTGCAGTGTGGAAAATATAATCAGCAGACAAGACTTCAAATTCCAGCCAAGGTGAATATCTGTAACCGAGGTAGGATAGTCACTCTTGGAAGAAAATTTGAAACCACATTATCATTTTTCCCATTCCTAAAGCAAAGCAATGCCCAGTTTACAGATCTTAAAGTAAAAGGAAGTTGTGTAGGATTGTGATCATTTATATCCCGAAGGCACACAATTTTTAAAGAAAGAGCCATTACAACAGTTTGGAGCCTATGATTATCACAATTATTCTAGTATAATGCAAGTTCATGTCAAAACTGCATTTTAATATTCTTTACTTCTTTCTGTGATTCTCTGTTAACAAACTTGAAAAAAAAATACCTTTAGCAAGATCTGACAAAATTCAAGATATGGAACCTTTAATGCTAAAACAATTAAAATTATGATTTTTCATAAATATTTTCCATTGATGTCAATTAAGTTTCAGTGTTTTATGTGGAAAATACTTTATTTGTTTCTGTCATGTTTCTTTTCAGTTCAATTGGAAGACTAAAACTTAAAAGCAGTACAATGATATTGAGGTTATTCCATAAACTGTAAATGAATGCTGAATATAAAAACCTAATTAGCAGGAGCTGAAAAGTAATCATTTCATTTGGCAATGAGAAAAAAAATTAAACACGCAAGTCAAATTTGTTTTAAGTTTGTGTTTTACATTTAAGAGTAAAGCTGTCAATTTATAGCTACAGTAAAACCTTGGTTTAAGAAACCACATGTATTGATCTAATCCAATGCAACTTCACCAGGAAAATAGATTTATATAACCACAGTGGAAAAACCATAAATTTATATAGAACTCAATAGACAGAACCCATTTCAACTGCAGGCAGAACAGGTCAACTTATTAAAGCACGAGTTGGCTATCAGTTCAATACTTGTGCTGGAGAGTAAATATATATTTGAGCTATTTAACAACTTATTGTTATGGTCTATATGATCCACAATGTTAAGTTTGTTATTCTATGTATTGAAGAAATAAAATATAGAGAAACTGTATGTTGGATAACCCGCATTTCATTACGTTTTATTAGAAATAAAAGCTAAAAACAGACAGATATTGAAAAATCAATCTGGGTTTTGAAAGCAAGTGCAAATAATCCTGTTTGCATAGTAACCATCAAAACAGGTAGGATCATTTATCTATAAAGTATTGGAAATTTTCTAAGGTTTATTTTGTTTTATGACATATCAACTGTAATGAGTTATTTAATGCCAACCAAATTTTTAGGATAGGTTCATATGAATAGAATATGCATTCTTTGTGAGAAATCAGTTTGTAGATCAGGTTTCATTGACATATTTTTGTAAAGAGGGTTTTTGTTGAGAGTCAAATGTAGTGTTGGTATTTTTTTTTTTTTTGTAATATTTTTCCCAAAAATGTATTGCTGGTATTTTTACTATAAAACTCTGTTTTTATACTTTTATAATTTTTTTTACCCTAGTTTTGTTGGGGGGGGGTAACTATTTTCCCATAGCTGGGACCATAACAGGTGCTACTACACCGGGTCAGGGTGGACCTGGGAACAACAGCAATTAAGATATACTTCCATGCTCCGCAAAACCTCCTGATCAGAGGCTTTGCTTCTGGAAGTAATTTATTGTTAGGCTTGGTTAGGAGTACAAAGTAAATTAGTGTGCAGATTATATCTATAACAACACTTCCCAAAATTCTCTCAATATGAGCAAAGAAAATTATTTATGATTGTTTTATTTGATATTTTAGTTTCTTAAATCCAAGACAGCAATGTTAGTTAAATGCAGTAATTAACAGAACTTGCTTCTTTATGAAATGAGATTTATTTGATTTCAGAAACACACTCAACCCATATTTTTTTTTTAAATCAAAGTCTAACTGTACTTTATTTTTTTTTTTATTTTTACATGAAAAGCATTTGCATTTTTTTCCCATATGAATTAAAAACTATTTTCTTTTGTAAGTTATGGCTGTCTGTAAAAGGGACAGCCCAACATGCAAATTACAAATAAAAATGTTTTTTCTAGTTTCTTCCTTCCAAATTTGGAGGGCATCTCATAAGCCACAGAATATGGTATTTGTGATTTGTTTCTGTTTTAAGTATATTGAAATGATTTTTAAATGCCAACATGAAAATCTTCAAGTCTTAACATGTGTCTCTGCAAAATATTACAAGGAACAATCTAAATGAAACTAAAGCATTACAACAAAACACAACCAAATATTGTTATGCTTCAGTATCTGTCTATATTTCTGAGATGAGGTATTATGTACACTATTTACATTATTCGGACTATTGTGCTCATCTTTGTTGCCATATTTATCACAACGTTTCAGCTCTTGTATGCCCCGGCCTTCATCAATTTGTTGGACTGTTCAACAGAATCCTTTATTTCGCTTGCTGGGGCAGACATTAAGTTTATAAGTCCTAGAAATTCATATACAGATGTCCTCAAGGACACATGACACAGTGGATAAAGGTGTTGGTTAGATCCAGTGACAGGACCCAAAGAGGTGTGAGTTCAATACCTGGAGTGGAGAAGTTGGAGAGGGGAATTAACAGGAGATCACTGATAACTGACATCCATTAGACATGGCATGTGGAACTAGAACAATCTACTCCAGCAAGTGAAATAAAGAGTTCAGTTCGACATTCTCACCACCTGAAAAAGGCCAGAGCATACAACGGCCAAAACATTGTGATAAATATGGCAATAAAGATTAGTAAATATTGTTATGCTTCTATAACAAACACAGACTCAATGAAAATATAAAATAAAATTGTAACACTTACAGCTTACATCCGTAATATGATATCTGTCATTTACTTCGACATTTAATATTTCAATCTGTTTTGAAAAACTTTCATTGTCTTTTTGTTTTTGATAAACCATCATTCTCAGCCTTTTAATATCTTCTGTGATTTTAACAAATTTTCTATTATGAATCTGGGAAAAGAAAAAAAAAATAGAATTTCAAATTAAAACAAGCATGCAAAAAAATAGTGCAGTCATTTTATAATTGTCAGATACTTTTTATGTAAGTAGAGAATTAATTTGAGACAGTAGAAACTTGATAAATTCTTTTATAAAATTTCTCTTCTTGGTTTACAGTGAAATGTTTATTTTTTTCATATCACTCTTTGAAATCTTCACTTATATTAGACTTCCTTTTGAGAACATCAAAATATAGATACATTCTTGAAATTTAACTTAAATTATGGAGCCACATTGAAATTTGTCAACATTAAAATTCTCTTTAAATTAATACTTTTTTTTAACAGATAAAAAAAAATCAGAGTGATGCTTGCTAAATTCAGTTAAGTTATAAACTAAAGAAATACAAAGAATTACGAGAAAAAGATTGAAAATTTGATTAAAAGTAAAGAAAGAAACTATTTGCAGAAGAGTAATGAAAAAGTAATATATTTTCTTTTGCATTTATTGTATAACAGGAGAGAGCTTGGGAAGAACGATTTATTCTCCCATTTGTATTCTCTCCCACATTATGGGCATTATTATATCGGTGATATAACATCATACTTCATGGAGGGAACAAAATGGTAAACATGTTTTGTTCTCAGAGGGACTTTCATATCACTAAGACATACATAAAACTATATCTGCATATATATGCATGTCCCACTCAGAGAAATTACATCACATATATCTACACAGCAAAGCAAAGTTTAAGGAGAAATAAAAAGGAAGGGTCTTACATATAATATGGAGATACTCCTGTGTCTGAAGAAGTCATATTTAGGACTCCAAATTCAAATGGGCCGGATTCATCTATGTTCCAGATATATTCCATGAACAGGAAACAGCTAGTCTTGGGTTTTCCCAAATTGAGGACTGTGAGATATTGTTTCTTTCTATATCTGGGAAAGATATATTCCCAAAGCGAAATGGTACTATGGATTTGTAAGTTGTGGGGGAGGCAGATTTAGCTTCTGCTCAGGCTAGGGGGAGTCTGGGCTAAAGAAAGCAACTTTATGATTTAGCTGCAGTAAATGAACTGAATTTGACTACTGCTTTCGTCACTGTATGGAGTGACATCACTAATTGAACTTACCTCCATCAAAAGGATATAATTGCTTTCTGTATCCCTAAATTATAGTAAGTGTTGGAGCAATCCTACAAATAATGCAATGGCAGTGAACTTGTCACATGTCAAGTTTAGAAAACTAGCATCTGCTGGACAGAGAAATGTACATCCTGAAGATCATCCATCACTCAAGAGCCTCTACACCATCCTAAAAATGCATTAGAGTGATTTCATCATTAACATTGATATTCTAGCCTCAGCCAAATCTACAAGCATTATTTTCAATCCAACAGCCCCTTTATAACCACAGATAAAATGTTGCAAAAATGCCATCACAAGCTACATTCCATGTACCTTCATATTCCATTGATAGGAAAGAAGTTCTCCTCAGACAGTTTCTTCCTGGAGCAGACCCCTGAGAAGCTGCTACCTACTCCCACTGATCACTACAATTTTAACCTCTTCAAGTCAAGGGTCAACTGTTATCTATCCTACATATCCTCATAATCAACACTTACTTCCTCCTCTTATATTCATACAACAACCTCATTCAGTAGTCATCTACATCGAGTAACGCTTGGGCTTTGTATTGAGGAAAAATATCCCCCCCCAAAAAAAACCGTTGGTCTGGCCATATATTAGGGATGGAAAACAACCAGCGTCTAAATATCTTTTATGTAGAACAAATCTGGCTGATGAGAGAAGGGACTCCCCCTCCTTCCTTGCAAATGAACAAGGATTCTCCCTCTCCTGAAAACTCCACCACTGTCAGTGAGAAACAGAACCAGCTGACAGAGTGACCTGAAGCACCGGATCTATTAAGGCAACTTCCCATAATGCAGGAAAAATTAAAAAGTTAAAAATAAAAGGTAGCTCTGCAAGGCTACAGCTCCCACTATCTACCAGACTCTTTTGTAGTTAAGATGGAAAAGCATGTTTCTCCTACATAAGATTCACAAAACCACCCAAGAGCTTGCAAAAGGCATGGGTAACACCCCCAAATGTTCATTTGTGAAACTTAGCCATGATTTCTCATTTTGGATGTGGTAAAATCTTGACATGATAAAACAATTTTGAATATGGATTCAGAATTAGCCAAACTAATTTAATCTGAAGCACACCCTTTTACTGCTTAAATAAAATCTTTGTTGTCCTGTATTTTTAATGTGATTCCACTGTTTATCTTTGGTTACTCAATTACCTCTCGGATTCCACTCAGAGACTTTTCAAGTTGTTCAGTTTCAAACGATTTCTTGCCATCATAATCATCAAGCGCCAGATACTGTGAAGGAAATGAAGAGTAAAAAGTTACACATTTACTTTTAATATTTTCATGTCTTAGTTTTACTTTTTATCTTTTCAATTTCATTAGTTTCTAATAAATGTTACAATTTGAACTTATTTTGAAAGGATGTCTTAGGCACTTGCAACCACTTTATTGATAACATGATTAAATCAGTGACAGAATTATTGGGTTGACCCAAAAGTCCATTTCATTATTAAGTAGAAAATTTACTTGATAAACCAAACATACTTTTGCCCAACCAAATATTTTATAATATTTAATGTAACCCTAATTGGTATTCTATGACGTTTAATCAAATTGTTGCATGAGAATAAGACATTTTTTATATTATGCAATGATTATTATTGTAAGTGGATTCTTGCTTATTGTGCAATATATTTTTAACCTAAAGCTTTGTGTGAGACCAAGATTATCTGATATACAGACTTGTCCACATGTCATTATGATGTGAATGGATTGTGGATAAACAATAGAATTCATAATGGTGAGTATAATAATAATGATATACAATTATTTTGCAAGGAAATCATTTTTTAATATTCGACCATTCATTTATTCATATGAAGCTCTTTCAAAGGTATTGCCTGTTCATCTTTAATTATGGTCAATAATAGAAGCCAACAAAACATACCAAAATCAATATGAAAATCTTCATATTCTAAATCTATTCCTCAATGAAGTCTCTTTCATTCTCACTCATGATATTCCACTTTTGAATGAGAGCAACTATACCCATCTTGTACAATCTTTCTAACCATTATCCATTGATCTTTTTTTAACTATCTGACTCATAATAATGAACCAAAGTCTGTTCTCCTGTGAGAATTCTGTTAGGGAGACACTGTGTTGTGCAACTGATGAAGCAGTTGGAGAAATGCTCCTTCATAGATTGTCAGCATCTCTGGAAACTCACTTTGCTCAGACCTTTGAGTAACTTTGAGATTGCACTAAACTGAATGCACTGTCTATGCTCACCTTTTCATTATTCTATTGACTGCATTGAAAACATCAAACTGTTTGGCATTGCCCTAATTCATAGCAGCAACTTCTTACTATTTTTCCTTTCTCTGAGAAACTCTACTAACCCAACTCTTTTGTACTGTATTTACATTAAGTGCAGCCTTTCTATAAGCATTCCCTAACCTCCTTTGAATGTTTGCAGTACTTTCTCCTTCCCAAAATAGAAATTCCATGACAGCAATTTTGAAAGAGGATTATAAGTAGGAAAAGAGAAGGTAACTCCATAAATATTTTTGGACACTTCATGGTTTAGAGGAAAATAATCTTTTTGGAACTCTGACAAATATTAAATTTTAAAATTAAATTACATTTTCATTTACCCTAATAGATATAAAGTAACCCATTTGCCACAAAAATCCACCCCCATCAAAAAGAATCAAAATAGAAGATGCATAAAACAGCAATAGTTAAAGAATAATTAAAATATGTAAATGCAAAATGTATTATGAAATCAATGACAGTCATATCAAGGCCTGCTAGTTGCATTATTTACTGATGTCACCTATGCTTAATAAAATACTTTCATCACCATTCACTACATACTATTCTAAAAATGCACTGGAGTGATTTCATTACTAATATTGATGTTCTAGACCCAATCAAGACAACAGGTTTTGAAGCAATTTTCCACTGGCAAAGATAGAGGACCATCAGATTCCAAAGATTCTCCAATATAGAGAACTAGTTTCTGGCAAACAGAAAGAATTGGAAACAATGACTTGTCTAACCAGGTACCAGTCTTCCATGGCCTGATGGCAATGATCTCTGGCTCAGAAGAAAAACATAAACCAATGCTGTTGTGTTAATAAATGGTATATATTTTATATAAAATATATATATATATATATATATATATATATATATATATATGGCAACAGTCTATTTCAGGCCATGTGTGTTGTGTTTTGGCTCATCAGTTTATATACATATATACATACACACACACAAGCTTAATTAAAAACAACTGTTAAGGTATTGCAGTTAAGATGCATAATTTGAGTATATGTGTGTGTGTGTGTGTGTGTGTATATATAAGTAGATAGATAATCAAAGTAGAAAGCCTTCTCTCTACTTTTGTTCAGATTCTATATCTTACTAACATGCATAGATAGTAAACTTATTGGTCAACAACTATGAAGCCTAATAGAATGCGGTGTATTCTAGTGTATTGGCTGACAGATTGAGTGGTAACAGCATCAAACTGGGTTAAATTTTTGTTGCGTTGTTAACATCCTCATCATTTATCATCAATTTCATTCCTGTATCATCTGTGGATACCTTCACTTTTCACAGAAGGTTGATGTTCATCTGTAATTGACATATTCCTGCTTTACTTTTACTATTATTACCCGCCACAAAAAAACTTTGAGCAATTGCCAACTTGGAGATAGAGTGCGACATATTTATAGATTCAACAATCATTCAAATAGTGTTAAATCCTGTCTGCATTCCATATCTACACTAAAACTACCCTACTTCTTTACCTATTAAGTCACATGTACGTAACCTGTTTGAGATCAGGTGGGTAAGGTCATCCAATCTATTTGGCACTTCAGTTTAGCATTAAAATATGACATCTCCATTTATCAACATTGAAAAAAAAATTATTGGTATGCTTATCTTCTTTAGAAATGTATTAGTTATAGACACTTTAAAATCATATATATATATATAAATGTGTATTTGGGCAGCAACCTTTTGTCAAGCATCTTTCTTTGATAATGGCTGACAATCAAGATTTAATTAATCTTTTGAGTTTTTCCAGCATTCTACCATTTTTCAGTTTTTCAGAGGTTAAAGAATCTAGAAATTGTCCATAGTTATTGTCCAGTTGAATCTATTATATTCACTTATGTGCTAATACCCTTGGGAAAGGTATGAATCCTCTTCTCCCCCAGCTATGGGTAAATAGCAAGACAGACTGGGTTCTGCAGCCTTGGATGGCAACTGGTCTAATGCAGAAAGAAATGGCAACCTACTGCAGGAAAAAAAAATCTTCCTTGTCAGTCATGTATCAGAAGATACATGATTGCCTAAGTGTGTATAATGCATGGCACATAACTGGCTAGTTCTGTAGTCATTATCAAGGATGTTATTTTTGGATGGTGAATTTCCATGTGTTAACTTCTACATAGTAATTTAGTTGTGTGATGTATGTATGTGTGTGGTGGTGGTGGGGGTAAATATTTTTTGGCAGTCACATGCTGTGTGTCAGTTGACCTGGGCATCACTTCTATTTTTAGAAAACCTTTGATATGTTGACTCCACTGCTAAATAATGTAATATTGATAGCAGGAGAATGGTATTTAATCAGCATTGCTTCCCTAATGATGACAAACAAGAGAATATATATATATATATATATATATATAAAAGCATGCAATTTTGTTGAGACAGGGCTGAGATTAATCTCACACAAAACAAGGATTTGTCAAAGTTTTGATGCAAGATTTTCTGGGTGGTCTTTCTGATACCCAACTCAGACACTCACAGTACACCAAGTGTTTTTATCAAGATACCATCACTAAGAAGGTTGCCATTCAATGCTTGAGACAACATTCTAGCTTTATCTTGGATGATGGCTCCTATAAGAAGCTCATTTTCCCATTGACAGGTCTTCTTTTTCATCCTGTGGGCTGACATGCCATCCTTTATATATATAGTGATTTTCCAAGCATAGCTTTTATATATATATATATATATATATATATATATGATTTATAGGGAAGTTAAAATATATTTAGAAAACATCTCTATTCTAGTATCAAAGACTGATTTAATATCTTTTGATCTACTATAACCTATGGTAAAGAATTTTCAGTAAGTTTATGAGAAAAAAAAATGTTTTTTTTTCCTTTGTTTTCAGCCTTTCCTACCAGTTGATTTGAAATAATAAAATACCTACTTCTTGAACTTCTCGTGTAACTTTAAGGAATTGAATATCGTTCATTTTCTGCCTGAGGTCTTCCATCTCCATCATCATTTTTCTATGCTCCCTACAAAATACATGATAAAATCATTAATGCATTTATCCATATTGTATCATTGTAGAATATATATACAGTTTGTCCTTTGGAACACTTCATTTTTGATGTGGTGTGTAAGATTATTGTTTAAGAGGAAAAACTGATTTTTTAAAAAATATTAAAAAATATGGAGTTTTTTTTTTTTTACCTTGAACTGGTAAAACAATATGAAATGTTTCATTTTTGTAATTTTTTAAGCTGCTGCTCACCCATTACAAAGCCCAAGAGCCTCTCAATGTAGAGGCTTATTAAACGAGGCATGTGACATAAGAGTAAGAGGAGTAAGTAGGAAGCGAAGATCATGAGGATATGGCAGATAGAAGTTAAGATTCTAGTGTATGGAGAAGCATCCACATGTGAGAATGATTCTTGGTGAGAAGCTTTGTGTGGAGCATCTGTCTTGTCAAAGGAATGTATAGAGAATGAGTGGTGGGGGGATTCAAAAGTGTGAAATAGTGACAGTAATGAAGAATGGAAGTTGCCTGAACATTTGCCATGAAAGTAGTGAGAGATTAGCAACTGGCTGGTGACATTGAGTTTGTAAGTGTCTGCTGGGTGGAAAATAATGTCAAACTCTTAGTTAAATATCATGTAATTTGTGCCTTCAAAAAGACACTTTTTTTTCTTGTCTCTATTTTATTGAGTAGTTGAAAAAATCCCTTGTTGATTTTTTATGGTAGATAAATATCAACAACAAAGAATAAACAGATAAATACGACTTGCACTAAAGAAACTTGTCTGTCTGTCAGGCTCATGCCAAAAAAACATTATGGAATTCAATGAAATTGTTACAAAACTTGGTTGTCTGCCCTTGACTCAGCTTCATTTTATGCACTTGACAAAGGGTAAGAAATATGTCATGACTCGTTATTGTTTTGATTTGCTAGGTTCTTCCTTTGAATATGAAGGTGATGTAATGGTTAGTGGTCAAGAATGAGAAATCAACAAACCTAGTTCAATTTTTCAAATTCCAGTCAAGTTCATTACATTCACTTTTGTACAAATAGCCTTGGTTTAAATAGTAGGGCAGACTGAGCCCTCTGGCCATGGTTGGCAACCAGTCTAGTAGAAGGACAACTCTGAAGATTATGAAATTCACAATTAAGTGCAATGTAGTGTTGGGGATTATGATCTTGACCAAGGGCAATGGTGTAGGATAGTTTCTTTTGAAGTGAATTTATGATCATTTCTTCTCTATGTCACAGAGAAACAAACTTGCCTCCTTGCTACAGCCAAAGTTTAGTAACAATAAATTTACAAAACTATTGTGTAATTCTTCAGTTTCATAAATTTGATAGAATATTTGAATTTGTCGGCATTTTAAATCATTAGTATCTTAATATAATTTATTTGGTTTTCATATTGTGATAGAATACTAATCTACTGAGAAAATACTTTTTGTATAATTCTATAAGGAAATACAAGAAAGTATTTCACTATGTTCATGTATAAAATTATAATTTTGCTTGTTCCCCCATTAGTAAGTTAGTTAGCACATGCATTATGTCCTGCCATTGACTCAGATAAATAATGGACCATTTTAATGATACCATAGAATTTCCATGGCTATTTTATAGTTGTGGAGCTTGCAAGTAGCTTATTCAATCATTTAATCAAGAATTATGATTCATCAGAAATTTAAACAGGAAAACCATGAAATATAACATTTTATAGTGTGACACAAATCCTCTACATTTATATTTTCTAAGTTTTTTCTTTAATTGTAGGAAGAATATCTGTCTATATTTCTGAGATGAGGTATTGTAACTATTTACATTGTTCAGCCTATTGTCCACATATGTATTGTCATATTCGTGTATTGTCTGACCTTCTTCAGGTGATATACATTAGAATTTTGAACCAAACCACAGGGGTAGATTGTTCTAGTTCCACATGCCATGCCTTTTCTGGATATCTCAGTTTCAGTTATTTCCCTTTAGTAACCCAACCTTCCAAGTTTTTTGTTCACCTCTGCTGTGGTCAGGTATTGAACTCACATCTCTTTGGGTCAAGTCACTGGATTAACTTCAACCAACACTTTTTTCCACTGGGCCATATATTCCAACATATGTCACCTAAAGAAGGCTGGAGTTAAAATGTCTGAAACACTGTGAATATGACAATAGTTTGAACAGTTGTATTAAGAAATATTCATTTTATAAAGTTTGACCTGCCATAGATGTATTATGTTGGATATATATTGAAATGAAAACGATTCCCAATACGTATATTTGAAGTGAAGAAAATCTTTCTATTGGACAGGTTGGCAATAATTGTTTTGCCTGAAATCTTTGATGATTTTCTTTGTTTTAAACTTCTTTTCTATTTTTAAAATATTACAGAATTTTGATGATAATGCTTTCATAGATAACTACAAAATATAATTTCAAAGCAGCTTCTTGTATTTGCCATGTTCTTTCAGAATGTGGGCAATCATGGTGCATCATAATTTCCTATCCTTTGTAACTCTTAGAAATGTTTTTCTTAACACTATCCCTCCCCCAGTCCTTGTTTTGCCATTCATTTACACAAGTTTGTTAGGGTCGGTTACTCTTTACTTCCCTCCTCTGTCCCTCTTGTCTTCAGTATGTCTTGTGAGTGTCGAATTCTCCAAGTTCTCCTTTATCATTTTGTGTTCTAGAAATTTTTAGTGTTTTTTCTAAGTGACCTTTTTGTTTGCATTTTTCTTAAAGCTCCCTTGTTGCTCACAGACACTGTTCACAGAATTCTCAGCATCCTTCTGTAGAACCATATCTGTTTCCTCAAGTCTCCTCTTCATCTTTAAGACAATTGTCCAGTATTCTCTGCCATATAAGAGGATTAATATTACATAGAAACAAAGAAAAGAGTGCAGTACTGCTAAGAAAATATTCCTGTTTTTTTAATACTCTTTTTTAGTTTACGGAAGGCATTTTCACTATTCCAATGAACCTTAGGATCTAGGTACCATATTTTTTATCCTCTGTTAAAACAGTTCCAAGATATTTAAATTTCTGTACTTGTTTGATGTTGATATCTCCAACTTGCAGTTCACATCTTGAACTGTTCGTCTTGATAATGACCAGATATTGTCTTATTACAATTGACGATTAGTTCTTTCTTCCCTCATTCATTATGCTAAAGGGAAGGGCTGAAATTCTGGCTTGCAATTTTTATCCTTAGACAATATGGACACCCCATGTGAAATTGACTATGTATCACATCCTACTCCTATCACATCCGGTAAATACTGAGAGTTCAGTTTAGAATAATGTCATGTATATACAACAACAGTGAAAATTAAAAACCAATGGTATCTTTGAGAATTCATCAATATCAAAGAGGTAAGCATGTAAAAAGGAAAATAGAAAAAAAAAACAGTAAATTATTAAAGACAGACTTTTTATACAAAGTGTTAACAAGCTGTGATGTTGGCTGCTATGAAAATCTCAAGAAAAGCTTTTCATCTCTTGCAATGCATCAAATACTTTTAAGATCTCCAATACCAAAGTCTTAGAAAATAGAGAGTCCAAAAAGTTATTGTTTAACCAACTGTATTGTATGGCATTAGTGAGTCTAATGTTAGTTTGGTTAAAAAAAAAAAAAAAAAAAAAAAGATTCTCTGTTACATATATAGAATTTTAATGAATAACTAACAAAGGTTATTTAGTGTATAAAAAATGCTGTGACTAAAAAATAATTTACCATTCTTGTTGAAAGATTCCTTTTTTGAATTCTTTGCTTTCTTCCATACTTGAGATTTTCTGTTCTGCAAGTTCCTGTTTTAATTCAAGAGAAATTTTCAAAGAATTACTTGAATGCAGTTGATATGATTTTTATTTTTTCATCATTTCACGCCATGCAAGACAAAGAATCTACAACATAAGGGGTTACTGAGTATGAAAAAATAGAAGAAAAAGAAAAACCTTATTAAGGAGAGAGAACAATAAAAGAACAAGAAGTACAACAACAAACAATAACGATTGACATTGCATTTGTTGTGGGAATGCAGGTTGTGTTTGGGTTGGAAAACACATATCTCCTGATATATATTTCCTACAACAATTATTGGGGATGCTAATATGATCCTGAGTAATAAATGAATAAAAGTAACAACATATATATATATATATATATATATATATATATATATATATAAAGCAAAAAACAATGTATTAACAAAACAAGACATCTTGCAGTCTAAATGACTAACAAAGAGAGGATGATAGAGAATATCACTGTCTATTTATAGGTTTAAGGAGCATCCTCTAGTGATGTTTTTTTTTTTGTGAAGTAAGTGGGGGTAACCCCACTCATTTAAATTTTTAAGGATCAAAGTTGATTGGAAAGCAAGAAGCCAGAAGAGAATTCCACAAGTGAAAAGTGCAAAAGAAGAAATTGTTGGCATAGAACTTATGGTTACATCTACCCATTTCAAGTGCAAAATGATGTTACTTAGCTGCATTATTATCATTAATTAGGGTTAAGTGATTGGATTTTGTGTGCATGGAGACATTGTTGTAAATGTGATAAAGCCACTAAGATACAAGGTGTTACTGACATTGAAGGAAATTGAGAAAATGTAGCTGGGGAGAGAGAGGGCAATAAAAGGACAGAATTCAAGGTGACAAGATGATAATTGACATTGCTTTCAAATTTTTCAAGACCATAGTTGACAGGAAAGTAAGGAGCCAGAAGAGCATTCCACAAGTGATAGAGAAGAACCTATTAACATAGAACTTATGCTTACACTTAACAATTTCAAAAGTAAAATAATGAGACCTAGCTGCCAATCTAGTACTGCATTTAAATTTATGATGTCAAGATACCAAAGAGGAAAGTTCATTAGAATAATTACCAGGAAAATAATTATAGAAAAGGCACAGGAAAGATACACTATGGGAGTGGGAAAGAGACTGAAGCTGAGATGCCAAGTTAGGATTGATAACATTGCAGATTCTTTTTGTCAAGAATCACACGATGCATATCAGAAACATCAAACCAGATGTGGTAGCAATCTTTCTATTTTAAACCCTTAAAAATTTATGGTAACACTTTCCGAGTATTTTAATTGGAGTGATCAATTAATAGTTTACAGGTCCACTAACAGGTGGGTTGGTGAGTACCCCAGGGCTTGTGCATGTTTAAGGACCCAAAAATATTTAGAATAAAATTATTATAACTTCTTTCAATTATAGGCAGTATTGTTAATGAAATCATTATTCAAGGACAGTAGAGATTGACTTAAAAGTATCCCATCTATTCAATATTAGGGTTACTGTACATAGCAATGAAGGATTAAAAAAGAAAAATATAACAACGAAGGTGTCAAAAAAAACAAACAAAAAAAACTTGTAGTGAGTTAACATACACATACATGCACACACACATGCTGGTTAAAACATATGCACACACATAGCAGTAGGATTTGGAGCTCTGCTGAACCCTACATATGTGGGAGTTCCAGATTGGTTGCAGGGCCATCCAATTGCAGTCAATCTCCCTACTACCTGAGCGAGAGATATAGAGCCTCTTTACCTCCAAGCACATGTCTGTCTCTGTTCCTCTTTTCTGATATCACATGCCAGACTTACAAAAGCAGAACTTTCATTGTTCTATACTTCAGAAAATATTCACAAAAGGTTAAAGCTTTATATGTTGTGTCTTGTTTTGCAATATGATCATAAAAAGTCACACAGTCAAAATGTTATGTTTGAATTATTATTATTTTCCCTCAATGACTGAATCTTTTTTCTTGTCAATAAATTAGGTAGCTTTATCCTTGTTGGCAAAAACATTGCCTATGCTAGAAGTGATTGTGAATGTGATTTTTTAAATGGCCTCATCAGAAATAAAATTGAAAACTTTGTTTATTTTTTGTGGAAATCCACATGAAATTTCTTACCTTAATCCTGCCATTAAGTTCTTCAACAATGCATCTGTGAATGACGACTGAATCCAAAAAATTATAAATAAATGTTTCCGTTTCCAACTCCACTTGGCCTTGCTTGAGCAATAACTGAATTTCTATATCGATATCAAATTGCTGTCGTTTTCTTTTCAACCTTCAAGCACAAAAACACAAATGATGAAATTAAATTAAGTAGGTGTTACAATGAATCTGGGGAAAAATAAAATCAATTTACCATATATACTTGAGTAGTGCAGTGGTTTCCATCTGATTTTGGGCTATACCCCACTTTGGTATTTCTTAAATTCTGGTGCCCCCCTGTAACATTTAATACTTACATATTCAAAATTTTACTGCAATTAATGTGAAGAAAGCTTAAAAGGTCATTGACTTGGTCTCTAAACAAGCCTCCCAAGATCATGGCATTCGTGAAAGAGAAAAATTTAAAAAACACTATATATAGTTTCAAAACTGAATGCTCATGTGTTGTTTGGCCAACAAAACATGGGCTCTTTCAGTGACATGTATCATCCTCTCTTTTGTTGATCGAGACATGGAAATACCTTGTATACCAATTACACATGTACATACATACACTAAAAATATTTTTATGTATGCATACTGCATATGCATCATATATATTAGTACACATTAACATTAACACTCTCACTCAGACTCACTAGAAAAGAATTCACTGTTAATAACTCATTCTCAAATTGCCCCCTTATTCTGTTGGTATAGTAAGCCAAAGGGTGCACATCCTATGCATGCCCCACCGAAATATTACCGTGCCCCACATTGGGAATCATTGGTATAGTGTGACTTTTTATCAGTTGTTTTTTTTTTTTTTTTAACAAAAAAATAGTGGGGGTGCATTATATAAAGGTAATTTTTTTAATAGGTTAAAAATCATGCCTTTTGGGTGTCTAGTTGCACTATACAAAGGTAAATCTTTCTGGGCAGGGGATAAAATTCAAGCAAAAATATTCAGGGGTTGTGCTATATGTGAAGTTGGCTTATACATGAGTACATAATGGTATTTCATTTTGGGGGTAAATTTCTCCTTTGCATGATTATAAGTCTTAAGTTTCATTGGTTCTAAAAATAAATGTTCTTTTCATAAATCATCTGAAGCCAGTAAAAGCAAAAAGTAAAAATAATGAACCAAAAAGACAAATTCTGAAAACTTAAAAACTCACTTCTTCATTTCCACTTCAATTTCCTCAATTTCGATTCTGAGATTTTCATTTCCTTCGATTTTTTCTTGATGGAAGGCATTCATTTCTGCCAAAGTAAAAGCAGAATTCCTCACCTGCAAAAAGTTTAAAGGTTTTCACTTGTATATTTTAATATCTACACAATCTCATTAACAAATATTTGTATATTCTTTTTCTTTTATATATATATATATATATATATATATATATATATATATATATGAGTGCTCTACTTTAAATACTTTTAAAAGATATTTCAAAGAATGTAAATGGTTTAATAAAGAACAGGAATAAAATGATTTCAAAGTGACAGCATGCTGATTGTCTTAACAAACATGAAAAGAACAAAAGTTCTCAGGAGTGTTCAAAATCAACAAGTGCTTATTTTGAAAAATGTCTAAGCATGAAATAGGCTGTAAGTGAGTAACAAAATAAAAAATCATATATATAAAAATATATATATATATGTGTGTGTGTGTGTGTGTGTGTGTGTGTGTATATTTTTTTCATTGAATAATATAGACATATTATGTCTATTTGATTTTATAATGATCATTTGCAGTTCTCTAATCAGTTTTTTCATGTTAATATGAAATTCATCAAGGAAGGAGCCATAATTTTTTCCTACCCAAGTACTTTCAATCTCCTCCAAGATCATCCTTATGAAGACAAACTTATTGTAACTGTGTAGGAAAAAAAACTACAGCCCCTTCCTTGATGAATTTCATGTTGATAAAACATGTTTGAATGGAGATATGCTATATATATATATATATATCAAGGCAAAAAATGGAAACAAAATGTTGTTAGCAACATTTATATATTCATATGGTCAACTAAAAAATTACGTCAATTATTTTGTTTGAAGAGAATATTTTCACATGTAAAAATATTGTTTGTATTGTTGTGTTGACGGATTCAGCAGTTTTCTTTTAATTTCTTGATATATTTGTTGTCTACATTGGCTTGGGAGAGTAGTGATTTTATTAAGAAAATTGATACTGGGAAAAAACCAACTACACTTTTCCCTTACTAGATATCATGTTACACATATCTTATGTATAAAGTACAGTGTATTTGTGAGTGTTTGTACATGTGTGTGTGTCCAAGCAACTACTCTGTTTCCGGTGGTCTGATTTCAATGATACATAGCTCATTCAAAAGCCTGAGAAATGTTAGGTGCAGGGATATAAAAGGATATAAAAAGAAGTGATGTTTCATAACTAGCATTTTTTCAAAAAATCGTTTATAACTATCTTTGATCACCACTTGATGAGATGTCTGAATTGGGCATTGAAACAAATATGCATTTCTGTAGTGGTGACTTAAATGTTCGAATGTAATAACTTATAATAAATAATTATTGCTCTACTTTTGTATTGAGCTCTCTTTTAAATTAATGTTATGAATGTTTTAATTTATATTTGTTTCATTCTCTTTACATTTGGAGATATATATATATATATATATATATATATGTATCTATGTATGTATGTATGTTTGTTTGTTTGTCTCTCTGCTATACATGGCTAAACTCTTTATGTACAGATTTTAAATTTCGTATTTATAATTATTAAGTGTAAGAGAAGGTTTTAACATTGAAAAAAAAAACTGCCCCTTATGAGAAAAGGGGAGTCAGGGACTTTACTCCTTTTCCATTATCTGGAAACTTTTTTAGTAAGACTTAGTATTTATTACCATTTTGTGCAAGACTATAATTTATCTTTTATTTTTAAAATCCAGACAAGAAAATTCACAGAACCATTTACCACCAAAATATTTTTTCTACTTTTCATTGTTGTTTTTCATTTGAAACTTACTAGGAACAAATGACATCTGTTCTTTTTAGCTTTATGATAATCCATTAATTGATTATTAATGGATTATTAATTCATTATTAATTGATTGAATAAATTATTGAACAGCAATGAAGATTTGTTGTATATACAGATAAATATGTTAATATGTATTTATATTATTAAAAATTTACTTGTTGTTCTTTTAAAAATTTGGCTCTTCTGATTTGACAGAACTTCATCCAAATTTTGGGATCAAGGCCTTCTGGCATATGGATAAACCTGTCCATTTCTTCCAGAGTGGCTTCAAGGGTAGACTGTGCTGTAGGTTTCTGTGATGATGGATTCTCATGAAAGATATTTATGATTTCGGTTTCATTGGAGTTCAAAGATTCAGTTCCTTTGAATTTATAAGCTCTGTACAAAGAGAAATAAGTAAAGAATATCCAAAAAGTATTCATTTTTAAGAAATCAAAACAATAACAGATTTTTATACATATTGTATATATTTGATTGTTTTCACGTTATTCTTTTCTTTTTTTGCAATTTAATTTAATAATGAGATGCTTGGAAAGAGACAATATGTCCGTCTTCTCCACTCCCCAAAGTCAACCACAGTTTATCATTGTTTATCTATGATATACTACCACCTTAACACAACAGAAGGAAAGTCTAGAATAACCTCAAGAAATAAATTCCTAAAAGGATTAATACATGGAAATATTTTAGAAACAACACTGACATACACAAAGTCATAGTAAGGTACAATATATATATATATATATATATATATATATATATATAAATGACATTGAGGACAACACTGAGCAGTGACAGTCTGTTTCATGGTTAAACTCAATCTTGAGGCCATGCATATTGTGTTTCAGCTTGACTATTTATATATACTTGTCAATAGTGTATTATAGCTAGCAAAGACTATTGTATTATCCTATGAATAATTGCGAGTCTGAATGCAATTATTTGTAACTATATTATAGTGTTGTTTATTTACTTTTGACTCATAGTTAATTATTGATTATTATTATTACTACATTTACTTGTGTTTATGGGTGAATATGTTTTTATTTTTAATCCGCAACTTAATGTCACGCTAAAAAGGTATAAGTGTGTCATTTTGGTAACATCAGATAAGAATATGAGACTAAATTTTCCATATGTAAAAAAAAATTGTCCTTTCACTTCTGGATGCCATCAAATTAAGATTAGCCAAATCAAAAGCATGTAGTTTCTTTTTTTTTTAACATTTTATCTTTGTGTGAGGTTGTGTTTTCTCTTCTCATATAACTTCCGGTGAATGTGTGTATTCTAAGTTCAGCTGGTTTCACTTCCTTGTTTATGTTGCTGCACCAACTGAGATCATTTGAGGCCCGATTCTGCAATTGGTGGCTTTGAAGGCACCTTCTATGTAAACCATTGGGGATCTGAGAACTTTTGATTTTCTGAAGTGACACACAGAGTACAGAACTTACTTTAGTGTCTCTTAGGGTGAACCAAGTACCTACTGGGGGTCACCACAGATCAACTTCTCTTCAATAAAGTTCCTGATAGATATTCCATTTCATTCAGATCTCTGGAGTAATTCAAATACATTGTGAAATGCAAAAAAAAAAAAAAAAAAAAAAAAAATTGAAAAGGTCTGACTCAATATAGGCTCTCTTTGTATGATGTGATTATTTTCTTTTAAATTGGGGCCCAACTTTACAAAAAGTCTTTGTATCAGAATATATCTGTCATTGTTTTTCCATTTGAAAATGGAAAAACATGCAAAAAGGTTATATGTCAATGATACCCTTTTAGAATGACTCCAATGATGTGTAGCTGATTGGTTTTAAATATGAATTCAGAAAATTACTGTATGAGGGAAATATTCAGGTAGGGGGCCTGTGAGCTAAAAGATCCCAATCTTCTATCTAAATATATACTTTGAAAAATGTGTTTTGCTATCAAACAAATTTTAAAATGGTTACTATTTGTGCATATTTAATAGCAGTAATACTGAATTTAATGTAAATAAATTTATATTTAAAAATAAATATCTTATAAATCAGTGGTTCTTAATTTTTGGGGTCCAATTTACCCAGAATGTCTTCCTTCCTTCCTTCCTTTCCACAATTCAAAGAAGTTGATATGTTGTTAAACAAATTCAACCAAACATTTCTGACTGAAAAGGAACCCTTCCAAATAATATATTATTGAAAATCTTTTCATATTAGTACACAGACATTTACATGCATTTATTTTTATAGTGGAGTTTTACAAATTTAATAGCAAATAGAAAATGTTGACAGATTTTTAAACTTGAATATGTTTACAGTAATTTGATTTAATTCATAACTAATTATTAAATAAATAAACTGAAGCATACTTCCATAAACAAAAAACTCAATAGAATTTTAGATGATTGGAATTTAAGTAAATAGTTCAATAAAATGCTAGAATATTTAAAACTGTTTTATTCTGATGAAGGTACACTAAAAATAAAGGCCAATGAAAAACTTGTAAAAGATTTTCCCTTCCCCCTGAAATCTCCCCTTGGTCAAGATTTGCTACTATAAATATTTTACAACAGAGGCCGAACTAGTACACAACCTAAAAGTTTACATATTTTGAAGAACTGTATAAATCACTAGGCGATTAATTATATAGGTTTGCCTAAATCAGTGATACATTCAATTCTTTATTCTCCCATGTACAATATAATAAACGCTCCTGTTGATTTTAAATCACTGTTTTGATTCCATACTATAGAAACATTATAATGAGATTTGATGAAATGAATGAAGTTCAAAAAGACTTACTTGGGTCTTTTTCTAAAAAGCTTGTGCAGTGTTTCTACCATGGTTTGAGATACTCCAGGAAATTCATTCTTGAAGGTTTTGTCAATAGCTTTATCTTCTGTGACAATCTGATCATAATAGGTACGATAATCACTGATCATCTTTTCAGATTTAGCCATAGCATTAAATAATGTATTCTGAATGAAAAACAAAAACACAAATGTTTGTTAAATATTAACATTAATGTTCAATAATAGATAAACAGAAGGTAGAAAGCTATTGGAAAAGGGATCATTGTTAATCATCTCTGAATAAATACAAAATATAATTTTATGCTCAGAGTTCACAATAGTAAAGGAAAGTAGGAAGAAAGGGCTAACCATCAATTGTAAAAAGATGGAAAGTATGGTTATTATCAAGAGAGAGAGAGAGAGAGAGCCCAAGATGTGAGCTGCAAATTGAAAACGTCAAAACTAAGCAAATACAAAAATTAAACTATTTCAGAAGCGTTTCTGTTGTAATGGAATGTCCCACTCTCCTTATTGCTTATTATGGATTAACTATATCAGTAGATATAGTGTGAACAGGATATACCTGGTGGACTTGATTCAGGACTTGCTAGACTGCTAACTGATTCCCTGTCTTTCAGTAGTGTATTCTCTTTTACAATAAACCTCTCTTTCTTTCATCTATACCCGTGTTGCTGTTCCTTTCACTAGAGTACCACCTTTGTCTGTTTGTAACCTCTTTTAAGGATACAACAGTTTCAACAGATGTGAAGGAGAAATTGGAATATCAAAAGATGCTTTCTAAAAACTAAAGAAAGTATCAAGAAACAGAAAAGAAATAAGGCATGACTATTGATATAAGTGGGAAGGGGCATGATCAATTCCTGTGGAATGAACTCAAGCTAACAGGCATAGATCAACAAACTGAAAGAATCAGCACATATGAGGTTTGAACAAAAAGTATCAGAAATATTCTTATGATAGCAGAGCTAAAATACAGAGTGAAGATGCTTGACATAGACAGACTTTGTTATGCATGGACATTATACCATTCTTGCTCACTTCCATTCTTTATCATGGTGCTTGGAAGGAAAGTGTGTAGAGTGTGGCCATCTCACCACACCACAGAGGTTCAATCAGTGACTATGCCTTATGCAGCTGTTTTGAACATGTACAACATTCCCCAGGTCTGACAACCACTATATTCCCCAGATCTCGACCCTTGTGACTTTTTCCTCTTCAAAAATCAATTCCTACTTGAAAAGAACAAGATTTCAAGACTTTGAAACAATCCAAGAGAATGCTATGTGGCAGCTGCTCAGTATATCAAAAAAAAGAATTCCAGAAACACTTCCATCAATGGAAACAGTATGTGGCTTCAGAAGTGGGGGGACTACTTCAAAGGAGATTAAATGCTGAATTGATATGTCTTGTTTTATTTTTATAGCATCAGTTCCGATATTTTTTGATCAGCCCTCATATATTAGGTATTGGTAACCTCATCAATATATCTAGTATAGAGATGAGTAACATGTGATAATCTGATTAAGAAAAAAAAAGAAAAAAAAAACAAAAAAACAAGGAGAATGCAATGGGAAAGCTCATCACTATCTTTACCAAGAAGTCATAGCAATTCATACAGATTAAAGAAAAGATGTGATTTTAAAATTAAAGGTACATTTTTAACATATTTTGAATTCTCGTCTAAAGACATTGAGCCTTGTGCAAAGTATAGATCTAATACAAACACCTTATTGTGTAAAATTATAAGTATTTAGACTATGAAGTAAATTTTAAGTGGAAAAAAAATAATGAAACCAGTTTTTCCTGCACATTCAGTAAAATGATTTATATTTCTTTGATGTCTGCAACTATGTTCCTGTGCCAAATATTTAACAAAAGGTAGACATAAAACTATGTTTATTTTAATCAGTTGGGAAAGAAGTCCATTAGATTCTGAAATAAAACAAACACATTTTCTAATATGCCTTAACCCTCTCAACACACTCAAAACCACCCTGTAAATATCGGCTCTCATAGTCTCACTGTTAGTGGGACTTCTTTCATTATTTGCAATGGTGACATCATATATTATGGCAAAGTATAGATGGGGTAGGTTACAGTGGATTGGACATTGAGAGATGATATTTGTGGGGCAAGTTGAATTCTAAAGGTTAAAATATTGGTCTTAGCAGATTTGGGGAAAATTTAATGTGACTTCCAGAACATTTGATTTTACTATGATCATTCTAAGTAATACACATGAATGATGACTTTGTTCAAATTACATTCACGTTCTACCAGGTTGAAGAGAATTCGGTTGAAGGCTTTCAATATAAATAAATTCAACAACACATGCATTTATATTTTTTTGTTCATATTTTGGAATGTGTGGTGAAGGACTTAGTTAATGAAACAGTAACACTCCAAGTGGTACATGTAAAAACCTACTTAGATTAATTGCTAGAAAGCAAAGCCATAACTGCACTTCATCATGTGATAGAGAGGCTACACCTGGAAAATACTGCATTATCCATTGACCAAATGGTAATATAGTAGCCTCGATATTATGTACATGCTGACAGGCTAGCCTTCATAAGAGTGACTGTATGGCTTGAATCTCTGTTAAGTGGATAATATCAGTTCAGAAATATGCACCTGTTGATAGGCTAGCCTCCATTAAGGTTTTGGATTGCTGACTCTCAAGGGGATAATGTCAGCCCAGACAAGTGTTTACCTCCAGCAGCAATGATGAAGAGAGAGATAATCCAAGACTGGGATGAGATTATAGGTATACCATTCAAAGGGAAACCATGAAGTTCACCCAGGAATCAAGACAGATTTGGAAACATCATACCTGCTTTTTGGGAGCCTAGATAAGCTTGCTTGACTGAAAGGATTAAGGAACTGAGAAGTGGGTGGGGAGAGTGCAACAGCTGCTCACAATGAACATTTATATAAAGAACAACATAATTCAGAAACAGAGAGGATTATATATTCATATGATTAGCTGTTGTATGTGTGAGTGCAAGTGTGATGTGCCACCTAGTTCAATTGAAACTGAAAAGTCAATTCACCTGAAGAAAGAAGTCTCCCTGGCAAGGAAATGAATCATGGCTTATCACTACGGCATAATTTGGCTGAAGAGAGCAAAAGAGAAAAACACTGTCTTTTCCTTTCATACAATGTCACCTAGCAAGCATTATAACAAGTCCCATTAGTAGACAAGGATGGTTCATCTCACACATATTTCTATCAATACTTCTGAAAAATCCACCAGCATTAGCAGACAAAAAGCACTCATATTTTATGTTTTCTTACCTGTGCTTCAAGCTTCTCTTGCATCCGATGTATTAATTCTTTTTCTTGGCAATCAAGAACATTTTGCACCATCAAATTTAATTTAATCCTGTTTATCTTCAGTTCTTCCTAATAAAAGATCAATAAATTAAGACATTAATTGCATACATTTTTAAAAAATTGGTATCAGCAAAACAATAAAGGCACTAAGACACAGGGCCTTACAGGGTGTGGAAGAATTAGAAACAGAAACATTAATAATGATCAGGAAGGCAGTAGATAGCGATTGACATTGCATTTAAATTTTTGCAGATTAAAAATGGCTAGAAAGCATGAAATTGGAGGAGAGTTCCACAAGTGAAATGTGCAAGAAAAGAAACTGTTAGCATATAATGTACAGTTACACCTAAGCCAGCTCAACTGTAAATTGATGAAATCTCGATGCCAGTCTAGTACTATGCTTAAATTCAAAAACTCTCAGTATCATAGTGAGCATCTCATCCAAACAATTACCATGAAATTATTTATAGAAAAGGCAGAGAGAGGCAACCTTACAGTGGTGAGAAAGTGACTGAAGCTGAGCCGCCAGATCAGGACCAATATTATTGCTGATTCTTTTTTGGATTTTATCAAGGAACTAAAGTTAAATAGCAATACAAAATCAGGTAATTTTTTTAAAATCCTAAGTAAAATATAAAATTCAAATTTTATATATATATGTAGATAAAACTAATAGTTTCTGTCTAAATTTCTGAGATGAGGAGTTACCATTACAGCTGGACTAATATTCTTATCTTTGTTGCTATTATCACAACATTTCAGCTGTTGTGCACTCTTCCTTTCTTCAGGAGTCTATTAAATCAAATAACCTTCAAGGAATTTCAAATTGAATTCTTTATTTAATCTAGTTCTGTTGCTCATATTTAAGAATATCACATTTTGTTTTTTGGACAGTAGAACAAGCACAATTTATCTTTGTAGATTAAATAAAGTTTTTAGTTTCAAAATTCCCTGAAAATTTGATAGACATCTAAAGTCGGCTGAAAGGCATAATGATGAAAATGTTGCAATAACAGATGAGGACATTAGTCTGACTTTAAATAGTATAAATAAAACTAATAATGATGAAGTCACCTTCTAGCTAAGATGAAGTATTATGAATTCAGTTTTAGACAACAAATATTTCCATCTGTGTGTGTTCTTGTGTAATCTTTGTTAACTGACAATAAAAACATTAGAACTAATAAAGCACTTGGATAGAGAGGGAAAATATGTTGATCTTTTCCACTCTCCAAGGTCCACTGTAAGCATTACTACATCAATGTTATAGAATAGAAGAATAGAATGTTATAAGATAGAAGGATGGACTAGAATAATCCAAATAAATGAATTCCCAAAATAAGTTACACATGGAAACATTTTATATACAACACTGAAGTACACAACTATAAATCATACTAAGAATCAATACATAAATATATATTTCAAAAATTGTCCCACACAGAGAAATTAAAATATGTAATTAGGTAAGCAGTAAGTGAAAAAAAGAAAATCTTATTTGTAACACTTTCAAAAGAAACAGTACAGCCTTGGTGTCATGTCTTAGGTTCCTATTTAGGACATATGGGAATTGTACTGTCTACCATCATCAGCTGAACCGCACTTGCCTGTATTATGATCTAACCAGCCACTGATTATTTTCACCAACTGGCTGTCACATGACTTTCAAGGGCCCGTTGAAAAAAAAAAAAAAAAAAAGAGTCAATCACATTCTACATACCCAAAGAACATTATCCCAGTCTAAAGATCAAAAACAAATTTTTCAATCTAGTTGATAATTTTCATAGAGGAGTGTGATAAAAAAAAAAGTGTTTTGAAAACTTTCATAGGCTAGTTTGATTTTTTTTTAAATGAACACGTATAGAAGATTACTATTAGAAAAACTTTTGTTGTTAGAATGAAAGTTTTATATGGCTAATTTTTTAAAAATGACTCAAAATTTGTATAATTAACAAACTGAATTCTTTCATGTTAATTTTGAAATCAGTTTCATAAACGAGTTTAACAGAAGTCTCACTGCAATTTCCTTTTATTTTTTCTGATTTTTTTTTAATTTCCTTTCTTTGCTTGCTAAGTTCTTTACAGCTGGACTTTAGTATAAATCTTGCTTTATTTACAGAAAAGTACTTGTGACAATATATTGGTACATGTCTACCATTTGAATACTATAGATATTTTAGGAAAAAAAACCTATTCCTTCAACTGACTTGCACATAATGAAATGATTTGCTTTTATTATTTTTCACAATGTATTTATTTTCAAAATGCAGCAGTCTTTAACACCAGTAAAATCACAAAATAAGGAATAGGGAAGCTACCCTACTTATATGTCCCAGAAATTTAAATTGTTTCTTTTTGATTACAAGTATAAATTCCTTTGTTATTCCTATTTTCACTAAGGCTGCCAAATTATTCTGTAAAACTACATTTCAATTGACTCCTCAGCTGTGAAGAAATTGTCTATTATTCAATACCATATCAGAGAGTTGGCAAACTTGGACCTTCATGTCTACCAACAAACAAACTGTCAAAATGATTTTTTTCCCCTTTGAAACCATTTATTTTAATTACCTTCACTCTTTGGCAATGTTTGTTTTAAAAAGTGATGATTAGAATTGTAATAAAACCTCAACATCGGATGAAAGTTAATTTATACATGTTTTTGTTCTTGAGAATTTACAACAAAAATATTAAACACTATTTATTTGATTTTTTTTTTATTTGCAAGAATAATTTTATATTTAGAACATTTTAAAAACTAATACAATTAAAATGAATGCAATATTTAGCATTTACCAATTTATAAAGAAATAAATATGAAAACAATTTTTATTCATAAACTTATAAGCATTTACTAAATTATTAAAATATGTGAACCAACTGTAAGAAAATCCTTATTATTTACCATTTTATAAAGTTTGAATCAATTGGCAATTAGCTGATGTTTTGCCAACCATTCCAGTAAACACTATAATAAATAATGTAAATAAACAATCTAATAAATAATGTTTATTATTATTTTTTGTCAATTCTCAAAAGCAAAGAAAGTTTAAATTCACTTTCATATAATCAGGTTTTATTACATAAAGCATTGCACTTAAAAAAGTAAACATTGCCAAAGAGTGAAGTAAAATAAAGCTGCTTGCTGAAGACTTGCTATGATTTATCTTTCTTTCTTTATTCATGGCTCCGATATCGTATATATTTCTATGCTAGGCCTACTAAAGAGGTTTTCATAGCCTAGCATATGCACTGATTCTTTCAGGTGTCCAATTCTCCAGTATCCTTCCTTGTACAGTTTTTTCACTTCATTCCACAAGGTCTGATGACCACCCCTTTCCTTCCATATATGATCAGTCATGCCTGATTTCATTACCTCACCTCTCACTACAGCTTTTCGATGTTTCTCCAGCCTTACATTTAGTGGGCAGCTTGTTTCACTTTATATTCTCTGCTACAACTACAAAGGATAGAGTATACACAATTCTTGGTCATGTTCTCCTAGGCTTTACTTGGCAATTTAAACAGTTAATCAAAATAAGTACTGTTTAATTTGTTGTGTTTCTTAACTAAAAAAAAAGAAAAGTTAATAACATTTGAAGTAGTTTTTAATGTTTTCACAGCATAATTAAATTTCCTTGTCATTCTTGTAATGATGTTTATTATCCACCAAAAAATAAAAAAAAATATCTCTCACAGCATAAGGAGAATTTTTTTTTTCAAAGCCAAGGAGTAAATTTGCTTTTCGCAGGCGATGGTAATTAAATTTTGAGCAGATATATCTGCTTTTCTACAGCAAAAGGGTTAAAATTAGCAAATCTCTTTTTGACAATATGGAACAAGAAGTTATCTTCCTTACTTGATGAATTGCTTTCACAACTTGGATGTGTTTGAGGAACAAGTTGTTCAGAAGTTCATCAAAAGCTGTCATTGACTCTACAATTGAACCTTGCATTTTCTTCAGCTCTGTCTCCAGATTCTACAAAATAAAAAACGAAAAGAAATCAACATTTGAATAAAAAAGAAAAAAAAAAATTGAACAGATGCCATGAAAATATTTGTAGAAAAGACAGAGGAAAGCCAGGTCACATTGGTGAGAAAGTGACTGAAGTTGAGATGCCAGGTCAGTATTGATTACATTACAGACCCTTCTTTGGATTTTGTATATATACATTTCAAGACACAGTGGAATGATAGTCCCTAGTGTTTGCATAAAATAACTAGTATTTAGTGCTATTTCCAAACCAGTACATATGTCCTGCCCAACTGGAAGACCTCAGTTCCACTTCAAAGGATGTCTGCAAACGTGACATGAAGCTGGCTGACATTGACCCTAACACCTGGGAGGCTGCGGCTGATGATCGTCAGCTTTGGAAAGCCACAGTCAGTGATGGCGTCACCATTGCAGAATCTGCAAGGGAAGATCAGCAGGCAGCAAAGAGAGCCAGGAGAAAAGCAAGGACAGTCCCTGTCTCTATGTCATCCAGTTTCATCTGCACCAAGTGTCTGAGAGACTGCAGCTCCAGAGTGGGATTACAGTCACCAGAGGTGATGTAACTCCATCGCCTAGAATTTAAAATAAAAGAAAAGCGCTACTCCATCATCTCCTGAGACAGACGGATGCCAAACTGAACCAAACATATGTATATTAGTGTATAATATGACTTGTTTTGTGATGTATTTCTCTTATATTGTATGCTGGGGGGGGTATTGTTTTAGCTTATCTGTATTGTAGAGTATTTCTTTATTTTAATCATTTCACCCCAATCAAGGTGATAATGTCACCAAGATGCCAGGAGTTACTGAGAGTGAAAGAGGGCAAAGTTTAACCATTGTGTCTGAAAAAACAAAATGGTGTTTCAAAAGGACATTTATTCCCTTGACACGACTATTGATTCCCTCAGTAATGTTTATTTACAAGATTATAAAAATATGTGAACCAAGTACAAAGTGATATTATTTAATCTTTATAAAGATTTATTACTTACCATTTCATAAAGAAATAAATTTGACAAGAAATTGCAAAATTATCTGATAACCAACTACAATGCAATATTTATTTATCATTATATAAATAACTATGAAAAAGTTTTTTATTCAGTTTAATAAATAAATATTGTTTAATATCTTTGTTGTCAATTCTCAAGAATAAAGAAAATGCATAAATCCACTTTTATATGTTTTGGTTTTATTAAAATTCTAATCATTGCTTTTTAAAACAATAAACATTGCCAAAGGTGTCAAAAGTACACAAAGGTTAAACATTGCTGAAAGTGAATGAGAAGCCTTTAGTGAAGAGAAAGGACAATAAAAGAACAATATTTAGCAAGACAGAAGATGGCAAATGACATTACATTTAAATATTTGAAGATCATAGGTAGCAAGGAAGCAACAAATTGAAAGAGAGAGTTCCACAGGCAAGAAATGTGAGAAAATAAACTATTAGAATAGAACTTATGGTAAAATCTAGATATTGCAACAGTAAAATGATCAGACCTACTTACTAATCTAGTTGTATGCTTAAATTCATGTGGTTTAGGTACCAAGGAGAAAAGTTCATTAGACAAATTGCCATTAAAATTTTTTACAGAAGAGAAACCCAAATGGTAGCACCCATGTATTTTATTCCATATAAAAAATTACTTAGGTTATTAGGTTCACAATAAAAGAAGGACTGTTACTCAGGGTGAAATTGAACAGAAACATAGTTCACCAAATACTTCTATTTTGTTGTCTATAGAATCATCACCTCCCTTACCATTACAGGCTTTGCGCCATAAAACTAATCCATAAGAGGATACATTGCTCAATAAAAAACAGGAACTCCTCTTAAGAAAAAACATGAATATCTTGTTTAATTCTTTCCATCCTCAGACATCTGAAGAAATATGGGAAGATTTGAATGTTCACAATTACAAGAATTTACTTAATCAACATTAATTAACTTGTGTCCAACAAATTTTCTAATAGACCTAAAAGAAATGCTATGAGAGACAAAATTTCTTATATAATTTATCTGGAGAAATTGGACATTTTTGTTAAATCATATCTTTCCAGCTGACTTGGCAAAGTTTATAATACTTCACATAGGTCAGGATTTGGAACTGCCAGAATTCTGGAGCTTGTAGATTGAATTGTCAAAATATTTCAAAAAATATAAATTAATTATTTATATATCTGCCCAACATAAAAAGTGCTCAGTCAGATAAAAAGTAATGAAAAAAACAAGTAATGACTGGTTTAATATATGGTTTGCAAAAACTTAATTTTGAGTTTGGAAACAAATTCTTTCAATTTCACACTAAAAGTCCTTTTTTTTGTGCACTTAATGAATCTACTAATTTTTTTTCTTTATGGATTAATTTCCATACATGAGGAAAATTGTCTTCATTGTCTTTCTCATCATTTATTTCTAGGGAATGCCAATTTTCTATTTTCCTCAGAATGGGCCAGCACAGCCAAGCAGCAATGCTATAACAATGTGGCAGTGAAAGTGTTAAGAAATTCAATTTACTTTTCTGTATTTTTCCCTCTCTTCATTTAATTCTTTCACTTTTCTTTCATATTCTTTCATAATCTTGATTTCTTCTTCAGTCCAGTCCTCCTCTTTTGTCGTGATGCTAGGAAGTGGAATGTCCTGAAATGAAATTAATGCATCTATTAAAAAGAAACCAAAAATGAAAAGGTATTTTGAAATGTGCATTTACACAATTTTTCAGTTCAGCAAAGAAAATATATTTTCTTTATTTTTAAAAAAAAAAATGAAGTTTTACCAAATTCATTGATGTTTGTCTTTGAAATAGAACTTGATTTCTGTTTTTTAAAAAAAAAAAAAAAAAAAAAAAAAAATTATTTTCTTTGCACATATTTTACTTCAAAGATTAAAATTCTCAAAAGTTATTATTTTTGTTCTATCTTCACATAAAATTTTGCAAAGTGGTTTTTAGATATACATTCATGGGTGAGAGTCATTAAATCGGCATTGCAAGTGTAAGGATACAAAAGGTGACTTATCTCTCTTTGGTTGAGATAAAGTCATATGGGTCACATGATGACTGCTGAGTAATGTCACTTGATAGTATGACAAAAGTGTGCTAGTCAGTGTCAGTCAGTTTCCAGGAGTCAAACCGAGTAGTTGCCTCACTCGGGTTTCTGTCTGTGGTCACCAGCTGCCACATGGTGCAGCTTACATGCCCACAGTACTGTTTTCCTATGGAAATATATCTTCACCAGATATAGAAATTATCTCTGGCTTACAGACCTCAATTTTAGAAAAACCCATGACTCACAATTTCCTTGTTTGAGGGGAATATGTCCTCACTAGTGGCAGAGCATATAAATCTGGCCCACTCAAATCTGGATTCCTAAATATGGTTTCTCCAAAAACGCAGAAGAAAGACCCAATTCCTGCTGAGAATTATTATAAGTAAGACCCTATCTTTTCATCCCTTTTCACACTGCTTGTTATGTTGACATGTGTTATAATTTCTGTGTGGGACAAATGCAAAGTTGTGTATATATATATATATATATATATATATATATATATATATATATATATATATATAATTTTGTGTACGACTTAGCAGCATAAAACCCGAGAACAAAGCATGTTTGCCATTCCCTTCCTTCCTGCTATTCCATTCCATCCATGTATTAAGGTGTTATTATATCACGGATATAATAATATCCATGATGGGGGAAATACAAATGGGAGAATATTCCTTTCTTCCATAGAACACCCAATATCTAGTATACCTGACATGACGTGATATATATTTAAACCACCATTATTAGGTGACTTACCCAACATGATAAAACCCCATTAAAATATTAAAAAAAAAAAAATCAAACAAGTTCCAGTATCATTTTAATTTTTTTATTAAATAAAGTCTTACCAATCATTATTATCAGGCAAACACAATCCACAGCAATGAGTAGAAAGTGCACAGTCAGAAATAAAGGAGAAAGACTATTTGCGTTTCTCACTGAGGGCCTATCCTTCAATTTCTGATTCAAACTGCCTACTCATTGTGATAGATTATGAAAGCCAGTAAAAAATCAAGATGGAGTAATTAATAGTTAAAATTATTAAACTAAAACCAATACTGAAAGAGGTTGTGGAACAGAAGAATAAGTTTTGGCCTTCTGCAAAACTGTTATGTGCCTGTAGCTTAATGGTTAAAGCAGTTGATATATTTAATCAGAAATCTCACTGAAAATTTATTTATTTCTGATCCAAGATGTCTACTTGCTACTGTAGATTGATGGCCTCAATAAGGTTGATAAAAAGTTGCTGAACAAAATTAACCCATAAATGTCCACCATCCCACAAATGAATTATCTGTAAAAACCTATAATTAATAACATTTTTTTTATTATATACAAACCTTTAATTATTATCAGGATTTTTATTTTAATTTTAATAATTAATACCGGATTTTTTTAATAATAGCAGATTTAAAAAAAAAAAAAATTAATACTGGATTTTTTTACAATGGTCGTTAATGAGTTAAAAAATGAAAGTAATTATGAGTCAAAATTAATGATAATAGTTGACAATCATTCTTCATTTAATGAAAGAAAACAAAATCTAAAATACTACTAAACTAAAAAAAAATAGCAATGAAAGAGGATGTGGAATTTTAATACTCTGATAAATCTTAATTTTTAAGTTAATGATTGAGTAAGTTAATGACAATAAAATATCCATAGAAATTCCGCTATTGCATCATTAAATATTTGAGTTTAACAACATTAACAAAATATTGCAATAACAAACATAAATATGAATGCTGGTCATTATTTTAAGAAGTAAGGGGGTACAAATGAGAAGATTTGAAATTGACAACTTCTCTCTTCCCTTTTTCTTTCTTTCATTCATTCATTTTCTCATTGAAACCAATTTAGTGTCTTTTCCCCTCTTTTCATGCAATCAAAACAGAATAGTTCATTATTTAAGAGGTATTGGCAGAAGATGTTAAACAATTCTATATTCCCTTCTTTCATTCATCAAGTCATGTCTTTTTCCCTCTTTCCATGTGATAAAAATGGAATATTATATCTTTTAATTATGAAGTAGTGGCAGGGCATAACGATCGTGCAAACTAATGAAATAATAATGATTTAAATTTAAAAGAGAGGGGTATACTTTTTTCAGTTCATCTTCTTTCTTTATTTCCAGTACTCCATTCATCATGTGATTCAATGCTCTCTCTCGTACATTATCTGATTTATCTTTTTTCTTGCGTTCTTCTTCAGCCATTTTTTCTTCAAGGGCTTTCTTTTGTTCTGGGGTGAGATACTTTTCAGTTTTGACCTGAAGAGAAGACAAAACCAGTTGTGATAAGTAAAAGAAGTGTTTATGGATTGGTATGTAACAGTTTCAGGAAATTTAATTAAAAAAAAAAAACAAACTTGGTAGCTTTCATGATTAATGATCAGTTGATTTTTTTTTTCTGCAAAGGGAGGTAAACCTCAGAAAGAGTTTGTTTTAATTAATGAATTAACTAGCCTAAATTGTTATGGGTCAATTTATACTTTTTCAGCCATTGTTTATTTTCATCACTGTTCATAATATCCTCCCTTATTCAGAGTTAAAAACAAAATTCATCCATTTCTAGCAAATTATGCAGATTTGCATGTGGTGTGGCAGTTATTGGTACAGAAAGTGGGATTGATGTGTCGAGTTCAAATTTCAGCCTAGGTCATTGCATGCATTTTTGCAACTATACACTTGGAAAGGCATGAATCTATCTTTTCTCCTCTCAGGTGGGGGTGTTAAATAACAAGGCAAACCGAGCTCTGTAGCTTTGGTTGACAACCAGTCTAGGAAAAGGACGACTCTGAATTCAAAACCAGTTGAATGTAAGGCTAGCAATTCCACCCTGTGAAAAACTACTTGCTTTGGACACCACAACAGAAACACCTTGTGTGTTGAGAGCTGTGGTGACACCACAACAGTGTCTCTAGGGTTAATATTGCATGTGTGAATCCCATGACCTATTGTAGGGTGGAAAATAATTCATCATCCACAAATCTGCATAAACCCTTTTGAAGGCTGGACAGTGAAGTCTGCGCAGCAGTAAACCAAATATGGCAGCAATACTCCCTGTTTGGTCTGATTTGACTCTTGTAAAAATAAAATATTGAATCTTATTAATAATTTTCCATGAAAAGGTTTTTATTTTGTCCGAAATTGATTAACTGATACAATATATTCTAACAATGTGTTCACTATAATTTGGATCCAATTTGTTCATTTTCCTAAATTTTAATTTATATAGATTTTTAAAGTTTTTTTTTCTTTACAAGCATTAAAAGATCATACCTCAGAATCTTCAACAACAAGGAGCAGTTCCGGTTTTTCTTGAACACTCATGTCAGGAACATAAACATTTTCATCCACTTCCAGATCTTTAATGATCTGAGTGATCCTTTTGTTCTTCTCCTTAATTCGTGAAATTTCCATCTCTTTTCTTTGGTAAAGTTCATCAAATTCTTTATTAAATGTTTCCTTTATCCGATACAAAACATCCTGGAAAAAAAAAAGAAAGAAAAATGACATCAAATAGTAATAAACAGTACAATAATTATTAGTGTTTTACATATAATCTTATCCTAATGAATTTTAGGGCTTACAGTTACATCACATTGAAACACCAGTTCCTGTACGATGACCAAAGTTAAGCAATGTCGAGAGCCTGGTTAGTATGTAGAGGAGTGAGAAGAAGACCTAAAATCATTCCACATCTGTAATAAATTTTTTGCAACTTCTACTCAAGCAAGAATTATATGGAATTTAAAAGGTTGGTGTATATTGTAGGTGGGCATGTGTTCATATGTAAACAATTAATGTAAAAGCAACAAAAATTTGGGTTTCTACTATGGACTGTTTAGTCTTTTTATATATATATATATATATATATATAAAAACTGTAGTGAAATATTTCTCTATGTCTCTTGCTTTTGTCTATTTTTTTTTTTATCTAGAAGTTAGAGTAAGTAAGTAAGTATAAACATCATATTAATAGTTGAGCTTAAGTCAACCTTATGCTGAGTTGGAACGACCAAAGAAAAACCTGTCTTACTTTAGTGGTGGAGTGTGGCAGAGTTGAGCTCAAGTCATCCTTGCATCAAGTGGAAGGACTAAAGAAAACTTTGATTTACTTCATAGATGGATGTTTTAGAAGACACATGTGAATGACATGTGTTGGAAAGTAAAAAGAGAGTTCAGTCGCCAGCAGACCGAGGAAGTCAATGTTCTCCAGTAGGAACATAATTACCACATGGTGTTAGAACATCTTGGAACAAGGGGGAGAAAGTGGATGAGGCAGGAAGAAGTTTTTCTTTTTATAGACTTAACCAATGCTGCCTAATGGTGTTTGACAAAGCCAATTGGGGTAATTATATTTCTGGTCCCTTTACTCTTAGCATCAAATGGGAAAATGTATTTCTTTTTCTTTTATTATTCATTATTATTATTTTATTTTTTCCACAAGTGTTTTTAGGGATTTTCTTCTACTGAAATTTTGAGTATTCTTTGAGTAATTGGATGATTTCTATTACATAAGCCATTACACCAGTGACTTTCACCTAGAGTTGATAAGATTTTCCCATTGAGTAGACTTGACATTTCATTGTTATTGATCTTTTCCTTCAATTATCAAAGAGAATGGCTTCCATGACTCCCCAACCAGCACCAATCAAGTATGGCAGAATATTTTCTGCTACTTCTTTTGTGGTCTTTCAGTTAATGAACACTAACACACTGAGCCTAGTGAATACATCAATCATATATGTGGGATGAATTTTTCTTTCTAACTCTTCAGTTTGATTGCCATTCTCTCATTAAATCTGTTCGCCATAAGCAAGCTCACTACTGGTTGAGTTTGTTTCTTTCCATGAAATTTGCATCTTTGGCAGGAATAATAAATCTGATTCAATTTTTTTTTTTTTTTTAAGTACTCATCTCAGCAGACAGCATCCATAATTGCTTTCATTGATGGATGGGCAAATTGCCCAGGTAATTTCAAAATGGCTTTCTGGGGAGTAATTGGCCATGGTTAAGCATAATTGGCAAAATGCTCAACAAATGGAATTGACAAAGTTCTCAATAAACAATAAGAAAAGGGATAAAAAGAAGAGGGCCAAATAATACTAAGCAAACAATATATAGTGATTTTCCAGGAATAGCTTAGATGCGACACTAGGCCAAAAGTAGGGGGCACCCAGTGAGAATCAAACTCATTATTTAGTCGTATTTGTTCTAGGAAGACAAGCTTGCTCACCATTATGCAGCCTCGAGGTGCCCAAAGCAAACAATATATGTGCACAAGACAAAACTTGGCAAAGTAACAGGAATAAGGCAAAACGTTCACAAAGTAAGAATACAGGGATACAATAAAGTGATTGTAGTGTTCTGACTTCAAGACAACAAATTGATTGATTTGTTTTTTTTACAATTTATCAACCTTTTGCTGGTTATTTAAAGCCAGAAAATACATTTAGATTGTAAGAATGTTTTGTCGATAATGATTTACTTATACTAGTTCTACTAATGAACCCATAGCTGGAAGGAGAAAAAGTGGATTCATCTCTTTCGCAAGGGTATTTACACGTAAGAGGAACATGACTGAAATTGGAATTTGGCTCTCCAATTCTAAGACATTATCCATTACATCACCTGCACATCCAACCTTCAGCATATCTAGATACTGACCAAACTCAATGTTGTTTAACTTTGGTGATCATACAAGAACTGGTGTTTCAATGTGATATGGCTGTAAGCGTCAAGACAAGAAAGGACAAAAATATGGCAAACGAGACAGACAAGTGGTCTATTTTCATTGGTTAGGAAGAAATCCTATGCATCAAATATGATTTTTGTGTATAAATTTGATTAGGAGATGTTTTAGCAGTCATTTTTACTGCGAGTGGACCCAACACTTCCTTTCTCTCAACTGGTTGCAGTTCACTCAAAGCATTGTTGTAAACCACTTCAATGATTACATGTTTTTTTTCTGTTAAATGAAATACGATGATGACTACTTGCTGTATATTTTTTAATGGTGCCTCTGTACAAAACATTTCTTCTGTGTCTTGTTTTAGGTTCAATCTTGCCTTAGCTTTCTTATTTGACTTCAGACTCAGTAACATAGGAATAGCTAAGTCCACAACATCAACTTCAACAATAACATCTTTGCCAGCAATTCCACAGGGTAACTGACAAAACACAAGGGATTTTAATTATTTACCTCCACAAAATATAAATAGTTTGTGACTCTCCTCCTTTGTTAGACTTTCTCTTTTCACTTTCTGAGAGACTGTCTTTAGCACACTGCATTATTAATATTAATACTGTTTCCACTCTGTTCTTTTTCAAGGTCTCTAAATTGCAGTATCCTTATTGTTAATTTCGCTCAAACTTGGTTTGGTTTGTTTTATTTTATGGCACATCAACCCCAATGGGTCATTTTAATGCTGACAACTTTTTTTTCTGGTAATATTTTTTCCTCAAAAATGTATAGCTGGTAATATTATTTTTTCAAAAATGTATAGCTGGTAATATTTTTTTTCTTCAAAAATTTATTTCTGGTAATAATTTTTTTACAAAGTGTTTCTGGTATTAAAACCTATTTTTACACTTTTATAATGCCTTTTACCTCAGTTTCTGGGTTAACTATTTGCCCATAGCTGGGACCCTAACAGGTGCTACCACACCAGGTCAGGGTGGACCTGGAAATACCAGCAATTAAGAGGAGGTTCCATACTCCTCAAAGTATCCTGATCAGAGGCCTTGCTGTTGGCCATAGTTTATCGTCTTACCCTGGATGTGGATGTAGTTTATCATCATACCCAGGACACTCACTCAAACTTGTTTTCTGTTGTCATAGCAGAACATAACACAACTATGAAATTCAAACACACTATTGTTCAGGGATCAGAATCACTTTCAGTGGCAGCAAATGAATTTACAGTGATAAAGGTTTTAAGAAAACACTACAGCCAACTTGTAACACATGCAACTGAAGTACAGGCTGTATTAAGGACTACACAGTTGATTGCTTCTTTGGTAAGGTGCTGAATTTTACTATCCTGTGAATATCTTCACATTTTCTACCTTCTTAGAAAAATGACATTTTTTTCTTAAAAATACCTTCTTAGAAAATGACATTTTCTTTTCTTAGAAAATGACATTTTCTACCTTCTTAGAAAAATGACATTTTCTACCTTCTTAGAAAAATGACATTTTCTACCTTCTTAGAAAAATGACATTTTCTACCTTCTTAGAAAAATGACATTTTCTACCTTCTTAGAAAAATGACATTTTCTACCTTCTTAGAAAAATGACATTTTCTACCTTCTTAGAAAAATGACATTTTCTACCTTCTTAGAAAAATGACATTTTCTACCTTCTTAGAAAAATGACATTTTCTACCTTCTTAGAAAAATGTCTCCTGCTGTGTGTTTATGACATTTTTGTAACAATGTAGATAGGTTTTCACAAAATGATGACAAAATCTGTATTCATCTGGCCCTTTTGGATTGATGGGTTTCCTTTCCTTTTGTACTAACACTGTTTCATGTGTTTTAGTTTCTGTAATTTGAGGACCCATTGAATCTCTGTGCTTGAGGCCAGCTGCACCTTCTTGTGGGTTGATTATTATGCCCGGCGGTGATCTCCTAAGATATAAGAAATACTGAAATCTCATTTTATTAGTGCAACATTGAAATCAAAACATACATCGAGATAGTGAACGATGCCTTCAAAAAATTAAGCAAAGTATTAAGAAAGAACAAAATTTCACTAGAAACAAAGAAAAGAATCCTGTTATGTAATATCAGTCCTCCTATATAGTCAGTTATGGACAATCTCCAAACATATGAAGAAGAGACTTGAAGCAACAGAAATGTGGTTCTACAAAAGGATGCGGAAAATACCATGGACCAAACATGCGAGCAATGATGAAGCTTTAGAGAAAATGGAAAGAAAAAGGACACTTATATTTAACATTAGAAACAGATAATTGAAATTTCTAGGGCATATAATGAGGAAAGAGGGCTTAGAAGATTTGATACTCACAGGATATTTTGAAGACAAGAGGGACAGAGGAAAACAACACAACCTACCAAGTGAACTTGAATAAATGGATTTTGGAACAAAGTTTAGGAGACATAACAAAAAGACAAAATTTATTAAGAGCAAAAAAGGATAGGAAATTGTGAAGAACCATGATTGTCAAGGTCCTGGAGGGACACAGTACATAAAGAATAATGTTGCTTCAAAATATAAGATCTCTTCTGGTAACTTACTTCAGAATTTCATCAGACTTTGTTCAAATTCATGCCATCAATATTTTGATTATGTTCTCATCTACAATTTTTGAATTCTTCATATTTCTCCAAACTTATATATATATATATATATATATATATATATATATTATAAATTAATCGATTTAAAATATGGAAAAATATAAGCGGAAAAAAACATATTTTAAATCAATTAATTTATAATATTAATACTCTGTAAATTTACATCGAGCACTATTTTGTAAAAACAAAAATATCTATAAGAACACCGGATTATATATCTTACTGTTCTTTCTTTTTATTTATATATATATATATATATATATATATATATATATGATGGACTCTCTTATCATTTCTGATGGGTGAGTGTCTTTCAGTTCAGTTTTTATGTTTAGGTTTCGTATGAGACAACAATCCTGCACGGGGATTTGCAAACAAATCCACACAAAGGGCATTCTGAAGGATTGACTGTCATATGGGTTGATGTATTAGCCCGAGATTTAGTGTTAATTCATAATCCTCTCAAATGGTTGAGACGATTCTTTTCAAAGTTAGTCATACCTCGGTAGCAGGTATTTCTCCAGTTTGCTCGGTTTTCAGCAGCAATTTTGAATTCCTCTATAGTGATCTTTGCAGCAATTGTATTTAAGTTTGTCCTTGAAGCATAACCAAGGACAGCCTACGTTACACTTACCATGAAAAAGTTGGCTATACATAATGATTTTCAGCATCCAATCATCACTTATTCTGATGACATGATCAGCCCATCTGAACTGTGATTACATCAGAAAGGATTCAATACCACTGACGCCACATTTGATGAAAAGATCAGGGTTAGAGATTTTGTCCTGCCATGTGTGTGTGTGTGTGTGTATATATATATATATATATATATATATATATAATTTAGTTCACCCAATACAAGGATGATTGGCCACTCAAGGTTGTTCTAAAGGAGGAGGAAGGAGGAAGTGCATATTATGAGGATTTGTAGGATAGATAATTGTTAATCTTCGACTCGAAGATGTTAAGACTGAAGTAGCCTCTTGGGAATCTGTTACCAGCCTAGATATGGCAGCAATACCCAACTCTTGGTTTGATCTGTCTTAAAGATAGAGAATGGAAACAGAAGTTAGGTATTTTCCAGAACAATACAAGGGACCAACCATTCTTCCACCATCTTTAATGATGACATGAATATACAAGTTCCATTTGAGGTGTGGAGACAGTTTTAGGTGCAATAGGTATTTGATGCAAAGAGCCTCATTGGGGGTATGTCTCTTAATCAGGATTGGAGAAAGGGTCTGCTCAGTGGTGATGAAATGTTACTAGCTTTGTTTTGGAGGGACTGAATCATAAAAGACAGTCTTTCCTCCATTGAGCTGTGAGAATTAAGTCAGAGGAAAGATTAACTACCAGGCACTTGTCATCCACATATGTAGAGATACATCCATGCACTGTGATATTGTCTGCATATATATATATATATATTTACTACAGATCTGAGGATGTTGTTAAGCAGAGTGTTAATATAAAGCAGAAAGAGGGTAGAACTGAGAAAAGAGCCTTGGGAAAAGTCAAATTTGATCTCAAGTGCCTCAGAGAACTGGCTATCAACCACAAAAACCACCACCACCACAACAACAACAACCACAGCAACAACAACAACCACAGCAACAACAACAACCACAGCAACAACAACAACCACAGCAACAACAACAACCACAGCAACAACAACAACCACAGCAACAACAACAACAACAACAACAACCACAGCAACAACAACAACAACCACAGCAACAACAACAACAACCACAGCAACAACAACAACAACCACAGCAACAACAACAACAACCACAGCAACAACAACAACAACCACAGCAACAACAACAATCACAGCAACAACAACAATCACAGCAACAACAACAATCACAGCAACAACAACTTCTGCTCTGTCAGCTACTACCAACTCCTTGCCATCTACTCATCCCAATGTTATGTCTGGTAATATGAATGAAGGCTTCAGAATCATGAGACAGACACATCTATCTCCTACCAAGGCAGATCAGTACTTTCTCCCTATCATGTATGATGTTAATATAGACCAGCAGCTGGATATAACCTGTTTCTGGTTTTGTTATCACTTGATCCCCAAAAAACCTCTTATCCACTCCTTTACTTCCCATTTCTCTTCAAAGTGGATGTCACTTAGAAGACTGAACTTCAAAAGAAACATCTTTATCTGCTGGTCCATCAAAGAGAGACACCTAAGACTGAGATAAAACCACTTTTTCTACATGGGTGTCCATAGTATCACCAGTTTATATAGCAATATAGCCTATGCTACACCTTGTCAAAGGCCTTTCAGAGATCTAAGGTGATTGTTTTTGAGATGTGTTTATCAAGCACTTTACTGATTCTAGCATGATGATAGTTAAGATATTAGCAGAGGAGTGAAAACCTTACTGTTTGTCACTCAGGTGATCTGTTGTGGTAATCAAAAAATTTTTTGTTTATTATAGCTTCAAAAAAATTTGTTGATGACACTAAAGAGGCTGATGCAGGTATTTAAGATTTTTAAACCATTGTCTTTCTTCAGATCAATTAAGTTTCTTCTCTTTCAGGACTTTCTTTTTAATATCATAATGAAATCATTCTCCATCAGTGATAAAGGCAACAGCAATTCCCATTTCTATCTTTCAAAGGTTTTCTATCACTGAAATCAGGGGACAGCATTAACTTCATTTCCATGATGTACAAAACTCTTTGAATGCTAATAGTATCTTCATGCTTTGCTATCACTGTTAATTGTTCAGTTCTTCAGCAATTATGGTTTCTCTTGCAGAAATCTTTCCCCTTCATCCTCAGTGAAGTTTACATAACAAGGTAGTCAAATATCACTGGCTAATTACATAAATACTTTACTTATTCAAATTATAACCCATTAATTATTGCAAACAGTACACAGTGTAAATTATTAGGTTGAGTTAGAATTTGTAATTTTTATCAACTTTAAGTCTTCAAACAAATAAAGCATAATTACATTTTAATCATTTATATATTCATCATTATTTGCAATGACTTGTTGCCAATTATCAGGCAGCTCTTTGATATCTTTCCAGTAAAAACCCACAGGTTTTGATGTGAAAAAGTTTTTGATAAACTCTTGAACCTGGCTTTCATTAGAGAAAGATTTCCACATCAAAGTATTTTTCAGAGATCAAAAAAGCTAATAAGTGCACTATTTATATTGTTCAGACTGTTGTCCTTATCTTTATCACCACATGTTTCAGCCATTGTATGCTCCAGCCTTCTTCAGGTGATATTTGTTGAAATTTCAAATCAAACCCTTTATTTAGTCCACAGGGGTAGATTGTTCTAGTTGGGTGTCCTTAGAGTCAAATAATTGGTTGGTGAATATGGTGGGTTGGCTACAACAGTCCAACCAAAATGAAAAATGTTTTCCTATATTTTTGCTGTCTGCAGCCTCATGTTGTCATGGAGGAGAACAACATTTTTGCTTTAATCCACTGTGTATGCTGCCACTTGTGTTTGAAAACGGCTATATATGATTAGTAATTAAGATACATTTATCATTACAGTTGGTTCCCAAAAATGGAAATTACTTATAACTCAGCTTAATAATAGTCATTTCTACTGATCATAAGGGTTGGGGATTAGTTTTCTGTTGCTATGAAGTAATAATATGATTCCCCCACCTTACAAAAAAATTACTACATATAATAATAGAAAAAGAATATATTTTTAAAAATCACATGTGAAAACAAGAAATGATAAAGATTTAACGAAATACCATATGTGTGATGGATGAATTGTTGTCTAAATTATGCAAAAATGAAAATAAAACTGACATTATTATGTTAACAGATATATTTACCAAAATTACATAAAAATATCTTGAAATACTAAAGAGTAAATTTATTCAATAAAATCACTATTGGCTTCAACCATGGCCTCCAGATGACTTCGGAATCTCCTGCAATTCTTTTGGACAGTCTCCTGGTTTAAGTTGGTGCATGCTGCCATATTCCTTGCCTTCAGTTCCTCTTTGGTTTTACAAGGAATTTTGTTGGTCTCTTGCTCAACTGCACCCCACACCATAGTAAGGGATTCTACTGAGTCCTACTTGTTAATACAAAAAAGCTTTCATTCATGAAGTAGTTGTAAAATAGAGAAATTAGAAATAGAATGTTTAGAAGATTCTAGATCATTCTAGTATATTCAAAAAAAATCTAGATGATTCAAGAAACATCTAGAAATATTTGTTTGTGATTTAGCTGTGTTTTGGTAAATCATTTTTTTCCTTTGTTACAATTTCCAACACGTAACAACCACTGTCCTGTGGGACAGAAGTCTAGAGTTAATTGTTATCTTTCCCTCCTATCCATATAAATTACTACTTAATGTAACCCTCTACCTTCAGTGGTCCCTGGACTTTGTACAGGGTGAAGCTTACTGTAAAAAAAGGGAAAATCTGAGAAAAAAGAAGAAATACTGGAATAGTTTAATTCAATGGAAAAGAAAAACCACATTATGTTACTGACCTGCAACAAAATAATCTGAGCTATTTTCTGATATCTTGAATGTAATTCAAATTGGTTATATAAGTATTCAGAACCACCACCATACAAAGCTCCTGTTAAAGAGAAAATCAGAAAGTTATGCTGACAAAACACAATACATAAATAAGTGACATAGTATACATTAAAAATTGCTGCCACATCTGATCTGGTGCTCCTGCTTTGCATTTAAAGATTTTTTTTTAATAAAATCCAAAGAAGAATCTGCAATATTATTGGTCCTGACCTGGCATCTTGCCTTCAGTCAATTTCCCACCAACATAATGTGGCTTCCATGTGCCTTTTCTATAAATACTTTTAAGGTAATTATTCTGATGAACTTTCATCTATAGTACCTAGAATTTATGAATTTAGGTGCAGTACTAGATTGGTAGTAAAGTCTCAGGATTTTACAGTTGAAATGGCTCGAGGTAACTCTAAGTTCTATGCTAACAGTTCTTTCTCTTGCATTTCTCACTTGTGGAACTCTCTTCTGGCTTTCCAGTGAACTTTGATAATAAAAAATTTAAATGAAATATCAGTTGAAAAAATTTAAATGCAATGTCAATCATTATCTTTTGTCTTCTTAATTCCTCTTCTTTTATTGTTCTCTTGACTTAATTTTTTTTTTCTCATATTCTTTCACAATTGGCAATCCTTTAAATATTACATATAACTAAGAATATTTTAAGAGCAACTCACCATTCTCCCTCAGGTGTTTTACCAAGCTAAAGAACCCCTTTTTTTTTTAAAAAAAAAAAAACAAAATTTTATCACATTGTTATTTTTATATCAAACAGTTCCCATTAGTAGGCTTTATAGTAAACATTCCTATCATTTTCTGTAGTAAACAATTCATATTAGTATGTTTTATAAGAGTTCCCATTACTATATGTTTATAAAGTAAACATTTCCCATTACTGTATATTTATATACAAAACACAGTAATAATTGAACTACAATTTTTCTGTTTTCCAGTAGATAATATATTGTTTTGGGATTTTGCAATAAATATTTTATAAGGAAAAAAGAAAGTTTTTAAGTGGAGAAGGAAAGTCTTTTAAATTATTTAGGAAATGTTCAATTTATCAAAAGTGACCTTTGTATTTTATTTAGGCCAAGAGATTTAATAATTGAGCAATGTTGCTTTTGATTTATAAAACAAGTAATTTTACAGGTCTCTTTGTGAATCTCTACTTACCAAGACTTCCATCTGTTGATGGCAGATCTTGTATTACAGCAGGAGCCTCCTCCTCTTGCTGGGGAGAAAAAAAAAAAAGTTAGCATTATACAAAATATATTTATAAGCCAGTTTTGAATAAATTGTAGTAGCACATGTCACTAACACAAATAAAACAAATCATTAAGCAATAGTATGACTTTCTGAAAAGGAAAATATTGGCATTATTTGAAAAATCTGAAATCTTATTCAACTGACATTGGCTGCAGTCAGGGATATTAGTTGACTTTTCAGCACACCCTTATATATATATATATATAGCTCACACATTGAAAGCTGATGCTAATAAAATAGTACTCTATGTACAACAGAGCAATAATTTATATTAATAATAAATACACATTTTTTTTCCTTTCTTCACTGGTATCACAACTCATGCACAATGTAATCGTCAGGTGCTGATTGAAAACTGAGTTTTCAATATGTGTATGTATTTTATATATATATATATATATATATATATATATAGGCATGATGGAGTAATGGATAGCAGCTTGGATTGAGGAATCAGAGAGCTGAGTTTGAATTCCAGTCGAATCCATTACATTCTCTTATGTGCTAATACCCTTTGAATCCTCTTCTTCTCCCTCCAGCTATGGGTAAGTAGCAGGACAGACTGAGTTCTATAGCCTTGGATGGCAACTGGTCTAGGAGAAGGAAAACTCTGAATTCAAAACCTGCTGAGGGTTGTTTGGGGACCTTGTGGCATGTAGTGCACCAAGTCTCTGTATTTGGCCCTTCAAAAAGTGTGGATGGTCCTGCACGAAACATTCACCACTATAATCAAATCTCATGTGCTATACATGCGGTTGGGGACCACTTGTGAATTCCAAATTCCCATGAAACTCCAATATTGGAGCTGGCTCAACCCACCCCGGGTGAATGCCATTACAAGAAGAACAAGAGAGTGTGTGTGTGTGTGTGTGTATATATATATATATATATATATCTTTATCTGTAATAAAAATATTTTAGATTAAAAATAAAATCTATTAATTCTTTATATATATATATATATATATATATATATATATATATATATATATATATATATATTTTTTTTTTTTAAGCATTTCACCCCAAGCAAGGTGGGCGTGCCACTAGCATGCAAGGGGTTACAGAGGGTAGAGAACAAGAGTAAAGAGGTGTGTTTGGGGAGAGGATAAAGAGAAGGACGGGTAACAAGATCAAGGTATCAGAAGATGTTGATTGACATTACACTTGAGTATCTGAAGATCATAGTTATCGGGGAAGCAAGTAAGAGGAATAGAATACCACAGACGTGAAGTGCAAGAGAAGAAGCTGTTTGAGTAGAAGAGACGGTTACATTTAACTGTTTCGACAGTGAAAGGGTGAGACTGCGATGCCAACCCAGTAGCTTGCTTAAATTCATGCAGTCTGGGAACCAGAGAAAGCAACTTGTCAGAACAGTTGCCGTGAAAATACTTATAGAAGAGACAGAGAGAAGCCATAGCACATCTGTGAGAAAGCGACTGTAGACTAGATGCCAGGTCAGGACCTATCATATTATATATCCATCTCTGGATTTTGTCAAGGACCTCGAGACTTACAGTGAGGGCACCAGACCATATATTTCATGCAAGGATGGATGGTTGATTTATAGGATGGATTCGGATGAGAAAAACTTTCTGGCATGACACAGAGAACCAACTTTCCTTGTGGTAGATTAAGCTATTGAGTCTATGTATTTGTTCCACCTCATATATATATAATGTTATGCTATGCTGTATTTTATGGGTAAAAAGTGCTTAATATCAGGTATAGAGCATGTGTAAATATAATAGAAGCCTGAAGATTGTGTCCAAGCATGAAACAGTGTAGCCACTCAGTGTTGATCTTAATGTTCACTCACATATATTTCATGCTTCAATGAAATCTTCAGATCCAGTAATCCTTTGGTGGGCTGTTTATCTGGATCACAAGTTTCTTTTGTTTAGAGGTAATGTTGATGTTTATTTAAGGTCATGACCTTTAGATTGCTTTTTAGTTGGGGTTTTAATTTAGTCATTTTGGTTCTGATGCATTTGTAGATGGCGCAGAAGGAATTTGTCTCCATATTTGTATATTTTTTTTTCTTTTTAAATTGGTATCACCCCATATAAAGCAATAAAGCCACTAAAACACAAGGGGTTACAGGTTGTTGAGGAATTAGGAACAGAAACATTAGTAATGAATAGAAAGAGAAAGAGAGTAATCAGGAGGACAATAGTGATTGACATTGCACTTAAATTTTTGCAGATTAAAGTTGGCTGGAAAGCATGGCAGCAGGAGGGAGTTCCACAAGTGAGAAGTGCGAGAAAAGAAAATGTTGGCATAGAACTTATGGCTACATCTAGCCAGCTCAACTGTCAATTAATGAGATCTTGACACCAGTCTAGTACTGCGCTTAAATTCATGAAGCCTAGATACAATAGTGAAGAGCTCATCCGAACAATTACCATGAAAGTATTTCTAGAAAAGGCAGAGAGAGACAACTTTAGAGCAGTGGGAAAGTGACTGAAGCTGAGCCACCAGATCAGGACTAATAATATTGCTGATTCTTCTTTGGATCTTATAAAGGTGCACCAGACCATATGTAGTAGCAATATTCTACTGGACGAATGGTAGACTTATAGAGATGTAAGATAGATTCTGGAGAGAAAAATCGTCTTAGACAACATAGTAAATCAACGTTCTTGGCAGATGAGCTAGCAATGGATTCAACATAGTCTTCATGTCAGCTGAGAACATTAGCCCGAAAAGGCACAAAAAGTCACTTTCTTGAAGGTTAGCATCAGCCATGATGATGTAAGGCAGAGTGGGGTCTCTCAAAGGATTAATAAAGAGAAGTTTAGTTTTGGAGGTGTTGAAATTAAGAAGCCATTTTTCCCCCCAGTTGATGACAGACTAGAGGTAGTTTTGAACATTGGATGCCATTTTGACCTTTTCAGACTGATCCACCTATCAAGGCAGGAGTAAATGCTAGAAATGATTTTTGATCATATACAATTTATAATTTTATATATATATATATATATATATATATATATATAGATAGATAGATATAGGATTTTTTTTTATAAATCCGACAGATTTTTATCACTTTAAATGTTACTTTTGGTGGATATTTGTATCTGAGTAGGCACTTTGTTTATTTCTTAAAGAGTATATTTATTTTTATCTATCATCCTGAATGTTCAAGAAATCTTATTAATTTATTTTCCTGCAGGAGAGCAGAAATTTTTTCTTTACTACGAGCATCCACTAAAAATAATGTTTCAAATTATGAATTCTTCTTGCACTGTGAGCCAATGCATATGTAATCTATCGACACATTACCAATGAGTCCTTTCATGAGAGTAGAGTCCAATCCTAGAGCCACGTGCCCTATTGCAGATGCTGCATTGATAAAGTGGGTTCTGAGTGCTACTGTTGGTCTTCTTATTGGCACGTTTCTCAATGAAGAAACTGGTACGCCTGTTCTCAAAGATATCAATGCCCTCTTTGCAAGTTCTCCAGGTTGCATGAGCTTGGGTAGTACTTTTCCAGCTATCAAGGCTGATGCCACATCTCTTAAGATTGTATTTAACAGTGACCTTGTATCTCAGTTTCGGTCTGCCTAGTGATCTGTTGCTCTGTCCTAATTCACTAAAGAAGATTGCGTTGGGAATTCTTGAATCTTCCATCCGATATATGTGCCCCACCCAATAAAGCCGTGCCTTGATTTTCTGGTTTTTCTATGCTGGGTAAATCGCACTGTTCCAGGACCTGAATATTGGAGACTTTATCCTGCCATTTAATTCTGCAGATGGATTGCAGGCAGCATTGCTGGTACTGCTCAAGTAGTTTAATATGGCGATGATAGACTGTTCATGTTTCACAACCATACAAAAGCATGTCGAGAACCACAGTCTTGTATACATTGATTCTGATTTTTAGTCTCTGTTGTAGAGTAGTTTTCACAGTGGAGGCTTGTATTTTTAATAAGGGTTCGACGTACAAAACGTTAGGAACTTGAAAATAAGAGTTAATGAGACAGCAATCTAGTTGTGATGGTTGGTACTTCAATGTCCGATATCGTCTGACTCGCTCAACACCACTGAGCCGAACTGGCACCTGCTACTACTACTTATTATCTGTGGGAGAGTCTATTAATAATAGAATAGGTACGTCAGGTATAACAGTCTCACACCATGTTCATCCCATAGCCTACATTTAAGCATTCCAAAGGAACTGCTTGCTCTTGGAATCTGTTGTGTAACCTCATCATCTATAGTCACTGTGTTTGACAAAATACTTCCTAGATAACAGAAATTCTCTACTAACTTTAGAGGAATGGTGTTGATATATACAAGGGGATTGGTGTAGTTCTTGTCAGGAGCTGATTGATACATGACTTTGGTTTTCTTTATGTTGATAGTCAAGCCAAATCGTTCTGACATCCGAGCAAATGTTTTAAAATGAGTGTGTGTGTGTATATATATATATATATAATCCTTGAGATTATCCATACAGATTACCAAGCGTTTCATTACTTATATATATATATATATATATATACACACACAAATGAAATGAGAATGAATCAAATATAAATTAAAATGTTCACATTAATTTAAAAATACGGCTCAATACATTAGTAGAGCGATAATTCTTTATTATATGATTTTACATTCGAACATATGCAAAAGCACTGCATAAATGCATTCATGTTTATATATATATATATATATATATATATATATAAACAATTCAAATGGAATTTATAAATACATAATACAGATATTTTTGTTGCAATTGACTATTTTGATTTTCCAATTTTTAGACAATTTCCAAGTTTTTAAAAATTTGATTACATTGTTAAATCACTTTCAGATTGCAGAAAGAATATACAATATATAAACTGTAATATTTTTTTTTTAATACAAAAATATTAGCATTTATTTAATTATATTAAATTATTATATATATTAGCTTTTTTTTTTTTTAACATAAAACGATTTTCATTTTAGTCTTACAGTTTAACTTACCTTTTGTTATGGAACTGATAGCACTAAGAAAATGATATATTAAAAATGTATAAAAAGCACAAAAGAAAATATAGTTTCTTGTTATTTACAAGATTAGAGAAATGTAAGATGTGGTAAAAAGGTTTTTCATAGAAATATTCAGATATTAATCAAATTTTCATGTAAAAGCAGAAAGTGATTACGGATCATTTCATATAAAATACAAGATAGAAATACTTTAATAACATTTAACATCATTAACTATAGAACCATTGAATAATAAAATACAATTTATTATTTGAGGTTCAATAAGAGACAAATAATATAAGAAAGCAACACACAGAAATTATTAAAGTATCTGATATTAACAAGAGGAAAAAAAAAACAACAAAGATATAGAACAAAAATAAAAATAAAATTACAAAAGCTTGTAAGCTGATAATATTGAGTGACAAAGATTTTTGCAACTGGGGCAAAAGCATGCATTTCAGAGTAACTTGCATAGACCAAATTCTAAGCCTGTATACAGACTAGATCAAGAACATCAGAATTTTGTGTTATGGGTATGCATATAATTAGGGAGATCTTGATGTAAAATTTGTTGCTCAGATAAAGGAAAATGTACCCAACTAAATAAAGTATACTGATTCCAGATCTGTACTCAGAATTGTCCTACACACCAGGTTTTTGACATTTGTGCAGAGCATATATTTACTGAAGGTAAATATATTAATAACTAGCAGGCTTTAACCACTCGTTATTGCTTTGCAAAGTAAGATATATTCATTACTCGAAATCTTTGAAACAAGAATTTTAAATGAACAATTCATTCATAAATTGGCTTGTTATAGTTAAGGAAAGTTCTACAAATAGATGCCAACTTGTTGAAGGCCAAATAAAATGCAAATTTCAAACACTTTTCTGCAGTATATAAGACGATATACCTAAACATAACTATTTTTGATATGAAAATCAAAACAATCATCAAATAAAAGAACAGTAATGAAGGACAGTTAATTAGTGAAAATTAAAATCAATATGCAAATTAGTTAAACCTGAAGAGTGACATTGCCTAGAAGTAGATAATATATAATACAGATATTGAGCTTTTAGTGTTTAAATTTCTCTAAAATAGTTTGTAACACCCTATTTATCATCTCTCAGTTGTGTCCCTGTCTGTGGGCAGAGTGCACTTGGGAGCATCTTTGTCAAAGGTCAGAGTCACAATTGAGGAAAATTACACTGATACGTGCTGGCTCTGGGGAACAGCTGCTTGAGGTCATGCCCTCTCATTGCAATAGAGAGAGGAATCACTGCTTGCACCAAGTCCAGCACGTCTGATGGTTGTGGGGGCTCATGGAATTTTTGTTCCTAGATTAGGTGTATGCACTCAGGCTCCCCACATTAAACCGACCTTGTGTCACAAGGTGACTTCATGGGGGGAGCGGTTGAGTAAATACCAAATTACTATAGAGATGGGGCTTTTTAATCTCAGAATTTGTGGGAGAATTGAGCTTAAATTTTGCATTTATTCATATAGATTCTATAACATAGGTTTTTCTTAATTATCTATTATGTTTCTCTAACTCTTCAAATGTTAAATGTATAACTAATTCTAATTTCAATTTTCCCATCTTTACACTATATTAATTTTATCTTATAAATTGTCCGTTGTTACCCATAAAATAAAAATAATTGTTTGTATGGAAAATAAGGATCTACATATGTCAAATTGTGTTTAAATTAAGTGGCAGCAGCAGAATTATCATTGAACTTTTAAAAGGTAAGCTTAAACATTAATTCAATACTTAAATGCAGCAATCAATTTTGAGTTCTTCTGTAGTTTATTGATGCCTATTGCATCTACTCCTCCCTACCTTTTGTGATGATGGCCAAACTAAAAGTCCTCCAAACAGCCTCATAGGGTGGCTTTTAAGCTTGCTGCAATTTTGGATATGAAAGGAAAATAAGAGTTACACCCCTTGAACCATGAAACCAATGATAATGGCTAGTATAACATATTGATATATAAAGAACAGCGTGTCAAGTCTTTCAAAATGCTCTTCTAGCATTCTTATCTCAATTTTTTTCTTACAGTTCTGGTTGCCACGAGCAATAATTATGGTAAGATGATCCACAAAGATATATCTGAAATTAAATAAAATATCAAAGCCAGTTCAGCCAAAGCATGATACTACATCTGGTTCCAAAATTTCAAGTTCCATTTTGGCCAATGTGTCCTCTAGACTTCTTCAAGTCCTTGTCAATATGAGTAATCTTCAGAGAATTTAAAACTGAACCCTTGATTTAATCTAGGGGTGGGGGGTATGAGTAAAAAAAAAAAAAAAAAAAACTGTTAAAAAAGACCAACTGCGATTTCTGTTGACATGGACAATGAAGTAGGAAGAATTTTTTCCCTTGTAGATTTAATAAAGGGTTTAGTTTGAAATTCTCTGAGTGTTATCTGGGTTGACAGACACATGAAAAAGGTTGGAAGGCCCAACAATTGAAATGTTGTTATAGTAAAGACAAAAATATTAGTTTTACTGTAAATAATGGAAAGACAGATTATTAAACAAATGCAAGAGAAGAAGTTTCAAATATTTCTGCAAATTAGAAATAAAGTATTTTATATTTATTCAGTTATTTCTTATCATATACACTTTTCTTGACTATAAAATGTAACATTCACTAATATGCAATTAGCCTTGAATAGAAATATACTCTGTACAGTATTAACATATTATTAAGCTTATATCACTTGAAGCAGTGACAGAGTACATTTAAAAACTTTCAAGAGAAGCTAGAAAGGTTTTCAAATTAAATTATATTTCTTAAAGCAGTTTCATTTTTGGTGTGGAGTGAAAAACAATCTCTTGGACTTTGCATTAAAAAGCAGAAAATTAATGTCAATATTTGTGCATAAAAATGAAATTTAAAAAATCTCTCTCTCTTTGTGCTATTTTCCTTCAGGATGTAGGCGATCATGGACCTTCACAGCTTCCTTTCTATAGCTGCTTTTGGGTCACATCACATTGGAACACCAGTTCCCATATGATCACCAAAGTTAATGTCAAATTTGGTCAGTACCGACATGGGTGACCTCTTGGGAATACCAGGTGCTGTAAGCTTGGATGTGCAGGTGGTGTAATGGATAATGGCTTGAAATTGTTAATTGGAGAGTTGAGTTCCAATTCCCGTTGAGGTAGTTATATTCACTTAAGTGCAAATACCCTTGGGAAAAGGTATAAATCCACCTTTCCTCTCTCCAGCTATGGCTTAATTTGTACAACTTGTATCACTAAACTATTATTATTTTTTGAAAAAAAAAGAAAGAAATTCTTCCAATCTCAAAATATTTTCTGGCTTTAAATAACCAGCAAAGTGTTGATAAGCCATAGAAATCAATCTAGTGGCATTTGGCATACATTTCTGAATAAAGATTAAAAGTTAAATAGACCACTCCCAATAAAATGGCTGGCTGTTCATATTGGAGCATGCTTGTCTACTAGGACAACTAGCCAATCCCTGTTGCAGATGCTCGTTCAGGCACATTTGTGTTTGTTCAACACTTACAAAGCCCACCTGTGATTTATATGGCAACTATGTTGAGCTGACCTTAGTTACAGTTTCTGGGATAGAACGCATTATCTGGTGTGATTAACAGTCTGAACAAGCCCAGTACGCTCAAACCCTTGGTCATGATGACATGTGATTTTGTGTTAGCACAACCATTGACAGGTTCCAAATAGTTCCATCAATCTAATTTCACTCACAAGGCTTGGGTTAACTTGTGGTATGATTTTTCAGACACTTTCCAAAGGGTGAATCAGGAAGTTATTTTCCTTACTAGTTGAACATGGTGAGATTCAACCCTGGGTCTCATGGTCAGAAAGCAAACATTTTAACCGCTCAATCATAAAAAACAATTTCTGTATCTTCACTACTGTCAAGTGTCGGTGCATAATTACTGACCAGAGTAGCAAAGTAATTTTTGCTTTAATTTTAGTTTAAAGATCAGTAGTCTTTCATTAGCCCTACATGGTAATTCAAGTCATTTCAGCACCAAGGTGTTCTTGATAGTATATCCTAAACCCGCTTCTATTCTTTGTCCTTTTGGTCAGTGGTGGGCACTGGCCAGAGTGTCAGTTTGCTCTATATCAAATAAAAATGCAATAAAGAAACAAAAACAGAACTGTCTTAGAAATAAAAAGTCATCCGCAAACTATCAGTTACTCAAATTGAATGTAAGAGGACATTTTCAAAGTTAAAGATCATAAAGACAAGCCTAAGAAATTTTCTCTCTGAGAAGAATTTGGAATCCTACATCCACTGAAAAGGAATTGTTAGATGAATTGGATGCAAAAGCAATTAGTGGCAGATTCACACAATCATCTAATGAACACAAATGATTGATCTTAATATAGTGGACTGTATATAAAGCTCTATTGTGCTTTTGAACTATCTGCTAATGTGCAAATTGGGCAGTAAACTATTTAAAAATATCAACCAATTACTTGAAATTTGAAAAAATAAAATATTCACTTATGTTTTGTATTTTCATTTAATATCTACTGCCAATAATATGTACAGTACAAGTACAATTACTGGGGAATACACATTTTTTTCACAAAAAGAAAAAATTAATTTTACCCTTTTTTCCATATTTTTTAAAATATTTTGTAATGAAAATTAAATGATAGCATTGTAACTGTGGGTGGGTCTCCTTGGTTTCCTGTCAACCAATATTTTTGACCCTCTCTGCCACTACTTTCGGTTTTCTATTTCCAGAAGATTATGTACCTTCCTCCTATTTTTTTGATTATCTCCCAGTCAATGAGTTTTAAATCATGCAGCAATATCTACTAAATATATTTGTAGTTCCTTAGCAACTATGGCTACGTTCATCCTACCTATCTCATCAAAGTTCATGAATTCCAACAACAAATGTTCACATGTATTGACCTATTTCTCATTGTTTCAAGTGCAATAATGTGCATCTGCCAGTTATGCTAAAATGACCAGATAGTTCTGGGGTTAAGCAATTTTAGGTTACCTTATTAAAGCTTTCCAAAAAATTGGTAAGCAGTGCTATTTCAAGAAGACCTGTTCAGACACCCAATTGGGGAACTGAACCCTGCCATTGTTTAATTTGATGAAGAAACATGTTTACATTTACCAAAAGGTCACCCATGTATAGTTTGGAGACTAGGTACTTCGAATATGGTGAATATTTGGCTATTTTAAGAAAATCCTAATAACCAATAAATTCTTACAACTACTGAAAAAACAGCAGTAGTGCTTTTAACAAATCCTATATCAGATGATGATCCTGGAATCAAATATGGAAGCATCATTATCACTAAGCCTGGGTACCACAGTAGTACCCCACAATACTAATAGTCTTGGTTGGTTTTCTATTATAGTGCAGAAATGCTAGATTTTGGCAGAAGCAGTCTCTGTCTAATCTTGTAGCATCATAATATATTTTGTCTTTCTTGTTCATAAGGTGAGTTTAGTTAAGGTATGCTGAAATCAAAATAGCAATAAAATCTCAATATCTGACTAAAATAGGAAATATGTCGGTCATCTAGCCATGTCTTATACAATGCTCTTTTAGATCTTTGTACTTTCCTAGCTTATACTGAGGTATTCACTTGGTCATATGATATTTGCATTAACTATACTACAACTACTACTTTTTTTACTTGTATTAGACAGTTGCTGTCTATGTGAGATAGAGAGTGTAAAGTCAGGTGAGCGGTTTGCTGAAGCAAGACATATCTATATACATAATTGAGTGCCTAAAAAATAAAACTGATGAAATATCAGGTGACTTATAATATATATATATATATATATATATGTGTGTGTGTGTGTGTGTGTGTGTGTGTGTGTGTGTGTGTTTCTTGACAATGCAGAATAAAGAATAGTTTTTTACCAAATTCTTTGGTTTCTCTTCAACTGTTGGAATAGCTTTTTCCTAAACAGATCAATGTTTACAGAAACAATAATTATATGTGTGTGTGTATCTGAAAGATTTCAGATAGAGTATATCTATAAAAGGACAATATGAATAAAGACAAAAGAAAAACTTATCTTAGCTGACATGTTTTGTTCTCTGAGGAACTTTATCAAGGCAAATGTTATGGATTTTATTTTGTGATAAGTATTTATATACAAGAATAAAAATGTTATTGGTTTTTCAAAATGTTCAGTATAGGGGTACTATACATTTTTGCTGTTGTATATAAATAATTGTTACAAAATAAAATTCTTGCATTTTCTTTGATAAAGTCCATCAAAATATGAAATGCGCAAGTTTTCCTTGTGTATGTGTTATAAATGAAACTTTGCAGTTGGACTGAAACAAAATTGATCACATGAATAGAAATATCTTAATTTTAAATGAAACATGATGTATATTATTACCAATGTATATATTCATATAATTCGTTTGTTAAAGTTGTAACAATGCCACTGTAGTCACAAATAAGTCATCAATACTACACATATTAGTTTCTATAGACAATTATGATGTTTGGTTTCTTGCATCCTTAAATTTATCAAAGCATTTGATATACAAATTGTATTTATTATTTAATACCTAATCAGTGGAAGATGATCAAAACAATTAACTCTTCTGTTAAGTAGAATTACAAAATATCCTTTTCCGATTAATATTGCGATAAATTTTGATTACATTTTCATCTGTTAGAAAATATAATTGCATTTCTAAATATTTTCATGGCAACTATGCTGATGAGGTTTTCCCCCTCCTTGTGCCCCCAACTACATTGTGCTACTAAATTTGTAACTAGGTTCCACCATTTTACTGTTGAAATAGCTAAATGCAACCACCACTTCTACTTCAATAGTTTTTCTCCCTTCCACTTACTTGCTTCCCTGATAACTACAATTTTCAAAAATTTAAATACAACATCAGTCCTTTTTCTGTCTTCATGAACCCCATTACTTTTTAGTCCTTTCTTCAACCCTCCCCCTCAGTCCCACCCTTTCACTGTCAAAAACAGTTAAATGTAGCCGTTTCTTCTACTCCAATAGCTTCATGTTTTCCACTTCCTGTATGTGGAACTCCCTTCCTCTTACTTGCTTCCCTGATAGCTATAATCTCCAACTATTCAAATGTAATATCAATCCACATCTCTAGATGCCTTGATCTATTCCCTGGCCTTCTTTTCACCCTTTCCTCTATCATGTCTCTTTACTCTTTGCTTGAGGTGAAAAGTTTAAAAAAAAAAAAAAAAAAATCTTATTCTCTTTCATTTTCATTTCTTGTAACCTCCTGCATTCTAATGGCATTACTGTCTTGCTTGGGGTGGAAAAAAAAAACAAAACAAAAACCTGTCTCTTAAATGATAGCAAATTCCAGAATTCTGACATTTAAAATATTATTTTCCCTAGAGAAAAAATACCTCATAAATTTGTATAAAAGTTGAAGGCATTATCATTTTGCAATATCACAAATTCACATGACTTTTTTATGCTAAAGTTCATCTAATATAAGGTTTGAGAACCCCTCAAGGTAGAGAGTTACTGCAAAAATGTTATGATGAATGAGGTGTATAATATGAAAGAAAGAGGAGGTGGAAGGAAGTGAAGATTAGGTGGAAGATAGGTAATAATTGACTCTTGAGATTTTAAGAATTTAAGATTGTAGTTGTTAGGGAAGCATCCACATGGGAGTCTGTTCCACAAAGTAGCAGTCCTTGGGAAGAAGCTGTCTGAATGGAACTTTCTCCTTTCATTTGAAATACAGAGGAAATGAAGATGATTCAACTTCATGGAAGTGACATGGCATAGCCAAGTTGTAAAAGTCTGAGCTGTTGGAACTAAATGGAGCTTACCTGAACATTTTTCATGGAAATAGGGATAGAGTAGAGATAGGCTTGTGATGTTGTGTGTATGAGAAAGATTTGGCAGACTGCTTAAACAATTTTGAACTATATCAAAGATGAAAATTCAGGATTGAGCAGCTCCAGCCCAGATATAACAGCAATATTCTTTTTTTGGGGTTTGATTTTTTTTTTTTGAAGAATTTCAATCTACAAGTTTTTTTTTAGGCCAATACATCCTCACAAGTGGCCATGCTAATGGGGGAAGAGTATTTTATTGAGACAACATCTCCAGCCAGATTGCCATCTAAAGCTATCTGTCCATTGGTTGGGAACTATTGATGGCTTTTGAATAGTCTTGTCTACACTGTTTCACTCACAAGGCTTGGGTCAGCCCATGATATGGTTTTCAGGCACTTCACAATGGTGCTGCAAGCTGTTATTGCTTCACTAAGCCAATACTAGCAAGAAGTCACCAGCTTGACTAATCAACTATGGTGAGATTTGAAACAAAGCCATGTGATTGAAATGCTAATGTTAACATCTCAGTCACAATGAACTAAATCTTTAGGTATAAACAATATTTTAATAAATAAGAGAGACACAAAATAATGAAAAAGTGGAAAAACAACTCTGTATTTCTAGTTTACACATTTAATGGCCATCTGCTTTTATCCTTTCATCATTTTATTTAGAAAATTTTATATGGAAATTTTGCTGATGTGAAAACAGTAGCAATGCTTTCATCAAAGCACTTATCAGATTAGAATTCTAGCATAAGGTATTGTTTTAGAGCTGATATATCATTATCAGAGAACCTGAGCAATACCTCATGATATCACCATTTGTTAGTTTTCTATCAGTGTGAGTAAGCCCAGTTGAATGCAGATACACCTTTTGTCTGGCCTCACAGCCTCTTCCTATATTTTCTCCCGCTGTTGACTATCCAAGCATATATTTATTGTATGCATGTATTTATGTGAACAAATAATGAGAAACTGTTTCCTATCAATGATAGCACAAATAAATACTGAGAAACAGTAACAAAAACAAGTGTAGTATGTGATTCACGCTAGGTGGTAATACTACAGGATTGAATTGAATTTAATGTCAGACAGGAATCTTTGCTATTAGAGGAGTTGATCTGTGGTGTCCCCAATATGTACTGGGCTGACTCTAATAGATGTCAAAGTAAGTTTTGCCCTTTGTCTCAAACCAGAACATCAAAAGAGGTGCATTGGAAGATTGACCTAACAGGTAGTCTCGTGGCTACCAAGTGTGAAATCTAACCTGAAAACTTGTCAGTGGCTGTATTGACATATAAAGAGGAAGTCAACCTGAAATGTAGAAGGTACAAACACAAGTGGCTGAATGGAAATTATATAAATGTACCACCAATGAAAGAAAAGTGAGAGTCACTCACATCCTTGTGAGAAGAAGAGTCATCCATTTAATCTCAAAACCACATATCCACATGGTTGACATTAATTTGATGGAATCTAGAAATGAATAAACAATTTTATGTATGAATTAGCTTAAATCGGTTGAAGGGCTGATTTTCAATCCAAGGATCACCTCAATTCCAAAAAGGTATAACAAAAGGTAGAGTAAGTGTGTCCTGAGTTAGACGGGTTTCAGACACACAGTCAAAGAGAATTTGCCATTTAGATAGATAGATAGAAGACTTCTTGCTTGTTAATCAAATATTATTTGCTTGCAACTATTTTTTTAATTTCATGTTTTATGGTTGTGAGACCAAATATATTCATTTCTATCTGAGTGCCAGAATATTAAAAAAAAAAAAAGTTTTCAAATTAAATTCTTCAGATTATAATAAATTCCTTACTCACAGGTGTGTTGTGACACTACTAGTTAGGTTAAAAGCAGTGGCAAACAAAATTACACATGCAAATGACAAGTCATCATTACTTGCAAAGGTGAAAGGAAGTGGAATGAATTTTAATGAGGTGATATTTTCATGCATTATATAAAAACACACAAAAACTGAGTGACAAAGGAGAGAAAATGCACTAGTATGCATGTAAGAGAAAGTAAACATTAAAAGTTAGGAATTGTGTGTGTTATTTGGTCACTAAGAGGAAAGATATCCCCATGCCCAGGACAAAGTGGTGGTATCACTACAGAATACTAATGAGAAAAGAAAAAGAAGACAGGAAGTGTCCTGTTTTTTAGTTACTTAACTGAGCCCTCTAACAGTGTCTTGGCAAAGTTAAGTGGTGGTAACTCACAAGTGCATATTCAGCACATGATCATTTATTGACACTTTTCCAAGATGGATCAAGCTGTTACTTTTCTGTGCTTTGCAGGTTATTTAAAGCAAGAAAATATTTTAAAATTGTAAAATGTTTTTGTGGAGATAATAATCTCAGTAATATAAGTCTTACTAATTAATCCATAGCTGGGGGGGGTAGAAGAGGCAAATTCATAACTTTTCCAAGGGTATTTGGGTGTAAGGGAATATAATAAACCCAATGGCAATTGGAACTCGGATCTCTGATTACCAATTCTGATACATTATCAATTATAGCACTCACACATCCAAGTTTACAGCACCTGGTATACCCAAGTAATCACCCATCTAGTTACTGACCAGGCTCAATGTTACTTAACTTCAGTGATCATACAGGAACTGGTGTTTCAAGGTGATGAGGCCATAATCCACAACAAGATATATTCAGAATAATGGCAGCCTTGTTACAAAAGAAAGTAATGATACATTCTTCTTAATATGTGAACGTAAATTTCAGGGATACGTAACAGTTAGACGCTATTATGGACTTTATTTTATACGTTATTGAACATAAGTATCTATTAATTTCAAATAGATAGGGCATCCCTATTCCAACCACCCCTTTTATTAAATATCCAGGAAATTTCCTCCCACCATTTAATTCAAGTTGTGAACAATGTATTTCATTATTAGTCCACCCTCTCCTTTTTTTAGAACTTGGAAACTTCCTAGCCACCCCTTTTATTCTAACCACACCATCTATTTGAAACTGAAGTGTAGAAATGAGTAGAAGTGCAAGTGACATGTTGATTCTGTAGGAGTGGGAGGGAGGATCTCCTGTTTGTATCTACACAGCCTTGATTCAGTGGCAACAGAAATGAAAGCAATCATAATTAGGTTTATATACAGAAGCAAAGATGAGCAAGAAATGTTTTTAAATGAGAAAGTGAAAACAGAATGGCAACTAAAAGAAAAACTTGCAAAATAGCCTTAACTTAAATATGACACACACACACAATGCAGTTGCATGCTAAGTGAAAATAATGTATGAACAGAGGGAGACATACACATACCAAAATGTGTGAACAAAAATGGTAAAACAAATTGAAAGATTAAAGATTTGATTTGCAATAATGAAAACAATGAAAGAACAGGAAAAAACAATTGTTTGGAGGACATGGCAAATTTGTGCTGAGGTGGATATTATTGGTAATTGGAAAGGCACCTACAAATGCTGGGCTTTTACTTGCATCATCCTCGAGAACTTCATCTTCCTATAGAAATAAAATCAGAGCAACAGTTGCAAAGAATATTGGAATAAATGCATAAAGTCTCAGAAAATGTTAATCTTTGTTTTGCATAAGAATTATTTGGAAATTATGGATGCAGGAATTCTGAGATCAAAGTGTTAAACATTGTAGTTATTTGTTGAAATCTTATATTCTGTGTTATACTTTGGTATTGTTTGTCTTTATGTTGAGAATTTCATCTGTCATCTATTCTTTATTTGCCTATTTTTCTTTGGGATGATCTCAATTGCTGATGTTACTACGCTTCTCTTTATGTGTCTCACTTTGAGTTTCCTTTATCATTTTGTTCATTGTATCTGATTTTAACATGACCCATACAATTCTCCTTCACATTTGGGTCATTCAGGGTTCAGTCATATTGCAATATGGATGCTGCTTTACCGGTTTTCAATTTTGATAGTGTCACTCTAAATTGACATATCACTGGAAGGTGGCCTCCTCTGCAGTTGGCACTTAAGTATGTTTTGGTGTTTAAAACTGCACCCCTGAATTGATAGTTATATAGTCAATTTGGGTTCCTCCATGTCTGTATATGTCTTGGATTTTCTTGAAACTAGGTGTTGGCTACTACCTGATCATTTGCATCTTGAGACCCATTTTTCTCTGTGTTCAGTATGAATTCCTATTCCAGGTTTGCCAACTATTTACCATCTCTCTCCTTGCCTGCTTTTGCATTCAGGTCTCCCATGAGGGTTGAAATTTGTGATTTGCATTGAGCCTTGGTGATGTCTAGCAAACAGTAGACCTTTTCAATTTATTTTCCTGTACTCTGTGCTATTGGTGCATATACAACTATGATGAATATTTTGAAAGACTTATTTCAGTTTAACGACATTAATTCTTTCAGGTAGATGACAGTATCCCAGAACATATTTTTTCAGATCTTGATCTAATATCAGTGTTATGCCTCTCATTTTTCTTTACACTTGCATATGTAATTCTGTGTTTGTTACTGATAAAATCCCCATTGTTTGCACACCTGGCATCTAGTCTACAGTCACTTTTTCACAGAAATGCTGTGGCTTCCCTTTGTCTCTTTTATAAATATTTTCATGGCAATTGTTCTGATGAGTAGCTTTCTCTGGTTTCCAGACTACATGAATTTAAGCACGCTACTAGGTTGTCATCTCGGTCCCACTCTTTCACTGTCAAAACAGTTAAATGTAACCATCTCTTCTACTCAAACAGCTTCTTCTCTTGCACTTCCCACCTGTGGAATTCTCTTTCTCTTACTTGCCTCCCCGATAACTATGATCTTCAGATACTCAAGTGTAATGTCAATCAACATCTTCTGATACCTTGATCTTGTTCCCCTGTCCTTCTCTTTATCCTCTTCCCAAACACACCTCTTTACTCATGTTCACTACTCTCTGTAACCCCTTGCATGCTAGTGGCATGCCCACCTTGCTTGGGGCAAAATGCTTAAAAAAAAAAAAAATTGACCTATGACTTTTTAGCCCACAATTGTATATCTATATCCAAAAGATCATTGGTCAGTTTCATATTGCAGTTTTTAGAGTGAGACATTAGAAAGCTAAAACATGTTAAACTCTTTTGCCAGACATGAATGTATGAAAAACCCTATCATTAGAAGCAACTCCATTTCAGATTTTGGGGCATGTGTCAAAAGAAAGAATAGGGAGCATGCATGCTGTGGACAAGAAAGGCTAATTCTCTTTCGCTTCAGGCTGACATTACGGCTTGATGCAAAAGTTAGTGCTCCATGCAAGAGACACAACATGGGATATGCAGTACACCTCATACGCTTGTTGGTTCACCAGCAGTTTAATTTCAACTTTGCTTTTATTATTTATAGAGACTTAAGAACGTCCCTTGAAATTCTGTTTACACAAAAGATGTTTTTGATAGAATAAATATTTCTACCTTATTTTCTCTTTTGTTTGCCTATGTTCTCAGCACTTAGTTTTTGTTCAAAACACAGCCCCTCAGCTAGTAACAACAGTTTGATGACCACAAAGTTAGTTGTGACCTTGTGTTAAGGTTGCAAGCTAAATGTATAAATTACATGAGTATAAAAAGAAGGAATTCCATTTTCCACACTGTTAAGTATAATCTGCAATGTCATTGGTCCTGATTTGGCATCTCAGCTTCAGTCATTTTCCCACCATTGTAATGTAGCTTCCCTGTGCTTTTTCTATAAATACTTTCATAGTAATTGTTCTGATGAACTTTGTTTGATGATACCTCGACTTTATGAATTTAGGCACAGTACTAGTTTGGTGGCAAAGTCTCATGATTTTACAGTTGAAATGGCTGCTAGATGTAACCGTAAGTTCTATGCTAACAGTTCCTTCTTTTGCACTTTTTACTTGTGGAACTCTCTTCTGGCTTCTCAATCAACTTTGATCTTCAAAGATTTAAATGCAATGTCAATCGTTATCTTCTGTCTTCTTAATTCTTCTTCTTTTATTGTTCTCTCTCCTGAATAGTATATTTTTCTCATATTCTCTAACACTCAGTAGCCCCTTGCATCATAGTGGCTTTATTGTCTTGTTTGGGGTGAAATGATAAAAAGATTAATAAATACCTGCATCCTTAAACTGTACCTACACTAAAAGATTATTTTATTGTTATGATTAATTGTTTTCATTTTTATTACACATTTCAAATGGTAAAGAATTTTTTCTAGATTATATTTTCACTGATCAAATAAGTAGATAATTAAAAATGCCCATAAGGCATTGTAAAAAATTATAGAGTGTAGCCAGTTACTGATTTATGGTAGCAAGTACTTATCAAATAAGATTTATCTAGAAAAAGGAAATTTGAAGAAAGTAAATTATTACAAGAGTTCTAATTAGGATTAAAGAAGAGTTATACTTTACAATATTGTAAAAGGTGAATAAAAGTAAGATATATATTCTCATATACTTGAGTCTTTGTATAAATGATATTTAGTATTTTCATATTTGATAGATTGCATCAATGATCAAAAGTTGATAAAAAATATAAAGAAAATGTAGTGGAATAGATAAATAGAAAGCAGCCTGCAGATGCTATGATTATGTCTTTCATTAAAAGCAGAGTAAAGCCATATGCTGGACAACATTATAGAAAACATTGATTCTAACCTTTGACTCTTTCCCAGATTCTTCTGCTTCTAACTCCTTCAATAAAACAACATGCAAAATTCAAAGAAACTTTTGGCATTTCAAAATAAAATGAATCAAATAAAATGAATTTCTTACCCTTAAAGTAAAAGTGAACATTACAATATCACTAAATGCAGTTGATATCCAAGACCAAACATAAAGAACAAATAGGAAACATTTAGCAATCTGACATGTTTCATGTTTATTAAAGTTTCCTTTAATAATATTAATAGTTTAATATAGTAAGCCAAGAACAAAAATGAATCAAAGACTACTTAAAGATAACTTATGAGTTTTGTGCATCTCACATAATTATATATAAACAGAATAAAGTTAAAATGTATATATACTTATGTCTAAGCCTATTTCATGTATAGTACAACCTATGAAATTTTTTGTGAAAAAACAAAAAAAAAACAAACAAACATGTTTTTCCCTATAGCTTCTACATAATACAACCCTAATTTCTGAGGAATACTAGTACGCTTACTGTAGTCAAATATTGCAATTCTGGGCATCATCCTAGACATATTTTATGGGCAATAAATGGTCTTCATTCTCTTTTGTACAAAGTTACCCCAAAATTGTGAAAAAAAACCCCAAAAACACACACTTACCATAAAATATCTGATACAAAAATTTACATACCATACTTTTGTTTTTGTTCATACCTTTTGTTGCTACATGAAGAGAAAGAAACCTCATCCACTATGTGTGTTACTTAAAATCAACAAATATCTTATATAAATGAAGAATTAATAGATTTCTTGCCCATCTCAAATTTACATTCATCTTGGAGGTACATACTTTACCCTGTGTATAGTGCAAGTGATTCACCCTATATTTGTGTAAAGAAATCATAAGAATTCATATATATATATATATATATATATATATATATATATGATTCAGAGAATAACAAAAAGTGATTATAATGAAGTATTATTTCAAGAGTTTTGATATTGATAAGAAAAGCATCACAATTCACACTAGCTATTTACAATTTTATTATTACAAATCAGATAAAATTTTTTAGTGTTTAATAATTGCTGAATTTTAAAAAACAACAATTGGACAAAAATTAGGAATTATGTTGGATATTCTAAACTTTTAATCATTCATCTTAAATATATTTGAGAAACATTTTTTTTATTTCCGTTTCTTTTCCCAATTGGGTTGAAGTAGTCATACTGAGTTTTATGTTTACTATTAATTGATACATAAGTGTAGAAAATATATTAAAACATTCATTTTTTTTTTTTTTAAATTTCCATTCATTTTTAGGCATCAGATAATTGAACTGATTCAAGAAAATCAATAATTTTAATACATTTTAAAAAAGGAAAACTAAAAGTCCAAAGGTGAATTGTATTGATAAATATAGTGTAATACAAATGACTACTTTGCTATTTCAAAAGCTGTGAAATGTGAGTGTGTGTGTGTGTGTGTGTATATATATATATATAAAAAATTGGGTACATGGTCTTGACAGAATTATAAATTGACAATTGGAAAATGTTCATGAATGTATAGTGTATTTAAAAATATATCAGATTATGCATTTCATTGTGTAGGCTTCATCAGATTGAAAATGAAAAAATTAGTTGTGTGTTTTTGTGTATGTTTAAGAAATAAAGAAATCTTATTTTTTTTCCCAAGCTGCCATTGCTTATGACTAAAAAAGAGAAAGAAAATGAGTGACTATTAAAAAGTCGTTAGCATTTTATGATATTTGCTTTATCTTCAATTTCATAACATGCTGTTGACAGAGAATGCATAGATAAAAACAAATCTTTTATTTATTTTCTACCCATTCTGAAGGATTCCTCTTGGCTTGGACACTTAAAGCAAATAACATAAAATCTTAATGACTTTTTTTTTTTTTTAAAAGTCACTCATTATCAGTCATAAGCAATGCCAGCTTGGGAAGAAATAAGATTTTTTTTATTTAATAAACATACACAAAAACGCACACATGCAACTCATTTTTTCACTTTCGATCTGATGAAGCTGACATGGCAAAATGCATAATCTGATATATTTTTAATACACTATACATTCATGGATGTTTTCCAATTGTCAATAATATATATATATATATATATATATTGGGTATTTGGGCAGCAATCCCTTTTTCATGCAAGTTTCATTAAAAATAACTGACGACGGTGACTGTGGTTAAATTTTTTTATTTAATTTTTCTTGTGTTCATATACTTTTCTTCTTTCTGGACTTAAATTATGTAGAAATTGACCAAATATTTTGTATGTCTGAGCACTTTCTTTTAGCCATTATCAAGGATTATTTAATTTTTACCTTTAACTGAATGTCTGGATTGTTTTATGCATGTATCTAGAGTTATAGTAGGTACTTCCATGAGATTGCTAAAAAAAGAGCATAGCATGATGAAAAAGATGCAAACTTGATGAAAACAAAATTTTATCATCTAAATGTTTGTTATTATTAAGAGGAAAGATCAAAGTATTTTGGGGGTATTTTTTTTACATTTTTTAATTGTTCTGAGCATGTCCGAAATTTTCGTTAAAAATCTTGTTTTTTTTTTTGAGTCAGCAAAATTGATCATTTTTTTCTATTTTATAAAAAAACTGGATATCTCACTTTGAAATTCTTTGAAATAACAATTATTTTTTCAAAACTCATTTTAAGAAAATCAGAAATTATAGTGTTTATTTAAAATGTTTTGAACCAAGCTTAACTTAGCTTCTACACCAAAAAGATGTAATTTGAAAATAAAACAAAGCAGGTCATAAACTTTTGTGTCACTTGACAGGTGATGAATGACATATTGATGGATTCCATGAGGATAATTTATTCTACGGAAGGAGAAAAGTGAAATAATTTACATTTAAGTGAACAAATTATTTACCTTGTTATTTTTAAGGAAAACTTTCAACGCTCTAATTTCTTTTTCTTTTTATACTTAGCTTTCACATTTACGTTTACGATGCTTTATGGAAAATATATTATAAAGAAATTAAAATAAAACTTAAGAGTGAGATTAAATTTCATATTTCATAAGAAAGGTATCTAATTAATTTATAGGTACTTTTCTTATGAAATTTTATCAGAAGTGTACATAAAATACTATAATTCAATGTACATTTATTACATTTTACTGTGTTATTTGTATTTCCATTCATTTTATTATTAATTCTGATATTTCATTTATGGAAAAATGTCATAACTGAGATTAATATAAAAATAAGATCATATAAATTTCATAAGATGATACTGATATTTGTAGGTACCCTTCTCAGTTGAAATTGAAAAATCAAATTAACTTCACACATTTTTCGCAAAAGTAAAGGCCTTAACAGCGGAGAACAATGCTTAACTCAAATAACGCAACTTAATTGTATTCTGGTTGGTCTTCCATACTTTATAATTACAGCCTGATTGTAAACACAAAATTACATTTCTTAATTATTTCAGATCTTCTGATTAGTCAAAATGGTACAATTTACGTGTTAAAAAAGATCTATCTCATAAGGAGACTTAGGAAACCTGATGCGGCTTTTAACTAATTTTATAATATTTTAACAACTTAAATGTAAAAATCTATTATAATTAAGAAATAACAAATAATTGTATTAAAAATTCATTTTTCATTGAAAAAATGTTTTGCTTTCAGAAAATACTGTCCATATTCATAAAAGCAAATAAAAGCATTTGAAATTAAATAATGTATTTGTTTTATTGAGTTTTGTATGACAATTCAGAGCTGATTTTCAGGTGGTGGTGGGGGGGTCCAATTAAAAACAAACAAAAAAAACATGATTTGCATTCCTCAAAGCCTTGTGCTTTTAACTATTGTAATCACTAAACCCGATGCGATCGAATTTCTAGCGTTTTCATAAAATTAGTTATGGGGGGGGGTAATAAATATAAAAAAAATATTTCTGCCATGACTTTAATAAAAAAAAACAAAAACATATTTATAATAATTTTGGTCATCTGTGAATAGTTCCTGAAAGTTTCATTAACCTCTGACAATTATTTTTATTTTTGCAAGATTTTCCAAATTAATGTGTGTCATAAAAAAAAAAAAAAAAACGTGCTAAAAATTGTCTGTTATTTTACTAGTTTCGGTGATACAAAGAGAAACGAGGTTTTGTTAATCAAAATTTAGAATGTTCTAAAAAGAAGGAAGAATTTTAAAAAAATAATTAAAAAAAACTTTGGTCTTTCCTCTTAATAATAACATAAGCATTTAGATGATAAATTTTTGTTTTTGGCAAGGTTGGCATCTTTTTCATCAAGCTATGCTCTTTTTTAGCAATTTCGTGGAGGTACCTAAGTTATAGGAATGTTTTATTTTCCAGACATGGTCAGCACATTGTGGCCATGTTCCTAGTTGATATTGCATGTTTACATTTTCTTTTTTATTAATAATATTTCCATTATTTTTAGCCATTTTTTACATGTGGATGAAGCTTTTGTGTGTGTGTGTGTGTGTGTGTGTGTATATATATATATATATATATACACACACACACACGGGGAAGAATGTATGACAAACTGGAAAAAGTTTTCTTGTGATGCATTTGTCCATTAAGACTTCAGACTAAATTTGTTATGTTGGTATGACTACAGATGCGCTTAAATAAGGACTGCTGGGAATTTAAAATTTTTTAAAAACTTATTCACAATTTCTTCCCCAATATTATTCTTGATTTGTATAATATATATATATATATATATATATATAGTTAGTTAGTTTATGCAAATTTAGGTAATCCGTATGGGTAGACCTGAGGAGGATGATATCCAGAGAGCTCAATGTAAAATTCGGAGCAGATATGTTTGAATAAAAGACAGACCACGTTAAGATTCCATGTAATAAGCTATTTCACCATAACCCCTTTAACAGGGTTCTGGATCATCAGACTTTACTTCCAAAAGCTGAAATGAAAAATGAAAAGAAATTCACACGTTTTTTACGGACCTCATCAAGTATACGCAAAGTTGAGGAAGTGAGGTGGGAGAGAGGATAT